TTCAAATGTCCACAGACTCCAATTGCAGTACAAGTGTCAAATAATTTGTTCTGTTATGTCAGTCTAGTAGTGTTATAAATTCTATTTATTTCACAATGTCAAACAGCTGATCTACCTATCTTATATGTCCATGTTTGTTTTTTTAAAACCATTAACAATAAAGGATTCAACTTCCTGATTGCTAGGTATTTTATTTACCATTGAATTCAAAATCTGTTAGTGCCATATAATTTATATGTGACTGAGTCTAGTATTTTCATTTATATATTTTACTTTGTAGTATTTCTTCTTTCATAAAATTGATCTGCTTTCATGCTACACTTATAATTCATAGTCCCGCTGTACAGTATCTCAATTCCAATATGCCGTTTATGGTTTTTATAATATTCCATCCATGTACTGAATAATAAATGTTTAGTGAAGAATGATACTGTAATTAGTGCTGAAATCAATCAGATTGCTGAGAGAACATTACCTGTTACAGGTAAATCATCAAAAGCGTTGTTAAATTAGTAACTTTCTTACTTGCTGTATAATGATAGCGATCAATGGAATCACAATCAAACGTAACCCACAAGGAAAATTTAGTTCTAAGCAATCACTCAATGAATGAGATTGAATCGGCATCTGTCAATATATTTTTGTCACACTTAAAATAGAGAAATCTCCAGAGTCCAGTCTTCATATGTGAGGTATATCCTCATATTCAGTAAGTTTTATTCATTTATTTAGCCAATAAAATGTCAATAAAATGAGGACCTTGTATATAAGCAATTCGTCGGTGTACTGCTTTTATAACTATACTACTTGTAAATAAGACTTGAATGAATTTATCTTATCTCTTATTCTTGGTATTGCATCATTTTTTCTCATTTTCCCGATAACGTGGTTGTCCAATTAAATCCTTTTTGTGCTGAATGGATCCCACGCTATATTTTATATTCCTGATGATGTATATAAGAATTATAATTGAATAAGTCATAAACACTATACTCCATAGGCCCTGGAACATGTATAATTAATACCAAATCGAAGTTTGTCCAATTGGAGTCTCTGATTGGACAAACCTTGATTTGGTATTGGATATACATGCTCCTGAGCCTACACTCCTTTCAGTCATTCATGTTTATAATTTCATTGAAAGATGATATTCCAGACTCAGAGTCTGTGTTACCATTGTTTGAAAGACAACACATAATAAATACCTTGGACAATTCTACAATTCATCAAGTTTATCTCTTATTCAAAGTATATTGTGCATGTATATAGCTGTTCTTATTCTATAGAGTATGTACTTATCTTTCTGTGTGGAGTCAAATGATGTTTTATGAGAACTTTCTGACACATTTTGTTGTGGTTTTACCTGACTCCATAGCTGGAGGAGGGACGGATCAACCATTTAGATAGCAACATGCAAAGTTCTCCAATTGCTATCTTCTGTTCTGAATGTAACCCTGTGAATGTTTACCCGATTGACTAGATGCGAGTAGAAAAAATCTTGATTTATGTTCTCAAAAATGCAAAATTCAGTCAAACTGATGTCATATTTGGAATCTACATGTAAAATTAGTTAAAGAAATGTGGTTTTGAAAAGAGATTATCAACTTTGAAAATTTAATTTTCTTTGAAAATGTGACTTCTAGGTCGGGGAGATTCCCCATAGACCCCACTTTGTATAATCACAAGAAGTGAAATATCTGTTCTTGTGTTGGGCAGTTAATAATTTCATTTACTGGACATCTTCTAACTTGTAAAAGTGAACCGAAAAATTGATGAATATTCACGTTTAAGGGAATTTTGTAATACCCTGCCATATTATTTCCCCCGAATCAGCCACCTGGTGGCGGAACTGGTAACTACCTACTCGCATCTGAGTAATTGCATTCTTCTGTGCTGAATGTTATCCTGTGTATGATCACCCAATAAAATTTCAATAATTAGTTCCATTCAGAGGTTAGTGATTACGACTAGTCCCCCCCCCCCCCCCCGGGCCTCAGGGCAATGTTGAATATCAAACTGATATCTCAATATTCCACTACTCCTCGAAATGATCAAAACAATTGTTAAGATAACAAATGATAAAATAGGTCATTTCTTACCTACTTGATTATGGGTGAACAAAAAATAGATAATGAGTATCATATTTTTCAGTGTTTATTGGCTATATAAAAACGTACTTGCCATTGTCTAATAGATTGATCAGAACTCGATCTTTTGTTTGCCACACCAAAAACCCGCTAGAAGTTGAACTAAATATGCCATCTATTCATTCAAAAGTATTTTAAAAACACCTCCTGTATCTAAATGAAATGGCATAAAATTTCTTAACATGCAGAACTACCTTAATATATCTGAATGATATGGCATAAAATATCAAATGACTGACCCCCAGTTACTAATCATACAATCAGGTGGAACTTATTTGTGAAGCATTTGTTCCATTAGAAAAAGGTTTTGGTTTTAACTGTGGTTTCCCATAAAGTAACAAGGACCACATTGTCATGGTGTACTGAGCCAGTTAGTGCATATGTACTTAGTTAGTGGTTAGTCCCAGTAATAAACATCCACTGGGGTTACAATAGTTCTTAGTTCACTCAACCTAGGTTTCGTGTTTATATTTATCATAATATTCTCTTTTGTTGAAAAGGGAAATGAAGTGCAAGTCAACCTGAGAACCTAAACCATAGACCATGGTAACAGTAAGAAAATATCTAAAAAACATGTTTTGTCTATTTAACTGCATTCGGTGTGTGTCCTAGTATGTGGCTAAATAATACTTGTATAAACAGTTCAGTTATTAGACCTCTTAAATGTTTCATCATCATCATCATCATCATCATCATTAGGACTTAGTGACCTTAGCAAGTATTAAGGTGTTCCCCTTTAATATGTTCAGAGATTTTTCCACTTAAACCATTGGATTAAAGTTCATAGGTAGTATAGATATATCTCTTTTATCCTAAATTTGCCTCACCTTTTCTGATTTAGAATTTTGTGATCATAAGTAAGAAACCATCCGTTGATTCTTCTACTGGTATAGATAAGTAAAAAAAATATTTCACACAGTATTTAAAAATCTTAGACATGAAATGTGGAGGGAACACTGAATGTGTTGATTGAGCACAATGAGTATTGTTGTTCAATAAATATTATCACTCATGTAAGATATAATAAAGTGTAATATATGTATATACACAATCCTCAGATCCCCATATCAACCCATTGATGGATACTGGGCTTTTTAGGCTCCTCAGAAACTTTTCCCAAGGGAGTGTGGCTTCACAATTTCTTTACTGGAAGTAGTCGTATGATATCACTGTCAGAGATACGCTGACTTCAGGTTTCTTGAAATTGCTTAATACATACTTATTACTTAGGACAAATTATTTGTTGAACTTTTATCGAATGGCACATCTTTGTGAACCAAAACTGAATACAAGGCGGAAATAGCAGAACCTTGTACATTGCACGAAATATGAAAAGATCAGCTCATTTCCAGTTCAACGTACGTTACTAAGATCATTTTATACTAAATGAAAAATGATAGCCTCTTGCAGATTATTGACATAGGCATAGACAAAGAACTGATTACTACGTTATTTCCCAAGGGATTTTATCAGAAATTTCTGAGGGGGGTTGACTACACCCAACTTACCCCCTCAAACCTCCATCTGAAAGGCCTGTTTTGCCACTTAACTTATGTGTCCTATTTAGCCAGGGGTATTTTTGTAATTCTGTAGATCTATCTCCTTCTTATTCAAAACCACAATTACATAAAATCTTGTCAGTATGGGCTTAATTACAATCAGTCTAAGTTCTGAAGTTACTGACTTATATTGGACTCTCATTCTCAGTCTAATCTATAGTATAAGCTTATACTTACATTTGTAGCTACACTTTCCAGACAAACTCGGACATCAAGGGAGTTACAGAGTAAAATATTTTCAGTGGTCAACCTCGAACATTTTCAGCGGACAATCCTGGTGATTGTCCTATTTTGTCTGGGATTGACCACCATTGTCAGCCGGACATTGTCTATTGTTGTCCAATTTTATCCATTTATGTCCAATGAAAAGAATAACATATTAATTCTTTTCCTGGAAAATGAAGACATGACGATCATATGACCATTTTTTAGCAAAATGGCGCTGTACCCCAGACATCATTGGACAAAACAGGACATCATCAGATAAAACAGGACAAAATCAAACATTGTCCGGTGAACAACTGCGGACAACGTACGACTATAGTGGCACGGCACAGCTACATTGTAGCTTTACAATTGTACCAAGGATATTAAGGTTCAGCTGGAAAGTAACATTTTGGTAAAAAATTGCTATACCTGCACATGTTATTTTCTGGTACAAAATAAAGTATGAAGCCATGTGTCAATTTCCTTGCTTTTTTCAGGAAAGTATCATTACATTGTCTTCTTTTAAAATATCTGGTAGGCGTTCAATGGGAACTCCAGGAAATTCTGATATTTCACACTTTCTATTTTTCCAAATTTTCTTTCAAAGTTTCCAGACAACGCAGGAGCTACCATTGACCTGTTTCCAGATATTCTAAAAGAAGACAGTGTGATGATACTTTCCTGAAAAAAGCAAGGAAATACACATATGCCTTCATACTTAATTTTGTACCAGAAAATAACATGTGCAGGTAGATAGCAATTTTTTACCAAAATGTTACTTTCCAGCTGAACCTTAACACAGAGAGTGGAGGAGGGTTCTTTTCACTACAACTCTAATATCTGCTCCGATGCCTGTGCTCACATACCCCCATAAATGTGTGGTAACTCAGTCACTCTCTCAGAAAAAACAATCAATGAATCAAATCATTCCAAGTGTCAAGATCTGAGATAAAAGATTTGAAAAAAATGAAGAAAATGGTGATTTCAGCGTATAACCACTATTGATTACTTTCAAACTTTCCATCATGCAAGAAATGTATGTAAAGGTTAAAACCAGACAAAAATAAGTATCCATGAGGCTACCTACCTTGCTCTATTGCGTCTCCATTTGGTCGGGGTGATTTTTCAGATTCAGCCATATTTCGCACTTCCTGTATTGCAAAATACAACCTGCCATCTATAATTGATCTGTTGAAATTCTTTCATCAATGATGCAAGCTGAGACCATCATAAAACTGCAAGTGACATCTATAAATTAATCCTGTATTTTTTAAACAATAGACAGAACAATAGATTATTTCACTAGAAGATTCTCATAATTATGCAGAGCAATAACATGCGGGCTTACGCCTAATTGACATTCTATGTCCTGATGCACGGATAGCCTAATGGGAAGTTCTCCATATATTATATATAGGTTCACTAAGCGTCCCAAGCCCGGGGTCTCAAGCAAGCCCGGGGATGCTCCCATATATTGGCTATGTGGGGACATGTCACAAAAGTGGGTCACTTTTCACCAAAAAAGATATGGGTTCCATTTTGACGGAAAATTCCCAAGAACAGGGTCTTCTCTTTGAAAATCCTAAAACTCGGTATTTTTGAAAAAAGATCGCCTGAAGTTGGGTTTGTTTTAGAAAAATTACCTCGAAGTGAGCTATTTTAGGATGAATAAAAGAAATAGCTATTGGTTATTTAGCTTCCGGTTTCAATGGCGTCGGACGTGAAATCAACAGCTCCGCTTAGCGGGGAGGATTTAGCCAATATTGAGCAAACGCTTCAGCTGCTGACTGAAGGCCCGAGAGCGGACGTGATAGAAGAGTTAGATCGAGAGCTTGAGGAAGATGAGTGCGATGTTCTCAGGGATTATCTGTTCCAAAAGGGGAAGGTAAAAGTATCTGAGTTATGTGATAATCTCTATGGCGTACTTGCTGATCGAGAGGAAGATCAGGTTCCTATAAACTTACAACCAAAGCTGCGAAAAGGAAAAAATAGAAAGGTCACCCTTTTGAATGATATTTCGGATCTATATCTGTTCATAACGGATAACAAAAGCTTCCCCAGATCTATACTCAGTACAAACAGTTTCCTTCCCGATGTCATCGGCAATAAGGAATTGCGTCAAAATGCGTATCGCAACGAGCGTAATGCAACAGTGGATATAAACATAACAATGCTAACCCAGCGAATTGTGGAACTTGAAGCAGATAGAGATAGCCATAAAAAGGAGATAAAGGACTTGAAAGATGAGGTAGGAACGCTATTTTCGAAACTTTCTAAACTTCAGGTCGATGTGACCAATTTCGTCAAAACATGTACTTGTACATGTAAACAATCCGAGGTGCCAGTAACTGGTACTCTGCCAAAACCCCTGATCCAAGCCAATTCCAAGCCACAAACAATCCCAATTAGTAAGGCGACTACTCTTGAGGAAATAATGAGTGAACAACAACAAATGCTCGATTTTGCCAAACAACGCGTTAATGAAGTCAATAATGCCAAAGTCTCCAAGTCCAGGACTGTTAATCCCGAAACAAGCGACTCGTTTTTGTCGCTTAATGAAACTGTTATCAATACATGTGTAACGGGTGCCAGCACGCCTAATAAACCCGCATCATCTGTTAAAGCAAAAGACCATGGTTATTCTAAGACTGATCATCCGACCACAGCAATAGCGCCCGATCCACATAATACATATATTATTACCGATTCAACGCCCATCGAAGTCCCAGGGACCAACAAGATCTCTTCCCAGCCCAAGATAATCAAAGAAACCCCTTCAACGTTCAGTGAAGTGTTAACTTCGCCATCTAATGTATCGGACAATGCCAGTCATTTACCAGGGAAAGAATGGATGGTTTGGGCAAGCAATCAAACGTATAAAAAACAGAAAATTGCCGCAAAATCTGCTCACGTCTCACCATCTACTCAACCAGCCCCACAATCACAAAACGCAAGAGCTCTACGAGGTGCACCTGTAGACAACAATGTCTACTCCAAGAGAACTATAAAAGGAAAACAGTTTGAACGCTATAAATATCTCTATTTGGAAAATGTTTTTCAAGATGAACACGACACTGATGATGACATCTGTGATGATGTCATAAAATTTGGCTATGAACACGGTGTTAAAATAATGTACTGTCACGTGGTCCACAATAGAATGTCGTATACCCATGTGGGATGTAAAATTGCTGTAGTGGAGTCCAACTTTCAACAGACTATGATTATTGATTGGCCGGATCCTATTGTCTGTAGGGAATGGCAAAACTGGAATGAATATCGAAGGATTAGAGGTGGAACTCTTAATGCCTATGATCAATAAGTCAATAAACGCTAAATATCAAAAAATCACAATGAAACACCTGATCATTCTATACTGTATATTAATAATGGTAATTTTTACTCAATGGAATGCAAATGGTATACACTCATCAGAGATTTATTTGCGTGAATTGTTAAAAAGAAGTCATATTGTCGCAGTGTCAGAACATCGTTTATATGAATGTAATCTAAACAAGCTTAATGATATTGATCGTGATTTTGAGTGCTTAGCATATAGTAGCTCATTACTTAACCCTATGAATTGTGGAATTAGCTGGGGACATGGCGGAATAGCCCTTTTTTGGCGTAAAACGTTTAAAAATGCCATATCGCCAGTGCGAGAATTCTGCACGGATAGAATTGCATGCATAAAAATTGAAGGTGATACGCCTCTGTATGTCTTTTCGGTATATCTGCCTCAGGCATCGTGTAAAAATGAGAGCTTTGAGGATGTTGTTATTTATTTAGAAAACTGTATATATAAATGTGTAGCTACGGGTTATGTAATTTTACTTGGTGATATAAATGCGAATTTTGGTAACTTATTTCAAACCAAAAGAGCGCACGGTACATGCACTGTAAATGGTAAAATGATGTATAATTGTATGTTGCGTAATGGGTTAACATCTCTTGATTTGCAAAGTCGAACAAGCGGCCCTTGCTATACATATGAATCAGGTACTGGGTACAAATCATATATAGATCATATACTGGTGTCCGAAGAACTACTACCTGCGTGTTTAAGCTGTAAAGTACTGGCAGATAGTTTTACAATTGGATGTGGTCATCTTGCTATAGAATCTGAAATTGATCTGCCATCTATTTTAATGCAAAAAAGTTCTCCTTGTGCGTCAATCAAGCCAAGTTTTGCATGGCATAAATTAACAGATCAATTAAAGGGTGATTACACAAATGATGTTGATACTCAGGTAAAGAGATTAATTAGCGATATTTCCAAGCTTAATGTTATCGATAAGGCAGTAATTGATGCCTACTTTTCCAGGCTAGAAAATCTCTTATTAGAGAAGTCAAACTTATACGTGCCAATTAAACAATTTTGCAAGCACCAGAAACCCTTCTGGAATGTGGAGCTTACTGAACTTGTGCGTAAAAGGAAGCTTGCTTGGCGCGAATGGGTTCGGGCTGGTAGGCCCAGAGATTGCTCAAATGTTTTTAGACGTGCTTTTAAAAATGCGAAACGTGCCTTTTCAAAATTGTATAATCTAATGAAAAATGAGTATGAACTGGCACAGCTCGACAACTTGTACTATGCTGATGATTTAGATCAGAATATGTTCTGGCACCTTGTAAACAAAAGTAGATTATATGTTAAAAAATCGGGTAAATCAATCAGAAATGATAATGGTCAAGTAATTACGGATCCAGTGGAAGTATGTCAAGAATGGAAACTGTATTTTAGTCGATTAGCTTCTTACGACAAAAGAGACATCTTTAATTCAGACTTTGAACAATATGTAAATGATGATATTTCAAGGATGGAATTGAATTGTATGAATAATTTTGATGGCATTTTTGACAATGGTATATCCGAATGTGATGTTAAGAAGTCAATAGGGAAACTAAATATGAAAAAAGCAGCTGGCCACGACAGTATCAATTCTGAACATGTAAAATACGCTGGTGAAAATATTGTGTCTTTGCTCACCATTTTATTTAATGCAATGATCGCAAATGTATATATACCTGAGAACTTCTGCTTAGGGATCTTACTGCCATTGCTCAAATCTGGTAACAAAGATTCTCTTAATAAGGATCACCATCGTGGGATAACTCTTATGACAATTTTTCGTAAGATTTTTGATAATATTGTTCTTTGGAAAATTACTGGTGTACTGCAAGGTCGCATACCGCAATTACAAGGTGCGTCTATTAAAGGTTGCTCATCCTTGCAAACATCTCTAATAGTGCAAGAAGCCATATCTCATCAAGAAAATGGCACAATTATGGCTTTAATGGACATTAAAAAGGCCTTCGACAGTACATGGATACGAGGCCTGTTCCATAAGTTATATAATTGTGGTATAAATGGTTTATGTTGGAGGCTCTTGTATCAATCATATAACAAGTATAAATGTAAGGTTTTTGTAGATGGTATTTTATCGGATACTTTTCCTGTTAATAGAGGTGTTCACCAGGGCGGGATATGTTCTATGTTTCTCTACCAGTTCTTTATAGCAGACCTTTTGCAACAACTGGTAGATTCGGCAAAAGGAGTAAGAATTGGTGAAACGTCTGTAGCATGTCCAGCATACGCTGATGATATTGCCTTAATTGCAAACAATCCAGAAAATCTAAATGCTCTGTTGAGCATTGCTGACATGTATAGTAAAAGGTGGAGGTTTCAGTTTCATCCAGGTAAATGTGTAGTGCTAAGGTTTGGTACAAACAAAAATGCTTTTTGTGAATGCAAATTAGGAGAGAATATTCTAAAAATAGAAAAATCTGCTACGCATGTTGGCATACCTTTAGGCAAAAGCTCAGAGCATGTATCAAATTTGATTTCACGCAGTAAAAGAAAATTCTTTTCTCTGCTTGGTTTAGGAGCAAATGTAGGAGGCTTAAATCCTCTGCTAGCTTCCAAGTTATACTGGAGTTTTTGCTTCCCAACAATGACGTATGGCAGCTCTGTAACGCAATATTCAATAACCGAAATTGAGTCTATGGAGGATGCACATAGATCCATTGGCAAGAGAATACAAAGCTTCCCAGTAAATACCCCTGACCCGATGGCGATAAAACCACTCGGATGGCTTTCAGTTCAAGCGCGAATCGATGTAGATCGCCTTATGTTCATCTGGTTCGTTTTATCGTTACCGGTACAATGTATTTATAAAATTGTATGCATTTATCGACTGTTGAGTATAATCCACATTGGAACCTATCGCTCAAGTAAATCTCCATTGGTCTCAATGTGGGAAACAACAATGAAATACGACCTTCATGGGGACGTTTTGAATATGATAACTACTGCTAAGACACCACTCAAATGTGTCTGGAAGAGAAAAGTCATGAACGTTGTCAAGTCGTTTGAGATGAGACGCTTTTTCGTTCTTAGCTCCTTATATCCAACACTGAGACCAATTTTGAGATGTTTCACTGTTTTAAAACCATTTTTATGGTGGGAAGTTGCCAGGCGTTTTCCAAGACGCTTACCACAATGTAAAGTTATAATGAAAATGATATCAGGAACATACAGGATATTTAATTACGGACAACCAATGTCTGAACGAGTATGCTTACTATGCAATTTAAATGTCACTGAAGACGTACAGCATTTTTTACTATTGTGCCCAGCGTATATAGATATAAGATACAATCTATTTAGTGAATTATATAAACTAGGAGTCAACAACTTTTGTGAATTCATATGTTTCATTTTCGGTGGAGGGAGCGAATATGATCCTGAAATGATGCTTCCATTGCTGGACACGATATATGAAATGCACAAAAGAAGGGATTACCTTCTTAAATCCTTGTAAATAATAGCATGCTCTGACATATGAGCATATTAATTTTGCTCATCTAACATACATATAACTTGTAGTATTTTTCGTATATTTATTTTTGTAACATATTTATGTATATGTACTCATCTTGTAGATGGTAAATAAAATAACATAACATAACATAACATATAGAGTTTGATATCTTAGAAGATTTATATTAATTTTCCTAAAAGCAATACGGCGTGGCCTTGGATTATCCCATCAATGTCAAATGACAAAAATAAGAACGCAAATCACCCCCACATTTATGAAGTTATGTAGTACTTTTGGAAGCATATAAAATTCAGGAAGAATTGTAGGCCTAATGAAATGACTTTGAAAATATTCGCGAAAAATTTGAATAAAGATACCCCATTTGATATTACAAGGCGTAGAATAATGGAAATAGCGTCATGAATCCCGGGACAATGAATCTCGGATCCAAGTACGTCATTAATGGTCGAAAATCAAAATATTGACAAATTTTTAACCTAAAAGGCCGAAAGATTATACGACAAATATTGAAACGGGGGTTGTCAACATATTGTATTAACTTTGGTATCTTAGAATCCGTTGAATCCTAAGCGATTGGAGTTGTTTAGATCACTAACGAATGATATGAAATGATGAGGATTTGAGTTTTTTCAAAGTTTATAATGGCGGCCAATGGGGGATTTTAGCAAAATATCCCGAAAATTAAATCATTAAAAGGCCGAAAGATCTATGGATGGTTTTTGCTGATTTATATATCAAAACGAACACTTCATTGGGTGTAACAAGGATCCGTTGAATCCTAATAAAATAAATGATTTGCTAAAAAGTTATTAAGATTTTAAATTTTGATGAAAACTGCTCTCCATTGAAATCTTTGGACCATGAAATGTCGATTTACGCGCATGCGTTGTGACTTTATTTCTATTATTCTACGCCATGAATCACGTTGTAAAGAAATCAAATTAGAAGTTATTTGCAAAAATATTAATATAGGCCATGGGAATATGACGTGCTTGGGTCTTTTCAGGTCCTTTCCATTTTAATATTTTCAGGTCTTCTATCTCCCATTCATATTTTATTAACAGTATATTGTACCATTGTCAACCAATAACCATTGATTTAGTTCCAGTTCTTATTCTTACAGAGGCCGATATCAAACATGTTTAATTTGTAATGCTCAATTGCTATGGACACCACCGTCAGTCTTTTAGGTAGTAAATTATATTGTGACAGTCAGTTGACCAATGCAAGACTGTCATTTCTTGGTTTTGGGAGTTTCTTTGCCCCTTGCTTTGTCTCTGGGGAAGTATATAAGTTTCCCGATCCTCAGAAACGTCAGTCTTGCGCCCGCCGGTTTTCGGGTTTCCGCTTCTCTCTTGCTAATCAGCAGAGACTCATAGGATAGGATAGTTTTGGGAGAGTACATTTAGGAATAGGATATATTGTATTGAACCCGTTAGTGCACTGAAGTATTGGTGAGTTATTAATTGATTGATTGTTTTAATTGCATTGATTCATTGTTATATTGTTCATATGTTTGATATTCCCACATTGCATCGGACGCTATGGTAGTTAGCAGAGTACATGTGAATTGTCTCATTGTAAGTTTGTGAACACATCTCTGTATTAAATAGTTGTAGTATGCATTAAAAGACTTTGATTTATATGTATCTATTTTGTTGTTTTATTCCATCATATTTGAGTCAAACTCCCTTAATTACTAAATGTAAATTCATTTCCCGACAATTAACTTTCTCCAACACACTTTAATTATCCAACCCCCTTACGCCTGCCTACGGCGGGTCGTTACATAAATATTACCTTTGTAATGTACAACGTGCAATGTACAGTATTGTAATGATTGCCATTGCATGCATGTTGTGACATTTTAAAATGCCTCATATTTTTCAGCCTGAATGAATGTTGGAGTTTTAAGGAAAACAATTTTGAAAATATTTGTAATAAATTGATCCTCATAATCTACAAGGAGGATTGGAGCACACCACTCAGATAACGATCCATATTGAATATAATGATATCTTAAAATTGCATGCATTTTATCAGATGGAGTCGTTTTTACATCAGTGTATTTGAAGACATTCGTAGTTATGGCATAATGAAAACTGACAGTATATTAAAAAATGCAAGTACTCTAATCTGACTATAATTTTGCACTTTAATCAAGTAGGCCTTGTGACAAGTGAAAGTAAAAAAACTTTACTACCCTTTAAAACTACCCTTTAAAATCGTGACATTAGCTGTTTAATTTTAACATTGAATGATTAAGACCTTGAAAAACACTATCATGTTATCTTAAAAGTTATTTGCTAACTCAACCACGTGACCGAATACGAGTTTAAATAAAGGCTTGACGCTTTGATAGAATTTACTGAATATATAGACTTAGGCTGTCAGGGGACAACTTTAATCGAGTTGAACACACATACAACCAAGATGTCGAAACTGAACTGCTATACCGTATTGTTCCTGGTCGTTGTTGTACTCTATAGGGCTCATGATGGTAACGTTAACGCTGAAACATGTGAGTATTTATACAAAAATTGACGTTCCACGTCGGTTAATAAGTCACGCATGTACATGAAACATTGAATATTACAGGGGTACATTGCATTGAGAAGTAATTCAAAGGAAGCACTCAAGGAAGGGCGATATAGCACGTGCACTGTTTTAAAATTGCTTAAATCCGACTATTTGAATCTTTTCGAAATCTAAATAATGTCCATACCAAAATTCAGAAAATAGACAGGTTAAACATATCGTTGTAACGTTTTAATTTTCTTGCATATAAATAGTTTGGGTGTTATCGAATACATTCTATGACCATTGGTGGTTAATATTAATGTACCTAGTAATCAGGTAATGTACTTGTTCAGTGCATATTTGAGTCTTTGATATTGAAGAAAATCACATCTTGATAACATACCTTCCCACCAAAACTTAAAATTGCACATACACGTCTAAAGCGGCAATAAAGAGCATAAAGTACCCCAGACATGTTTAATTTGTGAAAAGTTCATGATTAACTTTTTTATGATTTCACCCCTATACAGGACCGACAGAACTCAAAGACCGTAAGACTCACTAACCTGATTCAATTCAATTTCGGCGAATTTATTAGTCTCCCTGTTAAACAGGCATTCTCATTTTTATTTTCATATTTACTAAAGATATTCATTGGGTAGGTTATTAACTTAAGACTTGGTTAAGGCAGTTCTGTATGTGCACACATCTTAATAGCTATCTATTCCTTGAATTGGGAGTCCAATGTTATATTCAGGTACACAAATCATTCCATACCTGGTCTACAATGTACATCTTTTCAATTTTGCAAAAAGAGTTCATAGATACACATATTACTTTAAAAAGTAATAGAAATAGTAAGTGGTATACATCGTAAAGGTAGTTGTGATGGAAATGTCATTGGTTTTCATGCTTGACACGAGGTTCAATATTGGCGGGGACGGGCTTGCTGGGACATACTCATTAAGACTAAGGTCGCTCAAAAACATTTGCGATGCACTTTGAATCAAAAGTTTAACCTCATTCAATTTATCAATGAAATAACTTTAACGTGTAAACAATATATCAGACAACTCGACTAATGTTTCAATATTTTTTCTCTTGATAGGCCGCGATATCGCGTCTAGTCTTAAAGTACGGCTTCGATCCTTGTTCAAGGACAGTCAAAGCATGTCAAGGGAATCTTCTGGATTCATAGACGTGCAGATTTGAACTCTGCAGTGTCGAAAGTAGTCTCGCTTTAAAACCACGGACCCCCCCACCCCATTGTACTTCAACAACCTGTTTTTGAATGTTGAAGTAGGGGGGGGGGGTCGAAGCAAAGTATGTCTCAAGTACCTATTGTATCTCAAATCATTGTCTTAGGACATCACCTTAAACGATAACCCTTATCTATTGTGTTGGGTTCGATCATATAGTGCAAGGCTTACATGTGTAAGTATAAGAGGATACACATGCCTGAGATATTGTACATCAGCTGTCTGACAGAACTGATGAGACAATGGGATATACTTCATGTACTTAAAAACGACGTGTCCATAATCAAAAATGCAAACTTCAAATAAACACAAAAACAACTTTTTGACCTTGTCTGATGTGCTCAACAGTCCCTTTCCTGCAGACACAACCGGATCATCATCGTCGGTTCCCACGTTCTATATGAGGGACAGGTTCGATGCTTGGTAAAGCAAGATGCCGAATCATGTCAATGGTGAAGATTACACTCCTCGTGTTTTTACATCCAAACGCCCCCCCCCCCCCAAATAATAACATAACACATAACAACCATGTCAAATAATGCCATATTCACGTGGTGCCAACTACGACCGTTAATTTGTGCTTAAGACCTATCAGCTAGGTGTTTGTGAAAATCAAGGATTGTGAGTCTCATACTCCACCATTTTTCTTCACTCGGTTTGATGAAGTTTGAGGAAAAATGGTGCAGTATGAGACCATGGGCTTTCTGTTGAAAGCCCATGATGAGACTCGCAATTCTTGATTTTTAAACATCTGCAGTCTGCTGGTAGATCTAAAATTAAAATTAACGGTCGTAGGCCTAGTTGGCACCCATGATATTAATGTGTTATCATCAAATCAAATGGATGCGATTTAACTCTGATATATTTTTAATTTTAAATCAATTCTGAAAAATTCCAGACGGGGATGCCGGCCTCACTAGTAGCCACGCAAGATGGTGTACGATATCTAACGCTGAAGAACAAAAATGTGTGGCGATGAAGAACGCATTTAGCGCAAAGGGATGGTCGCCAAATTTACAGTGTGTCTTGGTAAGTCTAAATACTAAAATCCATACATCAATGTATAAAAAGTACAGGATGTGTAACCGTTGTATATATGCGATCGATATTTTTGTTTCTAATGTAAAACACTTCTAATGTTACGCACTTTTTGTGAAACCAAAAGATCTTTAGACCACGCACAGTTATATTATCTTAGTACTTCAGTCTAATCCTTTCGTTCTTATCTTTTTTATGAGAAGCGTTTATTCAATATGATACTGTTATTCATTCTGATACTCTTGGCACCCCACTCTTTAAAGCGCACAATTTGATCTCTGAAATTGCCATGGCATACGATGATTCATAGGTTCTAGGCTGATATAAGGACATCCATGGTCCAAGGGTATTTCACTTCTTTCCATAATTTCCTGAATTGAAATATAAATCAAGCCCTTTAAATGAAAGATGATATATAGAGCCAAAAAAAGTTCTTAAAATAGATACAAGATTCTCATTATATCAGAAGAACTCAAGTTAAACGAGTCTCAACAAACAGATTCATATGGGATAGTATTGGTAACATCATGAACTTTCAATTGAAAGCCCATGGTAAAATCCATTTCAATAGTAACATGTATAAAGATTCCTAAATTATGTTCATGCTATTGCCCCGAACCGGTCCGTCTTCTCGCTGCAAGCAGGATGAAATTCTTTGTCACAAAGTTTGGCATTTTTTATAAAATCAAACGCGCGTCATTGAAACTCACAAGATGTAAATAGCATGTCATTTACATCATACCTTGATGGGGAAAAATAGATCTTATATGTTAGAAGTACTAAATAAAAGTTATCGTGAAAATGAGACAGTCCTTCTCGAGAAAAAAGAGCATAAATGCGCATTTAGAGAGTTTTGGTCCGTTTAAAAATCTGTAAAAAATTGGGGTACTTAAAAGCATCGGGAGGCATCATATATTTCAAATTAGGCACGAGGAAGTCAATATTGAGCAAGTTATGGCTGTTTTAAATTCAAATAAAACCGTTAACCCGTACCGGTCCAGCTTTTGACCCGTACCGGTCAATTTTCGTTAGCTGCGTATACCAAGGGTAGTCGTTTATATTTTATGATTTAGGCCGACGACAAGTACGACTGCATGAGACGTATAGAGGCAAATGAGGCAGATCTCATGACATTGGGGGACACTCAGGTCTATTCCGCGGGTCGATATTTCAACATGGTACCCGTAATGGCAGAAAAATATTCAGAATGTGAGTATTGAATAATCATGTCTATGAAAAAATTGCCTCTGTCAATACTTGACATCCAGAACTTTTAAATGGGAAATCATATTATTGAGAATGGTATAGAGTATCATGTATTGTACATGTGTAGAGCAACAGAAGTTGATTGATACAGTGGACCTGGGACGTTTGCAGTCCACCATAATTGCTTTCTACATCATCCCCTCCCGTGCAATTGCTGTACTGTTATGGTTGATGGAGCTACAAGACGTTAAATACTCGTAGCCTGTGTATACGGCAAATTACGCCCATGCAGACGTAAAATGACACTTGTGTGGACGTAAATTACGCACGTACACATAATATGGTTGGCCAACCTTCCCAAGGTATACAGGCGTAATTTACGCCTATGTAGACGTAAATTAAAGGCGTTAAAGTTATATCTGGCAGATTTATCTAACGAATGCAGGAGTTTGTTTAGGTATGCGTAAACAAACAGGCGCAAATAACGCTTTCATTTATTGGGTAACTAATGTAGCTTCGCTAACCATATACTGTATCATAAAATGCACCTCAACTATAGCTTAGCACACAGATATGTCAGATAAAATATATCGGAACAAAGAACCAAATTAAAGACAAATTTGACGTATTTCCAGCTGTTGATGCGGGTACTTTCCGATACAAGGCCGTGATAGCTGTAAAGACCTCGGACACTACAATTAACACACTTGCCGATCTGAAAGGGAAGAAATCGTGTCATACAGGCGTTGGAAGAACCGTGGGCTGGGCCATACCGGTGGCTGCATTATTTGAACAGAAATTGATGGAAATTAAAGATTGTGATAACAATGTCAAATCTGTAGCAAACTTTTTTAGCCAAAGCTGTGCGCCTGGAGCTTTTGATGACTTCTACAATCCAGATAGTAAGTTAAAATCATAGTTGATATGGTTTTGTGGGATTCATATAGCCCAGTTCTTGGAGTTTAAATGAGTAGATATGGGATTCAATAGCTCTTGGAGTTTATATGGATGAATATGGTTTTGTGGGATTGATATAATTCTTGGAGTTTTACTTCAGATCCAGATCAATATATGAATCTGTGATACAGCTCTTGCAGGTTTTGTAAATACATCCTTTGTGATTTTACACTTACCCATTGTGCATTTTTCTTCATTTTTAGAAGACAACCCTCAGAAGATTTGCGGTGGGTGTTCTCAGACAGGCTGCCCATTAGATCCATCGGAAACATATATGGGATACGTAGGTGCATTTGCTTGCCTTAAGGACGGCAAGGGAGATGTTGCTTTTATTAAACATTCTACTGTTGAAGATGCCAAAGCAGATGCCAGATTTACAAATCTAAATGAGCAAGATTACCAACTTCTATGTCCTGATGGGACTCGAAAGTAAGTTATCAATAAGCGAAAAAAATGATTCAGTTTGTTTTCAAACAGTCACCTTTAGCTAAAATGTAATTCATTATATATGTAGTCTTTCAACGTGTCCATGCAGTCTTTACCGTTTGTCTTCTTGGTAGCTCAAGCTGCATGGACTAGAACAGAGCAAAAAAACAATTGACCAAACTATATTTATTTTTTCCCTAGATCCATGAGTGAGTGGGACAGCTGTAACTGGGCAGTCCGCACCTCAAATACAATTATGACGAGACCAGATGCAGCGATCGCCGATTTCAAGCACCTACTTCAAAAAGCATCAGCGGCATTCGCTAATAACCCACAGGAGCCATTCAACTTGTTTAACTCCAGCGCCTATGGAGGACAGAATCTTTTATTTAGTGATGACACGAAATCACTAACTGACGTAGGATCAGCTAACAGCTATGACAAATACCTAGGTATGTTACCATATGAAGTTGGAAATGGTCTTGTAAGGTGCATGTCTTTTTCAAATGAGCCATTTTAAGTCCCTAAGAATAAATGCGTTATTCATTCCTAATGTAGATATAACATAAAATCTCTCATCTGGTATTGTTTTATGTCTAGTTTTGATTATATATTTACCGATAGTGCTGCACTCTTGATGTGCACAAAGGGTAACATTAGACCAGTTACTTCCTCAACAACCATAAAACAGATGTCAAAAATTAATTAAATGCAACAGCAACTATCTCACTTTAGTATACACAAGTAAATATGATGAAATATAAACAAATTATGTATATTGATGATGGTTTAGGAAGCGGAGCCAACCGGACGATGGAATGGTACCGGCCGTGCCGCAAGCCAACGACCTGGTGCGTGACATCAACGCCTGAGATGAATAAGTGCAGACGTATGGGAGCAGCACTAGCATCCTCCAAAATTGACATGCAGTTCTCTTGTATTCTCGGAACAAATTCCAAGCAATGCATGGAGATGATACAACAGAAAAAAGCTGATCTTGTCAATGTTGATGGTGGTGATGTCTTCACCGGGGGCAAGTGAGTTAACGTCTATTATATACAATTGTATTTATATAAAGTATATTTCGTTGTTTTGACTTCTGAAAGTGATCTGTTTCTTACTCTTGTCATTCTTGTTGTACTTGAAAATACATTTTATTACGACTTATTTGCAGTTTTGAAAAACCTGCGTCTGTATAGGACGAGTCTAACCTTACCTGTGATTATATCAGTGTAACCTTGAATACAGTTAATGGGGAGGTTGAAAACGATCGGGAGGGGGACAGTATTCTCCTGAGGTCATAATATTCTTTTAAAGTTTTAACCTCACCATTGTTATAGATACCACGACCTGAAGCCTATAGTGGCTGAAAATTATGGTTCTGGAGCTGACGAGGCCACCAGTTACTACGCAGTTGCTGTTGTGAAGAAGTCTTCCACCATAACAAACCTTGCTGGGCTCAGAGGTATTGTATTAGTGGATATTTTACCCCTCGATGATAATCAGTTGAAAATAGGATTCTCTGGTAAAGAGAGGACCGCGTGATTTCCAAATACCATGGACCTTAAACATGGAACACATTATGCCTGGCGTTTCAAAAATATATATTTTGGCAGCGCATATATTGTATGCGCTTGTACTCAAACAATGTCCTCTTCTAGATCTTTATAACTGTCCCATCGCGATAGCCGCGCCCCTTTTGTCTTTCTCCTTCCAAACGGTAGATAAGAGGGGCTCTGGCATACCAGAATGGAACTGTCCTTAAAGTTTCAGCACTTTTTAATTTCAGGCAAGAAGTCTTGTCACACTGGAATCGGTAAAACATCTGGCTGGAATGTCCCAGTTGGTACACTGATAGAGAAGAATTTAATATCTGTGAAAGGTTGTGATATCCCTCATGCTGTTGGGGATTTCTTCGCACAGGTAGGCATGACCATATCTTTGCAATTGGTTTTCCAAACTACTGTAGGAAGTGGAAACTTTAACGAGGCATTTGCCGAATTATAACGAGGGGAGAGGTCGGTAAAGTTAAATTCATTATAGCAAATTTTGACAATTGGCGATGATACCAACATTTGACAGACCGGAAGTACGTGATAAAATATACTCATTTTAGTACAGAGAAATAAGAAGGAAACTTCACTGGTAATGAATTTGTACTCAAGTTTGGATTGGGCAATAGACCCCTTCATAGATAAATGAATATATAATGTAGATGTAAAATATGGCCTCCTCATCCTGATACTCGTAGTATCTTTCTCTGTTGCAATTGCACTCTCTCCAGAAGGCACGGCAGAGATCGTGAGCGCATGTCTTAGGATGAGCCTCCCTGTATTATGTTTCATTTTGTAATTATTTCGTTTGTTTGTCTTGCAGAGTTGTGCCCCAGGTGCTCTTGATGCAGCATACAACCCTTCAGGCACCAACCCCGCCAACTTATGTGCCCAATGTGGACCCAACAACTGTAAGCGCAATAACGTCAATAAGTACTATGGCTACACCGGAGCTTTGAGATGTTTAGTTGAAACTGGTAAGTAACATTTGATTAATGGCCATTTGAATAGCATTTGAATTTGGAATGGTTGTTGATATTAGTTTGTGGGTATTTGTCTTATATACAAATTGCATGTAAAGCTACTTCTGAGAGAGATAGGGAGATACCTCTAAAGTATCATCTCCTTATGTATTAAGTTTAACCCCTCAGTGTCTCATTTACAGTTTATTGCTGTAAGAAGACTTCGGTTTGTCTATCAACATCCTATTGCCCTATATTCTTTCTTCTATTCATTTAGAATAGAAACTTTATCTTTAATAACTCATTTTTCTGTTTGTAGACGCTGATGTTGCTTTCATCAAGCATTCAACAGTGCCTTCCAACACTGATGGTAAAAACATGGACGACTGGGCAAAGACTTTGAAGTCCTCTGACTTCGAACTTCTATGCCGTGATGGAGGGAGGAAGGCAATAACAGAATGGCGCACGTGTAGTCTTGCTCGAGTCCCAAGCCACGCCATTTTGACATCCAAAACACGCCCTGCTGAAGATTCTCGTCATTGGTGGATACTTCTCAACCGAGGTCAAATCCGATTTGGTACAGACAATACTAATTTCAAGATGTTCGATTCTGGATCCGCTGGTAGCAATCTGATGTTCAGCGATAGCACGACTACTCTGACCAAAGTAGACTCCACCTATCAGGACTTTTTAGGGGCAGAATATGCTAAAATTGCAGATACTCTGGATCACTTCAAGTGCTCTGTGTCTGGTGCCCCATCAACTGCGTCGTCTTTGGTTTCCTTGTGTGTCATATCCATTATGGCATACATTGGATTCCAAATCCAGTGAGTCGTCTCTGGAAATTGGTGGAATCGTGTCCAAGCCTAGTCAGATGCTAGCTTGCCTACATCGCCAATGTCGGCACTATCAACAGTGCTATTCGACTCCATGCGAAACCAGCGAATGAGATTGCGTGGTGAGAAACCACCAACTCGATGCGTGACTGCAAAGAATCAGTACGCATGTGCAATGGACTATGATGATCTGAAAACGTTATGCCTCAAGAGATTTGAGCATCACAATGTCACTCGTACCATGGACCTCTATCCCGGGGATTCACTTACAAAGAGTTGACCATATAAAAAGACAAACTTTCTTTATTCCGTAACAATATACCATTACAAATGAAATACTCAATCAATTCAATTTAGAAGTCTTTTACGAACATTTCTTCACTTTTTACCAATTTTTATTCAATTACAATTTGGTTTCATTGTGCCTCGTGAGCACTAGTCGCCTATAAGATGGCATATCTTCAAAAACCATTCCATTTCCTAACAATTTGATCTGAAACTGATATGAAACTGATACTTTCATCTCTTTGTACATATTTTATAATGTCTATATCGTATTTTTTCCTTTGGTTTGGGATATTTTTAACTTCCCAAGATGACTGAGGCCGAGTAGTAATGATGTCATCGATATATCTATTTCCCATTCGATTTGATTCGAACTGCGAGAAGTCGCAGCGACCTCAAGTGATAGGATCCAATTAAATGTGTATACAACATTTAATTATGATAACCTGGATATACGACCTGGCCAGGAATAAAAAGGAATGTAAACTTTTGTAATTAAGCTTGCTTTAGAATCCAAAATAATATCTTTTTCTATGTACTCGTATAACGGCACGATGTTTATAACATTTGTATACAGCTTCTCCTTTTGTAAACGTAATGTTTGTTGACACATGAACAGAATAAATCTTAAATCTGGAATCCAAATAGATTTAGACTTGCATTATTGTTTGTGTGATGTGAACATACACAGAATGGGACAAAAAACGCCTTTAATGGCGATATATGGCACTACCTTTTTAAATAATCAAAGTATTTTTCTTGTCATGAACCACATGATTGTTACTAAAATTACAAGTAAATGTACACGGGTTTCTGAACAAGAAAGGTATAAAGACACATGAGTAATCTGGATGCAAATATGCACTTGCAGAAATATCTAAAATCCGAGAGACGCTCATGGTAGGGAGGCTGTTAATGTACTGATTTGATGATAATATTTTCACTTTTAAAACATTTTCATGAAATGTTCAATACACAGCATTTAGTACATTTTTCTGGGTAGATAAAGGTATAAAAGAGTGATATCGATATGGAAAACACACGTTTATCTTAAACCAGTCATAAGAAAAATCTAAAAATTTAACACATCGTCAATTTAATGGTCATCTTTTGAATGGTAACAATATAATTTGAAATATTTATATATACTTTCATTTATATTGTTTTAGAAAAGATATCAAACATTTGTTTTGTTCTTGGTATCATGTTTCCAGAGTGAAATGAAACATCTTTCCGAACCTCATTGGAACAAAACGACATAAACACAACATGTTTAGGTCTCTCAATATTGTAATTGTACAAAGGAAATCTTGTTAATGAAATGAAAGGTTTATCTTAATTTTTATCTATTTTGGGGGGATTTTGTTTTATTTTTTGAATACTTTTTTAAAGATATGCTATACAGATATGTAGGTCAGTATTACATAATCGTGAAATGAATAAGTCTGAATATATCATTGGTCAGAAAACACTAAAACCTGCTTGAAACTGTAAAAGTTTATACACTCTATTCCACACTGTATAGAAATAAAATAACTTACACTATAAGTAACTGTGAGCCAATCATTGCATAGAAAAAACGTTATGCACTGTTTATAAGATTCACTGAGACAAGTGGGTCAATACTTCGTGTACTTTATGTGCTCTCACACAATAACCCTCCCTTGCATAAAGTTGCTGTACAGTTATATGTAACTGAATATTGTATAATTCATCACAAACAACCTTAGCAAAATGATGGTTCGACGAAATGGACGGTTCGCTAAAACCAATAAACCAGGCAATCCAGGCCAATTTGGAAAGAAACTAGATAGCGTGATAGCGAATGAGGATAGTAAGTGAAATATAATTTGCAAAGGTCAGCTTGTAAACTACTGGGTAACCCTAAATGATGAGAAATATGTACAAAATATGTTTTGCATGATTTATTCATATCCCAATGATTTAACTCCTTCACTGCATCTAATAAGGTATATAGATACTAATTACGGGACATTTAGGAATTAAGTGACTAGACCAAAGCAAGCATGTTTGAGATTTTAATGATTTTAAATAAATTACCACTTCATTATTTGCTTTTAGACATTCAATCAGTTTTATTTGTCCAACAAACCATATTCACAATTGTTCAATCCAACGAAGATTAGGAGATAAGCTATAGAGACCCCTCCATTTGTCCGTCCATCCATCCTTCAACTAGACAACAGCAACACCAAATATGCAGTTGCAGAAATATCTAAAATCCGAGAGACGCTCATGGTAGGGAGGCTGTTAAGTATATTCTGAAAATAACTCCAGTCCAAAAGGTACATGACAAACAAGTATAACCTACAGTACTGAAGGCAAGATGGTCAAGTATCGAAGAAAGTACTTGGTGAAATCCGTCTGTACAAAGAAAACTGTCTGAGCTCTCATTCGGAAGATCAGGTGCAAGATTAAGATCTCATTCGGAAGATCAGCAAGGTGCTAGATTGAATTCATGACTTGTAAAACTTGTTTTAATGTTCTTTAGGCCAGTAATGGCCTCCCGACCATAAATTCAACACTCAGCATTGGACTCATTAATTTTCCGAATTTTGTAAATCAGTTTCATTATTGAACAAAAGACAAATCCCAACCCTTAACGTGTCCAAGAAGAACAGATATTAGTCTATCAAGATGATGCAACGTTAAATACCACGGTCCTTAACCGATATAAGCGTAATGTACTGATTTGATGATAATATTTTCACTTTTAAAACATTTTCATGAATGTTCAATACACAACATTTAGTACATTTTTCTGGGTAGATAAAAGTATAAAAGAGTGATATCGATATGGAGAACACACGTTTATCTTAAACCAGTCATAAGAAAAATCTAAAAATTTAACACATCGTCAATTTAATGGTCATCTTTTGAATAGCAACAATATAATTTGAAATATATATATATATACTTTGATCTATATTGTTTTAGAAAACACATCAAACACTTGTTTTGTTCTTGGTATCATGTTTCCAGAGTGAAATGAAACATCTTTCCGAACCTCATTGGAACAAAACGACATAAATACAACATGTTTAGGTCTCTCAATATTGTAATTGTACAAAGGAAATTTTGTTAATGAAATAAAAGGTTTATCTTGATTTTTATCTATTTTGGGGGATTTTGTTTTATTTTTTTGAATACTTTTTTAAAATAAACCAAAAATTCCTTTGTATAACTACAATATTGAGAGGTCTAAAAACATGTTTTACAGTATATGCTATTTTGTTCAAACAAGGTTCGGAAAGACATTTTATTTCGTTCTCAAGAATTGGTAAAAAGGAGCAAAAACAATTCCACTAAAAAAGTTAACAAAAACAGTTCTATAAAATATTTCAAAATAATTTTCGCATTAAATTGTTGTCAATCAGTCAACATTACATAAAATACCGTGTTTTTTTATAGAATGTTTTCAGTGCTTGGTTTAAGAGAAAAACATTGTTGAATTCAGTTCTCCATATCGATACCAATCCTTTGCACAACCCCTACATACATCAACAGCAATATTCACCCAAGACCGAAAGAATTAAAAATGCACCTTGATATCATCAGCGCTTATGAGACCCTTCTTCTGAAACATTTTAGAAAATTGAAAATATAATTTATTCATCCAGAAATGTAAAAGAGTTGACAACTAAATCCCAAAAAGCATGGTAATTTCGTACTAGGGCGTTGATAAAATGTGATTGTCATTACCATTGACGGACCCAGACAGGGTGATGGTGTTTTCCCACTATGGTCTAATCTGACCACCAAGGAAAACGCAATTGATTCAAAAACAAGTTAGTTGGCGGAAAACAATATCAAAGTATTATGGTAGGTACTTTATAGAAAACAAGGCTGATAGCAATTTACAGTCGGTTTAATAAACAGGATTTGCAGGTGGTTTGGGTAATGCATTATGAGAGAGTTGATTTTGAAAACTAGATTATATGATTAGGCAAAGGAACTTTAACATCTCATAAAATGATAATGGCATTATATGTATCAAAAGAAATTTTTATTAACTTATTAACGTATTTAAATAACAACTAAGGACAAATCAGTCTTTATATTCATAACCTTATATTTCTGTGTCTAGAATAATTACAAATAAACAGTTAATGTGCAGTCGGGATCATATTGTAGCCGTTTTTGTCATTTTGAATCAGATCAAGTAATCGATGTGGAATGCTATGCTAGAATAGTACTTGCTGAAGTGATAAAGTTGTGTATACATGGAACAAAATAGGTAAAGTAAGATAATAGATTGTGATTTTTTGTAGTTGCTTCAAACGTCTTAACTTTCGTCAAATCTTGTTTTTAACTTGTATTAAGTTCTTAAGTTCAGGTTCAGTTTAAGATTTGGTTCTTGTGGTGGTAAATGAAGAATTGCACAAGGCAAAATACATTTCAAATGCAAATGAAGTGTTCGCTTGAATAAGTTGAATAATCGTCAATGGTTGCATATCCTTTTTGAATATATTGACACTTACATAATCTTATAAGTTTTACCTTTTACACGGTTTTGTGGGGTAATAGGAAACCATAATACTGTGCTAGCATATTTAAATATTGCAGTTGTTGAACCATTTGTTTGAATTACAAACCCAATGTTGCGTTATCTTGTTTTGCTCTTGAGTACACCCCTCTCCAAAAGTACACAATAGGGACTCAGGGTACCAAACGTTTGGCGGAGGGTGTAACACCTACCACCAACACAAACATACGAAAATAAACTGGGAAGGTTGGGTAGAGGACTCGATACAAGATCATAATGCCCATTTAAGATTTTGCAAAGGCTTGTGATATCAATGACGCAAATCTTTTCTTTAGTTAACCTCAAGGATCTGGAATTTATTCAAATAAACTCTGCGGGCATTATGCAGATGTTACATATTCTAAAGCAGAATACTGCTTGTTTGAACAATCCGCGTAAATTGTAAAAATATATGATTTAGGGATATAGATCAAAACAGAGCTGATTTCACAATGATCGGATTTCGAGTTAAACAATGTTAATACTGTGAATGAAAGTTGTCACGTGTGAAATGGTATCAACTAACAATACCTTGTAGGACTCTACGTATTTAGTTAAATCAATAGGTACATGTAAGTTCAATACACAAAATGACAAATCAGTCGGATCATATTTAGAAAGTCAGCGAACTCAAGGGTCCTCAAATATGCCCCCTATAAACATAATTTAATTTGATTGCAGAATTTTCGTACATGTAGTGAGTTCCATTCAAATATCATACTTTAGCGCGAAGATAGTGAAACGAAAATGTTAAGTGTAATGGGAATTCGATGAATATCCACTTTTAGGTTAAAGATGAGAGCCTGAGATAGAACGATTTAGAAAGATGTCGTACAGAACTAGATCACCATACTCCAACCGAACTGCATATGGCGTGAGATTCAATGGATTTACGGTCCCTTTCAACAGGTAGGCTGACATTTATTCATCATTTACGTAAACGTTCAAATTAATTTTATGATTTTGGTAATTTTTTCGTTGTTTAAATTACTGACTTTTATCCTTGTGTAATTTGAATATTGCCCATTGCGTTCTGAGATTTTTTCTGTCGATTATTTTCATTGTCGATCTACATATTGTTTTTGAAGACATGTCTTCTTCATCTACGGCAAATGTATATATTCATTTATGAAAGATTTAAAGGTTTTATGTTTTTTTTAGAAATATGCAAATATTTCTACAACTGACATGACGGATCATTTTGAACCATGTTCATGGCTTTGATTTACTTCAATCTTTTCTATTTACATTCACTCAGTTTCAGACGAAATTCATTTCTAAAGAAAAGTGCTTGGGGTAATTTCACTGCTTCCTGGACAAATTTACTATATAAACACGAATATTAATATTCTATGTTAGCAGTATATATAGAATTTGTCAACATTCCCTAACCATGTTTAAATACCATTGAGGTTATATGTACTTGAGGGGTCCATGTTTGATCAAAGAAAATGACCGAGTATTTTTGCAAATACAACACAAAATCGGTGACATATAAATAATGTTTAACATCTCTGATAAAATCAAAGAACCAAGGTCCATTGAAACATAAAAGATCTGATTGTCAACGATCGTGTCAACATTTTACAGTTGGAATCATTTTACTAATCGTGTATGAATTACTTTAAAAACATTCTTAAACAAACTTATAAGATTTAGTACTACTTTCTCATGGTGTATATAATGGGTTGGTGTGTGTGCGTTTTTTCTCGCACCTTGCTCAAATGAAAGGTGTAAAGAATGTACTTTTGTGGTTATAAAGTTTTGACAACTTGTCAAAAGTTTCAATTACTATATCTCAGTTTGCAGAAAATTAACCTTAAATTAAAAGTAATTTAGAAGGTATTTACGTGCCCAGAAATGACGTTTAACGTCCCATGAGTCCGAATATAAAAAAGGCAATTGAAAGGAATGTATATACAAAAACCAAAAGAATGCAACTTTAATTTGTAGATCGGTTGATTTTAATTGAAGGACATAGTTCTTTTTTTGAGTGTGGATACGCACAGGTGGACAACTTCCAATATACAAAATTATTAAATAATCTTTTGCTCCATACATTTTAAAATATTTCATGGCGCGGACTACAATTATTAACGCACTAATTTGATTTAATAAATATACTAGGGTATGCTTTGAGAATAAAGACTGGACAAGATTGGGAAATAACATTGGATGGTTATTGGAGGACGTTACGTTCTAACAATTAATCGTACGACGGAAAAAAGGAGATCCGTAAGTTGCAACCGTACGATACCAAAGACTTTGGGATGATTATTAATTCGATCAGTATTTATAGGCTAAGTATACAACTGTCATTGTCTGTACTTTTTTATTCAAGCAACTATGTAAGTCCGATGGTCACAACTCCGGGGAATTTTTTGTCTTGTTTGTCTATTGAGTCCAAACTAGTTTCTCCTTTATCCATAGTAGATACTAGCCCAGATCACTTGTATGTACTTTACCTTCCAACATGTGCGAATTACAGAGTTATTGGTAAGGAAACGCAGACTTAATAGGAATTGGTACTGGTTTTTTAATACGTGTTTTCAAGGTTCATTAAGTGCAAGATCACACTTTACCACAATTCACTATTGTACAAGCAGCCTACGCTGGCTGCCTACACGAACATAACAGGGGTATCAATTGGGTAAGTGAGGAATAAAAAGGCCGTTCACAGCACTGGCCTCTAAGAGGGAATTTTTAGGAAGTTCAAGGGCTCTTATTGTTTTTTGCTTTTTTTACTGTCCTAATTAAAAAACAACTGCAGGGTATTTGGTGCAAATCATTTCCAAAATGAGAGATTTGGTTTAAAAGAAAATAGATGGCAACTTATGAATCATTCTCAGTTTGCGCCTGGAATGATTCTCAAAACATACATTTGCATATTAGTCCGAACTTTCCTATCAGAACTTTTTTTCTCCCATTGACTCCCATGTTAAAAAACTAATCTTAAACCCTGATTTGCCTTGACATCAAAAATTTTCAAAAAATTGAAAAACACTCAAGTTAGACATATACCTCAAAATAAACTATGTGACCTCAAATGCATTGTGTGTACAACATGATTTAACTCAATTACTTTCCAAGGGGACCGCATTGAAATAGCCAAGTGCTCATTTAAAATCGTGTCATAACCGTGTCTTTTACCAAATTTCGACATTAGGAATCTTCGCAATAGTCACGTTTGGGGGTGTCGCTGGCTATTGGGTACCACATATCAACTTCAAAATAAACATATCCAATACATTTGTTGTTTTCTTGAGTCAATGGCATGGCATGTAATTGTAATAAAGGTCAGTCAAATAATTTTTTTGTTTCAATGAATTGAATACGAAATACGAATCAAACGTACGTACATTTACAACCAGTTAATTATCAAGAGAGACATTTGAATCCCCGGGATTTGAATCAATCAAGAATCACCAACTATCAAGATCTGATACTTTACACTTTAAGTAAAACCGCAGAACTAGTTTTTTGCTCGACTACCCGATAAATGTCACTTATTTTTCGTTGCATTGACAACACCTCGAGCGATAAAGGATAAACATATTTACGTTTTTGGCTCTGTTGACTTTCTGCATTATTTGGGCTTAATTTTTACAGGTAATTAAAAACAAAGCTACAAACTAGTTTATTTAAATTATTCATGTATGCGGCAACATGCCCAAAGAAGGGCAAAGACTGTCATATTTCGCATATAGGAAATGCCTAAGAACATACTGAATGTGTCCTTAGGTAAAAAAAAGAAAAATGTGCCATGTAAAGAGCTAACAAAGAAATTGATGAGTAAACGATGACGAACTTATCGGGGTGGAAAATTATATCTTTCCTCCTCAGACAAAACATTGATGTGTGTGGTAGGGTCGCATTATTACCCAGATGTCAATATCATTCTAAATTGTGTGCTCACTACTTTGATAGAGTAACTAGGTATATTGTGTCAAAAACGTTTAGTCTCAACTGCGATGGAACCTTTTTTGATTTTTTGAGATGGTATATGAATGAAGGCTGTAAACATCTACACTATTCATCTTCAACCATATGATCTCAGTGGGCATCAAGTTGCAGTTTTCTGTTTCCGTTATTCGATACATTTTGTCTCTGAATCAGCTTTCAACCTACATCTATCGCTCTTAACGCATACGGCGTTGGATAAATATTTTGACTCACATGATGTTTATAAACAATATGTTCTTATAAATAAATCGTCACTTTCAGCACAGCCAGAGAATTTCCTTAAAAATCTTATAGGAAATACGATTGGAATTTTTATTGAATGAGTTCTATGTCAACGTCTAGACGTCATTAGAAGAGCTCATTATAGGCTAGCCTAAGAAGTAGTATGTAACGTTGACATATCGAACCCAAGTTTGGATATTTAAACAACGGATACTTAACTATATCATTTAAACGGAACATAAGATAAGGACATAAAATATAAAACAACAGAAGAATCAAGTTAAATAACGCACGGTAAGTTATTAATTATTACTTTTTATTTCACTAATTTCGGTTTCGAGCAATTTTCCTTAATTGATGAAATTGCTGGCAATGACAAAAATGCTGATTGTAATTTTTTGCGAAATTATTTCTATAATAGAGTAAGGTAATAATTAACAGACATGATTAATTACAGATGTATTTAATAATTAGTCTACCTTGTGAACCTATCATCATTGCTCCATTCAAAAACCTCGACACTTCATGTATATATGGAGTAGACTACACCTGAGATTATACATCAGACACAAAAATGAAATTAATATTATTCTCAATCAAGGCATACCAACGTTAGTACAAAGTATATTGGATATGGAGTGGCTCTAATTGCAGTCGCCATAGAATCCCGGAAAAACAAAGAAAATATCATTAATTTGTGAAGCCCAGAAGACGATATTAGGAGCTTTAGTTTAACTGCAATCCAATTCAATCCGTTCACACTAATATTAATACCAGTGCAACAGTGTGTCACCTGTAGTGGCACACGACGTATATGATACGGATTTGGAAGATACAAAACTCCAGCATCAATAAGGGGCAGCTTACCCCGATCACATGATCATATCGGGGAGTGATTTGTTGATAGCACGAAAACAGAAACACACTTCACTACTGTTTCTGCGACTTAGCGTGACCGGGAAGCAGCATAGCAGGTCGTGGTTTACCTGAGAAGGAAAAACTAAAACAAACTTGGCATATCTCAGTATTTATAAGACTCGATAGTTCATGGAACCGCACACGGTAGAATCAAGGTAAGTATTTGAAGTTTTTTTGCCGCTCGATATGGTGTTCAACCTTGAGAATTGGATTGGTTTTACTACAATGTAAATACGGTATGCTGGTTTTGTAAATCATATTTCTCCAACTCTAGATTTCTTGTCTTTCCCAACTCCTCACTGTTTGGGGATAAAATGGGGATGAGACTGAGAGTCACATTGCCTGATCCAGAATCTAACAAGGGGGAGGGCAAATTTTGAGTCAGGAAAAAATTGGAAAAGGTAAAGGCAACACCTTAGACAACGGATTGAAGAAATGGAACAGGATCCACATAACACCCCCTCCCCTTGCGTATACCCTGCTTCATATACACACGTCTTCTTCCAAAACGTTTTGAGAAACAGACCGGGCTTCACTGCTATAAGCCCTAGTAGTTATATGGAAAGAATTGGAATACCCTTGGACCAAGGATGAAACAGATCAGAAGGAGACTTTACTTGTGGGGGGGGGCGAGGGTGCAAATAGATGTGCTAGACTCTGGACGTAACTCATCGTTGGTATCAAGTTGTGTAAAACGAGACAAGTGTTAAAACTTAAAAGCCCCTTTAAACACATCAAAACAAAGGTTAATATACCTTTTATACGCTACATTCACCATATTGAGGCCCTCGACCAATATGTAAAAACAACATAATTATAGAGATAACATTTGTTTTGCGGCTATTAATCAATACTAGAAACGGACGCATCCATATCTTGATTTTTTCGTACTTCCAAAATGTGAGATACGATGCACACAAAACTGATGTGCGGTCATTGTTTTTTGTTTTTGTTTTTTTGCTCTATTGTTAAACTCATATGATTATCGCTACAGATAGTTCCACAGGATATGATTTTGATGAGTATTGCGTCTTAGTCAGATCTTAGTAAAACTCTGTAAAAATGTCTACAAAACATGCATGTGATTCATTAAATACCATAAAAACTCAGAAGAGGATTGCATTGCCGAATCACACCCAGCAAGTAAGAAACTAAGAAAACATATTTTATTAATTTCTCTGACAAGGCACTTGGAATTTCTTTATCATGTTTATATATTGTCAAGTAAGTACTCATTGTTTATTTATGTAACAATTTTGAAGTTTTGTTGTTTCTGAAATCAAAATATGATGCTTCACAGGAGTTTTTTTCTAAATTTTGAATTGTTATAAGAAGCGGTAAAGAGATAAATTGGGGAAATTGTTGAATATAATTAATATTTTGTCGAAATTACTTCCATAATATCTTAATTAAACAGGAATCTGCATGTTTTTCCATAGTACATCGAAGCAAGCGACAAAAACTTATGATACTAAACTTCTTTCAAAACAATGCAACAACATGCGTTTGCAAACTATCAATCCTTCTACAAAGGGATTGCATCACAGTCAAGGCTGCAGTGAGCAGTGAAATAAAAACGGTGTGTGTTGCTTTTTCGACTTCCATGTATGGAGTTGCAGCGACTAAAACTCTGCGAATCAAAATGGCTGGTAGACAATCTACTTATGCTTAATCATCTTGTTTAGGTTTACATCGTTCTTGGGTAGGCTCATCTCAGTATTCATTTTTGATTCACTGCGCCTAATAAAACAGTTGCTAGTCAGAGTAACCCTAGAGATTACACTAAAAGTGTCAAACTCGCAGTTCAATGTAACATTTTCAACAGGGTGCTTCAGATTAGTGGTTTTTATGTTAATGGTCCCAGATGTTCCAGGTTATGTCATTGCTCGTCAAATGCCAGGTAACTGAGATGATTTTCACCTGTATAAGGGTAAACAGGAGTCTGTAAATTTCTAAGAACTCCATGCATTTTTAGTCTACAGCTAGTTCCCGTTGTGCTAATTACTACATCTCCCCATCAATTATTTTCCGGGAAAAACAAAGGGAGATGTGAAAATTAGACTAATAGGAAGTGAACAGCAGAATGGATGGCGGGGAGGGTGAGGGCAAGAACTTATGCACGGTTAAATTGACAGGCATGACATCAACGTAGCCAAATTATTACAGAATTTAGTGTCATTATTCACTTGTTTATTTATTTGAACATTCATGTCACCGTGCACCAGCTTGAATTATGACACGAATAATATATTCTCACGACCAGAAAAAATGAAACAAAGTAGTTAAACTCTCAGATCATATGACATATTAACATTTTGACCTCAATTTTCCCCATGGCGATTTGAGGCCTATAATTTTGAAAAAGAAATTGCCACTCTGGTAAAATCACAGCAATCAATATTTCAAATAAATGATACTATTGTTTGATCAGAAAATCCAATCATAAATAAATTCTAATTAGAGACCTGGACATAATTACTAGTAATCAGAGACATATTTTACATTTGGGAATGGTTGCATATTGTTTATTGGAGTTTTCCGAATATTGCCATTCGAAATTGTTTTTTAATTGATCAATCGGCACTTAACATCAACGCGAGTTCTTATGTTAACAACGACTTTCTGTCTAAAGTAAACGTTAACCTCGCCAAAAACAGCAACACTCTAAAATTTCATAACAGAAGAGATACTATTTTGACCTGAGTGAACTTTATCAAAACATTTAGGCCAGGTTTTATCCTGGTGCCCAATGGCTAGTTGTTAATAATTCTAAAATGAAAAGTTAACCTCGCCAATAAAAGCAACATCCTTGCATCTTCCAAAACAATAGAGATACAATTTCACCCAAGCACTGGTGATCCACTCGATTACGCTGGTTACCGAAACGGTTCGTTTTGGTAACAAAATGTCGGAACGTCGAAGGTACGATTTTTCTCTTTTCCTTATTTCACACGTTGTAGGCAGAATTCCCACGACATTTTTAACACAAACGTGTATCAGTATCATATGTTTAAGAAAACGTACATATGTGCGAACAAATAGTTCAGAAGACAACAGAATCGTCGATTTAATTCTTCACTTAAGTTACATAAACGGTTTTTCGAAAAACAGTTAAGATCTGCATTTTTAACCAAAACCGTTTATGTAACTTAAGTGAGGAATTAAATCGACGATTCTGTTGTCTTCTGAGCTATTTTTCGCAAACATGAACATTTTCTAAAACATATGATACTGATATACGTTTGTGAGAAAAAACGTCGTGGGGATTCTGCCTACAACGCGTGAAATAAGGAAAAAAGAAAAATCGTACCTTCGACGTTCCGACATTTTGTTACCAAAACGAACCGTTTTGGTAACCAGCGTAATCGAGTGGATCACCAGTGCCAAATAAACTTCAATTATCAAAATATTTGGCCATGTGATTATCCTGGTGCCCAGTGATTGGTTACACGTCCTAGATGAAAAGGCTTGGTGGAAAATCGTCACTGGTAATCAAACTGTAGTCCAGTATCATTGTATACCCTTGTGTAGATATTGACCAACCAGCCAGCAGGTTTTACCTGACTTACTGAATTTTACAAGGGAAATATCAGTGAAAAATTATAAGTCAGATAAAAAAATGAGAATACGGTCAAAGTCAAAAGATTTTCATTCTTTGCCCCTTTTCGAGGTTGATAGATGGTGTAATGTATTGAATTTCATAACTATCATAAATGTATGTTAATTGAAACAAAGATGGAGCTACCCTTTACATTCGTTCGACTTCAGTCCCGTGTTTCACTTCTTAAAAGAGAACTTCGTTTATAACTAGACTCTGCGCGCAGGGTAAGATGGAGCATGTACAGCAATGATTTTTATTTAAAATGTCAAGGTTTCGTAGAATGAAAACGCAACAAGGGCTCAGTAGCCCTCAGTGTGGTACCATGGCAACCTCTTTCCAAATCAGAGAAATCTTGCGGTCTTGCTATCTTGCGGTTGGAAGACATCTAGAGTATCAGCCTGAGAAAAATCAGAACTGATTTTTTCTCTCAGCTGCAAGGTAAACTATGATCCATCTTTCAAGAATGTTGCTTTTCGTTTGCGGTTATCTTAATTAAACTTAATTGACTTTCATTACAGTTTTTCAAAGTGACCCGAAACACAAAACACATTCTCTGGGGATGTTGGTGCAACCCAATGCCTAGAGCGTGTGTCGAACATACGTTTTGAAGTGATTTGTAAATGTTTGGGATAAACACACTAAACAGGAGAGATCAACTATTCATTATTGAATCATCGTCTTTTGTTTAGTCTCTTCACCTTTGCGGTTTTGGGGAAACTGTCGAAACCCAGACGTTCATTGAGCAGCCGTGGTGTTAAATTCAGCCAGAAGTAGTTCATCAACTCACCGAAAATCCCTCTAGGTGCTCCAGTACCTCACTGAAAACACCTCTAAGTTGTTCAACACTTCGCCAAAAAATGGAAAACGACTCTAATTTACCAAGCACACCTAGTTGAACACGTCTCCAAGTTATTTTGCCTCTAAGTCTCGAACGTCTCTAAGTCGTGTTTCTATAAGTTGTCCAGCGCCTCACTGAACTACTAACAATAAACAGGATACCATTATTGATAGCTTTTAGATTGTCCAGTGTATCCACTACCTCATTGAATCCGCCAAAGATATTCAACAGTAACACCAAAGATGTTCTTCACCTCATTGAAACACCCAAAGTTGTTCGAAAACATCCGGGTTGCCATTCACCTTATTGAAAACACCGAAGTTGTCCAGCACCTCATTGACGAAACACTCCAATATTGAATGCAAGAGGCAAAAATAGTTCAAAAATGTTTGAATACAATATCTATATATCTATATTTTCAGCCCTACATACCTGCCCTCAAATAGGATGGGGTCGAGGAGGGTCGTCAGGTCACCAGGCGAGTGCTTGGATTGGATAAAACAAAAACAGGTAAGGTAGTTTTTAAACAACTTTTAAAGGTGTCCAGTAAATTTTTGCGAAGTGGTATTTGGCAGCATTTATGTGGGCACGATACATCTAAACAATAGGAAGAGTCAATTGGCCAACGTTTCTTGAATATCTCATCTAAAAAAACTGCAAAAATCATATTCAATACGACATCTATTTAAAATGCCTAAACTCATTTTTCTATAATTCATTACGAAAAACAAACATCGTAACTTGCGATTACAGTGACTTGAGTATCGCTAATAGCTGCAATTCTCATCATATAATTATGACGCTTAAATAAGTTTTAATCCATAATGATGTCTTCTTTACTGATTCGAGACTCGAGCGTGAAGCTTCTCTGTAATATCGAAGCTTGAAAAAATCGTTTAGAAAGTTAAAAAGCTACATTTTAAGGGTGCAATTGAAAAGGATGGAATTAGTATTTATGTCACCACTTGTTTTGGTCTCCAAGTCCAACTGTTTTTGTGACGTCGTCCGGTGGTGGGCGTTTGGCGTCTGTAACAAATGGCAGGTAGTGACATTTGCATGTTATAGTGCCTTGTTTCAATTCGGAACTTGTCGTCACAATGCTTGCTATATTTTAAGATTATCAAGGATGAGATCACAGCTATTGCCCTTCAATCAATATTTGTTTTTCATAATAATTTAGTGTCATTCACTGATTTACTTCTGTGGTACACCCATATTGAAAATTATTAATGAGGAACTGAGACAAGGAAGCCGATTAACTTATCCCGGTACATCGATTTCAACGTCTATACTTTCCCTGTCAAAAAAACAAAAATTGGTAATTGGTATTTTTATCTAAGATAACGCATTGAATTACCGAACAAATGATTAATGAAAATCACAAAGGCACGAATAAAATTCCTCTTTGAGAATCAACTTCTCGTATGTCAGTAGATAACGAATAACGAATGTAAGTATTCGATATCACATTTGTCGTTTTTAATGATTACGCCTGCTTGTTATTGTTGCTAAAAGGAGTCTACGAGGCCCTATCAAAAAGGTTTCTTACAAAACGATAGCATTTGGTAAGTTACTTTTTGATCGATCTCGCACATCTGAATAAATCGATGAAGGGTGTAAAACAAGGAGTTTTCAATTTATCCTGAAAAAGTTGATTATGGATTCGGAACGTCTTTCACACCTGCATATCTTCATGCACGCATCCAACTCATCGTTCCATCATAATAACAGTGGCATTACTCAAAAAGAACGAATTAGATCTGAAGGGCGTGGATTTGTCGGATCGTCTTTCAGCTCGTTAAAATAATCTTTTACTGTCTTCAGTATCAAAACGAGTATTGTACAGCGAAATCTTCTTACATACTGCAAATATTTTGTCCAGAATCCAAGGACGTCATCCGTAGTATTGTACGGTTGAATAGAAAAGCATACTACGTGCTCCTTAGAGGGAAGCATGTTTTAGAAGGAATTGAAAGTATTGAATAGAAAAACACACTGCATGAAGAAAGCGTATACAAGAAGGAGTGTGTACAAGATGAGAAGTGGTCACACGATGTGTTCACCAGAATGAATTGTTTTGCCCGAGAGATATAGATTACAAGATATAGAAAAGCATACTACGTCCTCAATAGAGAGAAGTGTTTGTTAGAAGGAAGTGCTGTTTAGAAAAATTAAAGTATACTACGTGCTATTAATAAGTGTATTAGAAGGAAGTGTTGAATAGAAAAGATACGACGTCAGATACTGTACATCGCGGCATTTTACTGCATTTTTACATGCGTACTTACTTTTAAAACCATGATATCTTGACAGCAAAATCATATTTTTCTACAACTTTTCGTCATCAGTTGAACACGTATGTCCATGAAATATTTTGCCTATCAGAATTCCAAATAACTGATTTGGGACTTTTTAAAAGAGAATCACGCAAGCCATATTATGTGACTTTCTATGCTAAAACCGGGTGTGGACTGTAACATTTTGAAGAAAAATGATTTTAATTTTAAACGAAACATGAAGATAACTTTTTCATTTCTTAACGGATCTTTCTCAAATTTTCACAATATTTAAATTCACCATTTTGAAAAGCACAAACAGATTCTGTGTGATGACGTCATAATATAACAATGCTAACTTAACGCTTATATTTATGCAAAAAAAGTGTGGACAGGCAGAATTTCGTACCAACAAGATATATATTTTGATCAATTAAACATTAAATCGTTTGAAAGGTGAATTATTCTTTTTTGATTCCTGAAAGGCATATCATATTCTATATTTTCATCAAAAAACTATATCATTTCGATTAAAATTCAGTCTGTAAGAAGTATAAATTGAAAGAAATATGAAGTGAAGCCATGTGAAAAATTCACAAAATTACGTTTCATTTTTTGAGTTCAAATATTTCTAATTAAGGGATAAACATTCAAAACTTTCCAATGTTTCAGCATATTCTTTTAAATATACCCCTTACTACATACAATTAATTTCATTTAATTTGATCCAGTATATATTGAGATAGACATCATTTTATCACCGCAACCCCAAGTGAAGCCTTTACTAAATAAGACGTTGCGCCGTTAGCGTATTATATGTTCTCCTTTATTATTTATTGCTTTAAATAAATAAAACTAAATATTCGAGTTAAAATGAATTACAAATAATGCATTTAACAATCCTTAATATCTTCCCGTCTGTGTATATGAGTTGAATATGACGAGGGGTACTGTGAAAGAGTCTAGAAAGACGGTGCGACAAAGAGAGCGCAGGGCCGAAAAGCGCGACAAAGAAGAAAACGGGTAGGGTTTGAAATGTCTACTTTCTGGTGATTCTAATTCTGTATATCGTGACAAAACCTTTTTGAATATAGAATTTTATTGAAGCGCACATTAATCTGAACAAAACTTGAAGTTTTTAAGAAGATTCCACGAATATTAAAACTTTTGCAATTATATGGAGGAGCATTGCGCATACTTATCGCGTAAATCTTTGCATTTTGTCGGTAAAATGAACAATTACAATGTTACGCCGTGATGTACAGTATCTGACGTCGTATCAAAAGGATACTACGTGCTCAATAGCGAAAAGCGTATGTTAAAAGGAAGTGCTGAATAGAGAAGCATACTACGTGCTCAATAGAGAAAAGTGTATGTTGAAAGGAAGAGCTGGATAGAAATATAGAACATGCTAAATAGAGGGAATGAAGTGTTGAATAGAAAAGCAAACTACGTTCTCCATAGAGAGAAGCGTGTAGTAGAAGGAAGTGCTGAATAGAAAGGCAAACTATGTGCTGCATAGAGAGATGCTTGTATTAGAAGGAAGTGCTGAATAAAATAATAAAAAGCGCGTACTAGAAGGAGTGTGCACAAGATAAGAGACGATCGCAAGATTTGTTCACCAGAAAGAAGTATTTAGCTCGAGAGATATAGATCACAAAATCGAAATAGATGTAGACTTGATAGAGATAGATGTTCCCATTGAATCCAATGTAGAAATAGGTCTTAGTTAGATAAAAACAAGTGTTCCAACCTATAAATCGGTGTTCAAGTGTGTTTACTTGGTAGAAACAATTAGGTGTTCACAAGGATAAGTACTACTGTAACCCCTTTGAACAATCTTTACGATATTAATTAACACCAGTGAAATGAGACATTTCTGCAGAACCCGAATAACACGATGCAATTCTCAAATTAACTGCATGAATTTGTAAGACGAGGACATAAAGGGATATATAGATTAGCTGTATATATAGTGTCACCATTGATGGAGTGAGGAATGCCAGAAGCAAAACAACAACATAGTTGTCAGCTGTACATCAAAACATCGCGACAAACCTAACCGCAACGATAGGCCGTGATACAGTTGTTACTGTTTTATCAAGGAACCTGCGAACATGCATTAAGATATAATTGACTGAAAGAAAGGATATTACTATCGATGAGTTCAAGAAATCTCGTGAGACAAAAGAAATGGCAAATGCGAGGATCCCGGTGGCTTCATCGCCAGGTAAGCCTTGTCGCACGCGTAATGTGACACCCGCGTCTATGCTGTATTTTGGGTGGAGAGTGCATAACATTGTAGGGTCAGTGTTTGGGGTTAATAAGTGCATTTCATTATTCAAATTTCACTTTCACGTTTACTCATTACCAAACTATTTAGTAACTAAATCTTTGTTTCATTAGCGTATATGCATGGACACGATTGTGTAGGCTTGTATTATGTAAAAGTAAACTAACCTAAGGTGTTTTATCATCGTAATTTAGAACTAGAACAATTAATGTCATGAGGACGCGATGTTGTTAAACTTCCTAAGATATTGTTAACGAGCGCTAAAACAAAGCAACTTTTAGTCGGAATGTTCGAGTTAAAAAATAATGAAGACACATTTTCTTCAAAAGAACGGCTTTCAACTACAAAAAAGATAAAGGAGCGTTTCACTAATTGATCAGTACAGTGTACATTAGGAAAGGGTCTAATGATAATGATTATGTTTTTAAGAAACTTGGAGGCAAAATACACCTAGAGGTGTCAACGACTAAACCAAAATAGAACGTGATGTCAATGTTAATATAGTGTTGACCCGATCAACAAATAGTCATTTGTTAAAACTCTAAAATTATGGATCATCACAGTTTTAAGCGGAAATATTCGAAAGTCTGAAGTTACGAAACGTTTTTGACAAACAAAATGGGGCATGGATTATCAAAGGAAAAGAAAGCGCCTCCGTGCTGTTTGTTTCCCGTCGGGAAACGACGGAAAGGCCCGACGTTTGTTGATGAACAGGATGATGAGCATCCTCCCGAAGCCTTGGGGTTCACTAACCTTGCCCTAGAGGTAGGTACCGTTGCGTGGTTGTAAAAATGCGAGGTTTGAAACATGAGAAAATTCGTAAGCTTAAACATTGAAAACATATTGCCTGCAGTGCTGACAATGTATTCCATTCGTCCAGTGTAACAGATATGCTGTCTCCCGGGGATCATTATGCCTATTCAATACTGCACTTACTGGGTAAACCGATTTAGGGACAATCGTTCTTGTCAATGTACTTACCAATAATCGTGGAACTTAGAAACAGGAACATCCATTCGTATCATTCATACTTTTGGATTTCAATCTTACAAGGTGCTAATTGTAACTTGTGAATCAAGATTCAAGATGAGCATATTAGGGTGTAGGTATACTCGAATGGAAACCCACATTCGAGGTCAAGTTCTGTCCAATTTAATTGCAACAATTAAACTATTCGATTATTTTGATAAGAAATGAAACGGAAGATTCCAGAAAGTGCATAAAGAATGTACACGTACATAAAGAAAATTAAGGTTGACGGCGGCCTACATTTGACCCTCGGGCAGGCCTTATTCTCGTTATAGGTGATCTAAATCATTCTGATACTCATAACATCTTTCTGTTTCACCAGGGCTGATAAATGAGATGTAATGGTTTATCATAATGGATCTAAATATTACTTAGAAAATTTCAAAGCCCTATTGTATCAATCTTGATTCAAAACGTGTAAGTTGTTTCACACAGTACACCTTTGAAGGTGGAAAATATATAGATTCCGGCCCTTGGCGATTTTCCAATGTTGCCCATAGTGATTTCTTATTGAACGTATCTCATCGCGATCTATGATCGCACACACGACGGACAACACCTATGTCGCTCGCACACTGCGTACATCTTTACAACTGCGAACGATATGAATGCAACAATGCTGTATTGTTAACATCTTTATGCTTTTAACAGCCAGTTGATATCATCACATTTATCAGCCATCATCAGTCACATCCAATATTTTTTATAATTGCTCTATGCTACAGGCCTATAGTAATTATTACCTGGCGTTTACCTTTACACATATGATCAACAGGTTGCAGTAGATCGCCAGGGGGAGATTTTCTATGTGACCTCTTTTATCGTGATGCTATGCCAATGTATAATATCATTGAGTTCACAGTTTTAGTTAATTAATGAGAAATCGGTAGATGAAAAGTCTCGTATGTCTTTTGAGGATACGGTTACGCAATGCGATAGAACAATAGAATAGCAGAAGGACTTCAAAGAAATAATTACGATTGTGATAAGTGAATTGTATTTTATTGATAATTTACATGCAACAAGTGGAGGTCGGAATAACTCCACTTCAGCAATTTTATATTTCAATATTACTTGAATTAATAGTACGTCGATAATGGTTCGTAACAAAATATAGGATTATTGTATTAAAGCATCACTTATCGTAGAAGGATTAAATAAAAATGGATGTACATGTGTTTGTCACAGTGCTATGAATCAAATTGAAAGTGATACATGCGATAATATGGATAATACGATCCCAGCAAATGCCAAAGTTACTCTCAAGCTTTGGCTTGAAGAAGACGGAGTCATCTATGATGTAAGTTACTAGATTAGTTGAAGTGCAACTGGTTTCTGGGTTATTCTACCGGGGCTACCTGGAACAACTTTGTTGTTCGTGTGTATTTCGTGAGTAGATTTTGATTGAGGAACCAGGAAGAATGGACGGGATTAGGGGATGTAAGGATACAATATGTATGGCTATTGCCTCCCAATAAGTGGGCCTTCATATGGTAAATGATGCAGCTGCCTCAATGGAATATCATCATAGACGTTCCAATCATCTTCATTGGACGATGTTATTTGAGAGCCACAGTTGATTCCTATTTGAAATTCACACATTTACTGTTAACATTTTCAAATTGTATACCTTGACTTGGTTCACTTCCACATACGTGCTTTGTCTCATATTAAGCGCCTTTTGAGTTTTAAAGTATCCTATCATTACATTGACATTCAATTTGATAAGTGCATTTTATTTTCTACATTTTACTATCCACAATCGATTTTTGGATCTAGTTGTTCTTATTACCATTCAGTAGGATTCTGAACAGGTGCAGCAATAGCTTGCCATTGATTACGATTGCAACCCTTTCTGATAGTAGTGGCATAGGTATGAAGAATAAGATTGGGAAACTTTCTTCCGATACGTTTACAACCATATTGCATTTTTATCCTCAATGGCACCAATCTTCACTACTTATATCTGTTCTGACCATGGTCATCATTCTGATACTCATAGCAACTTTCTGTTTCACCAGAAACATCTTAGGACTGAGTCGCCACATCGTGAGATATCACAGCCTTATTCTTGTGCATAGCAGAGATGGTCTGAGTATCAGAATGGAGTCGCCATGGTTTATCATGATGATGCCCATAGGCTTAAATGATCACCCATCGTAGATCTTGTGAATCATGGACTTGTAGTGTGATCGAATGGATTTATTATTGTCAATCAGTGGATTTTGAGTGACTTCATCCCTGCTTTCACACTCTATTGTTTGACAAATCGAATACATGATGATTAATTAGGAATTATTTAAGATGTTTTATTATCTTTTAGGCTGCAATAGAGGAGGAACCGTTGGGAGAGAACTTCGCCAGTGTTCAGGATGCCAGAGAAGGCGCTCGAAAAGACAAGGTCGAGATTGATGAGTTCAAAGCACAAATGGAGAAGTTTAAACAACCAAAGGTAATAAACTGTCTTATCATATGGATAGGCTTGCAAACATCTTCTCTCTTCTCTCAAGGGGTTGGAGCACTCATCAAATACCTATCTAGTCCTGCATACAGCCTCTGGATCCCCCTCTTTCTACTTCATCTCTATAGGAGGTGGTGTGTACAGGAAGGAAGGGGGTCACAATGGCTTAAAACATGGTCTCCGTATCCATCTGGCATACAATTCCAATTTATGAGGAGGATTGATATTATGCCATGTCATAAAGACATTGTCAGTATGTTATACATGTTATATATATGTTAGGAATTTAATTATGTCAACCATCATGTCAGACTGACTTGGTTCATTCATTACGACATTGTCTTGTATCAAATGTCAGTAATATTTATATTCCAAACCTCGTATATTTGACACATTCTTGGTCTGCAATGTATTTTTCTATCTATTGATATTTGAAGAATTTCTAGTACTTAGAATTTCGTATTTGTTTATGTCAAACATTTTCCATATTTTATATCTGTACAATTATTAACAACGACTAACTACTTTGAAAATGGGAATATGGGAGTCTTTATGTTTATGATAATAATGATTTTGTGTAATGTTTACATCAGGTGTTGCTCTCAACAAAAAGTTGGAATGAAAACCGTCGTGGCAGTATGTTCATGTACCAGTTGGTTAAGTGGGAATCTAAGGTATTGGTTGGTTAGCTTTGACACTATTAGAGTGTGCCAGTGTGTCTTTCTAATATCACTGCACTATCTTTGTGTGTATATGAACTTGATTTGTTTTTCCTTGTTTGTTTGTTTTATTTGTTATTGTTTGTTGGAGTATTTTTGATAAGGGTGTTCGTCCCCCCCCCCCTTCTTGGAAAATCCCCTGAGTCATTCTTTTACAGGTTTATTGATATTTCCCCTTCTACCTCATATCTCGTTCTCTGATTTTCAAAGAAATAATGGGGCTGATTACTCGTATAGATGGCAGGTCACACGCGTGTTGTTTTGCACTAATGTTGTCTAGAGTATTACAGGGTGACACAATGATGATGCCATGCACTAATTTTGGAATAACTTTCTCAATAATGAATCTTCATGATTTTATATGTGTATATAGAGTGTTCAATGGAAAGAGATGGGTATACTTGCATAGCATCAACAACTTGAAAATTAAGACTGAGATTTTTCATTGTCCGCGGAGGCATGCTCCAACACGAAATCACTCAAAAAGGTAAATTAGGAGTCTGTTTTTTACCCAATTTTTGGAATTTCTTTTAAAAAGAGCATACCTGTGGACGGAAAACGTGATATCTCTATATCTAAAAGTTGTTGATGCTATAACAAATTAATGTCAACAATCTTTCTTTCACTGACGACTCTATCTGCACAAAAACCACGATGATTAATTCCTTCATTATTGAGAAAGTTAGTCCAAAATAAGTGAGTGGCATCTTCACCACTGTCACCTTCACCACTGTCACCTCCGAGTTTTAAGCCATCTATTGTTGATAATGCACGAAGCCATTTTGAATTGTCATTTATCTCTGGCTTACTTTTTACGATCGTTTAATCTAAATCATTATTTTGAATGTTCTGGACAACAGTTACACTCTTTCTCACCATTTTTATCCCACACACCACACCATCATGACATGCACATACGTACTATTTAAAGACGTTTGGAATGATTTCACATGTTACTCATGCAATACCAAAAAGGTCATTTAAGGAAAAACATGGCACAGAACATATTTCAGTGACGTAAGCCTGACTAATTGACAAATTGATGAATACATTGGCCTAAAACGTATGCAGTTTCATGTAAAATTATGTTCGCACATCTATAACTGTTTCTGAGGAGCTAGTGTGTACGTGTTTTAGCAATAATTATCATAAGTTTGTTTTTAACATTTATGGTTTTGCGTTACATTGGATTAGCAGTCACATCACACGAGCTAACAAACTGACACATGAGCTCTACATTTGTCAAAATATCTAATGAATTTTCATAACAGTTTTCGCCCTTTGGGCTTGCCTTGTATTCAGGATCTCAAACGAGGTCTAAGATGGAGCTGAAAATTTAGGGAAAGTGTCACTTTGCTCTGTTCTCAGAGATACATCAAAACATCAAACGTGCCTACCTTATCAACGCAAACAGTTATCCTAGTTTATTAGATACTACATTGATAGATAACGAACTACTACAGGTAAGATATCTGAAAATCATCATCAAGCAACTATCATTCAAAACCTGAACTTGAATTTTAGAACAATTAACAAACTATTACCTAATTTAAACATACGTTTTGTGACATCTGTGATTTGGAAAGCACTAATTAGTAGTATAGTATACAGAATCATTTACACACGTACGGAGGTTTATTAATTAATAATTATTGAGGGTAACGTACCCGGATGTTGTGAGCACGTTTTAGCACGCAATATAAGAACCCATCTATTGGATGAACACAATATCAATGCAATGCACTACTAATATCCAATACTCTGTGTTTGACTGCTGTTGATGTTCATACAGTCTATGAAGACAGCGCCTGATTAATTTTTGCCAGGTGTGTTCAGGTGTTTCAAGGTGATCGGAAATATCATAATGCAGATTATCGTCGTGATCAAAAGAAAAGATAAAATGGATTAATATAATAACTCCTCGATTGATACAGATCACTACATGGATATATTGGACGTTTTCTTTTAAGGATGTAGACAATATCAGCTTGGTTAAGTTTCAGTTAATAACAAATCATATGCCAACGTATTGTCAGATACGTGTAAAAAATTATTGAATCCGAGTAATACATTTAGACAGTATACTACTAGTAATCACAATAATGGTAGAAATGGTAATGATAATGACATTGAAGTTTCATAAAAACTCACATAGTTGGAGTATTTTTACATGAGTATTTTTACGCGAGTATTGTTACATGAGAATTGTCAACCTGCAGGTGAGTCAACAATTACATAATCAACTGACCTGTCCAAGACATGTCATAAAATTATGGTCAGATATCGTAGCTATCAGACATTTGAAGTGTCATCACAAAATAGTCTTGTCTCAAGCCTTTATCAAGCCCTACACAACTCATCTATGGACACGTGAAGTGGCCGCTATAGTAGATGGGGGGGGGGTCCAGAGACCCGAGACAAGACTACATACGGCATTGCTTTTTCTATCACTATATCATAATATAAACGAAGTAATAGTATCCAGTATATGTACAATAAATGAAACGCACGCACAGTATATTGGAGAAAATTGAAATTACTTTTTTCTCTGAGTCTAGTTCATTATAGATAGACAGTCATATACTGTCTATAGCTTACCTATTCAGGTGTATTAATTGAGGATGAGTCATTGTGCAAAGGTAAACCAGGAGCTTGCAATCAGATGTTTATTGCATTATTTTGTTAGTTTCTTGGATTGCTCAAGGGAATACATAATAATATTGGTTATGAATATTGGTTCTATATGTCACTCTATGTATTTGAGATTGATTTGTTTGCAGCTCCCAATCGATGATCATATAGGGTTCATTTAGTACAGACACGATTCATTGATACATTGATTTATAGAGTATGATGGTTGGAAAACAATGACAGGGGTTTCTCAGTGATTGTTTTGGTTTTTCACATTACGGGCAGTACCCAAAAGACAATGTGCCCATACCAAAATCTTTGTAGCTCACAGTAAAAACCACGGGTGTTAAGCCACGATGATACCATGATCACATGCTTTGAGGATCCGCGTTGTTTGAACCTACCGCCGAGCTCACTTATACATCAAGACCCGTTGCACAGTCATGATACCGCCGAGCAAGCTCATTGTATCATCGGGTCTGCTTTACCCCCGTGAAAAACGGTTACTCGGATCTTTTAGCATATTTCACATTTACTTTCATGTTTACTTTTAGTATTCGGCAGAAGAGATCCAAGCGATGACTTCGGGCTACAATACACTTACGGTGAGTCAGAATTTGCATACATTCTTACCGAGGGCTCTTAAAGCCTAGTTGTAAATCTATGACGTCAATCCAAAGCTCACACGATCATGTTTGGTAGTTGTACAAACTGTAAACTGCGAAGTCACACAACTAATGTGACATATGGAGACATACGTGACATATCAATAATATGAAGCTTTCTTTCTATAGTAGCCATACATTGTTGAGTGTTACTTATATTGATATACAAATAAATTCTATGGATCGAACTTTTAACGAAATTACTAATTAGACTCAAACTTTACAAGCAAGTCACACCTCTATCTCCAGGCAAAAGTCAAATGTCAACATTTTGTTCCATAATATTATCACTAATTTGAATCTTGACATCTTTTGGCAAAGAATTTGAAAATTCAATTGAAAATATTTCAATGGAAAATGAATGTTCATTCATCATTAAAGACTGTTTGTTTGCTTGTTTGTTTGTTTGGCTGTTTTGACAGTTGGTAGACTTTTTGATAGATACACACCGCCTTATTACATGACCATATCAAGTTTCGCACCAGATATGTATTGTCTCCCGAATTGAGATATCCTTTGGCGGCCGAAATACTTGGTATCCATATATTTTAAAAACCTTAATACTTGTATATATACGAGCTTTCATTTGATATGTAATCCATGTTTTAGATCATAAAAATTTGTAATATCAATTGAACACAATTCAAAAAACTATATTCATTCTGTATTTTAACAATCACCCAATTGGTTATTTTCCTGTGTCCGTGCACCAACCTGAAGGTCAAGGTTATATTCTTAGTCCAGTAAGTGGAGTATCTGACTTCAAAATCAATACTAAAAGCTCTAATAATACGGTTATTGGTAAAATGATAAGTAATTGATTTATACGTTTATCACACGGGTTATTTGCTTGTCGTTTGAATAGGACAATAATGTTATTGTGAAAGATGTTTTTAAAAAGTAGAATTGTAGGCTTTACAGATGATACGTTATCTGAAATTTACAGTTCGTTTAATTTCGTGAAACAAGTTAAGAAGTTTTGGGATTTTTAAAAAGGGTATGACAGAAATTATTTTCCTGATATGATTCTCTTTATCATGTTGTTTATAAGTGCTTTTACTTAGATATCAAGAAATGATCGATTTGGAATCATGTCGTAAAGCAACAGCCTCTTTCCTTTCATTGGGATCAAAATGTTAATCAGTGAAACATGTTTTTTCACATGAATACCCCTCATGTTTCATTAAAACCAGAAGTTATTTTAAACATACAGTTAAACCTGTCTTACTAGACACCGTTCTCTAGTGAACACTTGTGTTTAGTGAACATCATTTCAAGACACATTTTACATTGACTCCTGTATAAAATTCCCTCTCTGTAGTGAACACCTACCTACAGTGAACACTTTTTGTGGCTCTATAGGTGTTCAATATATACAGGTTTTAGGCTACCGTAGTTTAAATTTGATGCCGAAAAAGAAGCAAACGAGGTTCTCTTCCATAGAATTACACAACACGCTCCAATTGCCTCGTTTTCGAGGACAGTGAGGGGGACTAAACGCCAGTCTCTAAATGATGACACTTTAACAGACTGTCTTTGTCACATTTATTTGCTTTGCGATTTTTAACGTCACTCATACTACAATGAATTATCAGTTACTTAAGTTATGTCCACATATAAAATTGAAATCAATTTGATGATATTTGAATGTCACCAAAATTAGGAGTCAATAAACAACGAGATATCTGGGAGATAAACAGTCATTCAGAGTGAATTACATTGTAAATAGCGGCTCTTGATACAACGTATATCTCTAAACCACACACATATACCGTTATCTGAACAAGACCGTATCTCTTTTGATTTTCTTTACGTAACTAGATAACTTACACTTATTTAGTTCAATATAGAAATAGAAATAAATCTTGTATTTAAGTGGCTGTGTTTTGAATATAGGATAATATTAAAAAATACGCCATCATTTCCACAAACCTAATTTTATTGCTTGAATTGAAGGGCATTAAGATATCGAATTCAAATAAGTTATTAAAGATTCATTATCCAAAAATGTCCGAATTTATTATCAAGGAGTCGTCCACCTCTTCAAAACTATTGCCGTATAATCTTAAAATCAAAGGATTATATAATTCATGACAAGGATGTTGTGAGGTTGTAAAATTGTGACTTGTCTCTAGTCTTAGTTGCTCCATAAAGAAAAAAAAACGTTTTTTTTGGACCAATTATTTTATTTTCACAATTTACTCATCTGCTGTAGTACTATATCAATCAGAATGGAAAATAACAGTTGTTACATAAAGTGAATGATATTGAAATGCGATACGGCCATGACAATTAGAGAAACTTTACTCTTATAATCATCGAAGGAGTTTGTGGGGAAGCTACTTTTTTATTGCCTTGTATCATTTGTAATGCGTAATATTTCACATTGGAAAACATATAAAAACATCAAATTAATGATTGAAATATAAAGGTGTCGGGCTACTGTCTTCTTTAACAGCGCATTTGAGAGCATCTTTAAAAGAGAGCTTTATCTTCAGAGAGGGTAGTAATTATTACTAGTCTGGGCGTCAGGGTAAACCCGCATACCATACCGAGAAACAGAAGCATGAAACACTGGAAAATCAAGAACACAGATATTTAACGAGTAAATTAATGTCTAAAACACCTAGACTTGTTTCAAGACCCTGGACCCCCGTATCTACTTAAAACACATAAGCTGGGGGTCCAGAGTCGTAAAACAAGACTGGAAATATCGTATCTATCCAATTCCATACTCAGCTATTTCCCCAGCTTATAGTATATACAGTATACCTGTAAATATATGAAATTACATTCTAGAATAACATCAATTATTTAAGCAAGGCCATGATCTGATGATAATGAATTCATTTCCATTTCGGACACTTATCCAACTTTCAGTTGTAACTTTAATTTACTGACTTTAATCACTGGGGGGTATCGTGATGCAACAACACCGTGTTGTTGCATCAAGATGGCCAGACTTCCGGTGATAGATTTTCGTACGATGTTTTGTTTTTCCAATTTACACCCATTTCTAGGACGAGTTGCTCAATAATCATACACATGCAGTTAGCGCATGATCTATATTTAAAAAAACTGTCATTGGTATACATGTAGCATCATCAAGAAGCGATAAATTCGTGGTTTTAATTCCTCACTATTGATGCAACAACACCACTCTGTTTCTTATCGATGATGCAACAACACCAATGTGCTGATGCAAAAACGCCAATATAATGTATCATTGAACAACAAGAGAAACTGTTTTATGTTCTGTTTACAGGTGTAGGTCGGGACATGAATAAAACGCGTGAGTCAGTGGTCCATGAACGAAACGTATTTTGTTTGGTTTCTTTGTCTATATCAAAGTTAAAAGGATATACAAGGCAAACTAAATAAAGTACAGAATCCCCGGGAGGCAATCTCATTGATATTGTATCTGAAAAATAAAGATTATACATTTTCTAAATTAAATGCCCTTGATTTATCGTATGGAAATTGCTTACAAATAACTAATATAATTTTGGAAAGACAACAGATATCAGTCATTTTGTGTTATTAGTACCTCAATTGAAATGCTCAATTCTGATTGGTTGATTAGCTACTTCTGAAAAAAAGTATCATGACGTCACAAAAAAACATGGAAGACGGACATTTTGTAAACGTTAGTGAAAATGACTTTACTAGGCGACAAGTATAGCAAAAATACAAATAGAAACTTAAAATTAACATTAATTCACTAACGAGTACGCCGTGATGTGCCAAATACAGAGTTAAGCTACTTGCACTGTCTCCAGATTTTCTAAAAAAATATTGCTAACGTGGTTCGGAGAAAAGGTTGTGAAATGAAGCCATGCCGATTAATGATTGTCGTCTATATGTGTATTATTAGTTTACTCAGACTAACAAAACAAGTGTAGACCTCTCCATTCGATCAACCGTCAAAATCATATACCTCGACTGTAAACCTCGACCTTCGGTCTCTGTCAACAGTAGTTTTTCGTATACAGTCTCGGTATACAATTTTGCCGGTTGACCTCTGGGGAGGTCAACAATTGTAAACTGTTGACCACTACTAGGTACTGTTGACCCCTATTTTTGAAAAATTGTTTTTTTAATGTTGAATTTTTTTTAATTTTGAAAAAATAAGTTGTGTAAAAAAATTACAAGTATTCGACGGCTTGGAGATACCTTTACTTATCAAATATGTTCACGTGACATTCGATTATATATTCGTCCAATTATTATATTATTTGGACTAACAGAACAATTGCTAACCTCTCTTTTCGGTCAACTGGCAAAAGTGTCCTCGACCTCTGGTCTTGATCAACAGTACTTTCAAGGTTTACAGTATCGGTATACAATTTTGCCAGTTGACCTTAAGAGAGGTCTACAATTGTATAATTTATATCCTTCAAATTATGATATTCTTCGGACTAACAAACAATTGTCAACCTCTCTATTCGGTCAACTGGCCAAAGTGTATACCTCAACAGTAAACCCTGAGAGTACTGTTGACCTCGACCTCCGAACTTTCAAGGATTACAGTATTGGTATACAGTTTTGCCAGTTGACCTCAATTGTATATTGTATATCCTTTGTTATCCCACCCAAAGTATGATGTCATGTATCAAGTTGAAGAGTTGTATACGCTGCTCAGGAGTTTACGCTATCCAGGAGTTGTACATCGTTCTCAAGAGTTGTGTAGGAAGAGTGTTGGTTTAATGATATTGCAGTTGCTATTATATAAAGGTTATTTACTGAGAGGGATTCAATATTGGTTTTATTCCGAGAGACAATATGATATTTCCCGAGGGCCCGGGATATCTGGGATAACTGTACCCCTATCAATTTACCTTTTTGGGCCCTTAATCTTATCACTTTTGTTTACCTTTTTACTCAGTCGGAGAGAAGGAATCCAAAGAGAGCAATAATTGTACACGTGCGTCGTGCAAGATTTCCATTAAACGTGTAACTAAACGGCCTCTCTAATAAAGTCAATTAGACGTTTTTACACGTTGGCTCTCCAAATTGGAGGAGATAAAGAATCATATCATATTATATCATAGATGAAGCAATCATCCCATTAACATAAGCTCACGAATGTCACAGTTAAACTGTTTTAGTTATAATTTTATAAACAGTGGTAACGTACATCTAATAGTTCATCACTGTTCCACAGATGGATGACAGATAATTTCCAATAGCTCATCATGTTTACCGAGAACGAAAGATGTTTGTCCATCATTTTGAATGATACTAACTGGAGTCAGGGTCATCAAGCTATGGAACAGTGGTTTATGAAAATAGATTGGGTTACTAAAGCTTGCCATGCTAAAGGCGATTGAACTATGCTATAGAACAACGTCCAGTACATTATAATATTTAAAACTATAAATTTTTGGAAAAACATATAAAGGATCTTCGCCCGCAGGACGTGTATTTTGAATGCCTTGAGAAGAACGCAAATATGGGTAATGGGTAACGGTGTTGCAATAGTAGCATTTAAAAATCTGTTCCTCTCGAGATTTATGGTCTTCTGAAATTATACTATTAGTTGGTGTTGCTGCATCATTGCTCAAATCTAGAGGGGTGTTGTTGCATCTTCGGTTTGGTGTTGTTGCATCAATAGTGAGGAACTAAAACCGTGAACTTATTGCTTCTTGGTGATGGTACATGTATACTAATGACAGTTTCTTTAAATAAAGATCGTGCGCTAACAGCATGTGTATGGTTATTGAGCAACTCGTCCTAGAAATGGGTTTAATTGGGGAAACAAAATATCGTACGAAAATCTATCACCGGAAGTCTGGCCATCTTGATGCAACAACACGGTGTTGTTGCATCACGATACTCCCCAGTGTTTAATGCAAGAAGCCAAATCAATTAACTCTGGATTTAGATATTCAATATAAGAATAATATACGAGGGATAATTAAAAATATTGATATAAACGAAAAGTGTGTATTGTTCAATACAATTGTAAAAGATAATAAATTGTGTATTTTTATAAAACTGTTTTGAATCTGATGAAATAAATAAAAAATAAACAAGCATATCAAATGACAGTTAAGAATGGAAAGAGGGTCCTTCTAACTATTTGTATCGCAAAGAGAGGAGGGGTATTTAAAGTATGGGTTACCAGCATCCATCAGGTGTCGTACATTCCAGGGAAATTCCTGAGCTCATCCGCCTCACAAGAGTTCACGAGTCTCATTCTCAACAGATGCTCATTAGACAGATGTAAATGCGTTTGTAAAATACTGTAATGTCGATTCAAACATGTTTATTGATTGATTGGGCTTAGACGCAATGTGATTCTCATTATTAATATATATACAAATCCTGCCTGTTCTACGTACTCCAGTATCAACTTATTATGAAGGGATTGTCCGCCATTATTTTAAGGTGTCTGTACACCCTGAGTAGGGTGGTCCAAAATATGGCGAAAAACCAACTTTGTTTCAGATCATCTTCCTCATTTCACTTACTGTTGTCCATGACATAAAACACCTGCACACCAAATTTTAACACCCAAATCACATGGGAAATTTACCCACGCTTCGACTGAAAATTCGGTTATTTCATGATTTTTTGCTATTTTCGATAAATTGTCATCTCCCTTTCCTGGTATAATATGTTTCTATTTTTTCATAATAAACATTTTTGTAGGACTCTTTATTACTTCATAATACTAAGAACCCATACACCAAATGTTGAGACCCAAATCCCATGGGAAATTTACCCACGCTTCGACTGAAAAATTCGGTTATTTCATGATTTTTTGCTATTTTCGATAAATTGCCATCTCCATTTTCCTGGTATAAAATGGTAGATGTCTTTTCATAATAAATATTTTTGGATGACTCTTTATTATTTCATAATACTTAGGAACCCATACATCAAATTTTGAGACCCAAATCCCATGGGAAATTTACCCACGCTTCGACTGAAAAATTGGGTTATTTCATATACAATACAATACATCTCTATTTTCCTGGTATTATATGTTTCTATTTTTTATAATAAATATTTTGGGAGGACTCTTTCTTACTTCATAATACGAGGAACCCATACCCCAAATATGCACCAAATTTTGAGACCCTGGCCCCATGAGAAATTAATTCATGCTTCAACCAAAAATTTGTGATTTTCTGCGAATTTTCTTCTATTTTCAATAGATCAACATTAATCTTATATTTAGTTTTTAAACATTTTAGGAGGACATTAATACGTTCTTAATACTAGGAACCCATACATTTAATATGTACCAAATGTTTAGACCTGAACCCCATGGGAAATTCACGTTTGCTTTGATCATATACTTTTGATTTTTGTCGTTTAGAGCACCATATCATTGTTGTGTGATGTGCAATTTGTAATAAATTGTATTACATGTTGTCTTAATTATCCTGTTTGGCCTTACATACGTTACATCGTGAAAGATGGTTATATAGTACTTTAAGGTAATTCCTTATTTTCAGTTTTAATGGCTTCCTAATTGGAGCCCCGTGTTTTTTCAGGAACACATAACTCATTCCATTCAGATGCACAAACAGTGTATAAACATAGCACATAGTACATTATAGAAAATTACTAACCATTAACTAATAATCTAAATACATATTTGAACTCAGTGTAAAATTGAAAGAGCTGACCAAGTATGGAATGAGTTCCAGAAATAACATTGGACTCCACTTAAAATTTCTGAACATACAGAATTACCTTAAGTGTTTCTCATTGCTCTTCCTATCTTCTACATTGTGTACTTTCAGGGCATGAACATTTTCAGAGAAATGACAATGCTCAGTGGAAGCTCGAATCCCTTGAAGATTTGGTACAGGCTAACTGGTTACAACAGAGACCATGCCATTGATACATTGATCAATCAAAAGATCATTTCTCCAAAGAAAATCAGATTTTATATTTGACCTTACCCTGCAAAGATGTGAGAAAGAATATGACATCTCACACAAATCCAAACAAAGTCCTGTGATGTATCCCTACTGAAACCAACAAACCAAATCTTCAAGGCATTTGAGTTGCTGTCGAGTCATCACTTCTTAATATTAACCACAGTATATAAATGTACAAGTAAAAGATCCTAAATTTCCCCAAACTACTGAATTTGTCGCCTTTCAATAAGACTTAAAGTCTTGATATTTAGGTGTTTCTTTGGATTAAGAAGGAATAACCATTATGTTTATTAACATATTATGCCCCTAAAACAGACATCATAAGCTATCATAAGCACCAGTTTTCAGTCAAAGCATGGGTAATGTTCTCATTGGATTTGGGTCTCAAAATTTGGTGGATATTTGGTGTATGGGTTTTTAGTATTATGAAGTAATAAAGAGTCCTCAAAAATGTTTATTATAAAAACATATCGTACCAGGAAAATGGAGACAGCAATTTATTGAAAATCGGAAAAATGTGAAAATCACAATTTTTCAGTCAAACCATGGGTAAATTTCCCATGGAATTTGGGTCTCAAAATTTATTGTATGGGTTCCTAGTATTATGAAGTAATAAAGAGTCATCCCAAAATATTTTTTATGAAAAAATAGAAACATATTATACCAGGAAAATGGAGACAGTTATCTATTGAAAATCGGACAAAACTGTGAAAATCACAATTTTTCAGTCAAAGCATGGGTAAATGTCATATGGGATTTGGGTCTCAAAATTTGGTGTTTGGGCTCCTAGTATTATTAAGTAATAAAGAGTCCTACAAAAATGTTTATTATGAAAAAATAGAAACATTTTATACCAGGAAAAAGGAGATGGCAATTTATCGAAAATAGCAAGAAATCATGAAATAACCGAATTTTTCAGTCGAAGCGTGGGTAAATTTCCCATGGGATTTGGGTCTCAAAATTTGGTGTGCAGGTGTTTTAGGTCATGGACAACAGTAAGTCAAATGAGGAAGATGATCCGAAAGAAAGTTGGTTTTTCGCCATATTTTGGACCACCCTAACCCTGAGGCCTAAATAAATGTAACTTTACGATAGAGTGTACATCTTTTATCTCAATGACATAATTATGCTTCATTATCATAAACAACTTTATAATGAAGGTGGGATTGTCTGTCACTATATTAAAGAAATTAAGAAGCTACTCGCGCCAGTGTAAGGACCAGAGGAACGGGGTATCGTGCTTACCGAAATCTATTTACCAAATCTTACCTAACCAAGGTCAAAACAGGCAAACAAAAATAGAAGATTAAAGAATTGATTTGTTACAAAACCCTGCATTAAATTTGAGTTCATGTTCAATCCACTTATCCACTTATGTTTGAGGAAAAGAAGTGGGTGGAGCAATATGAAAATTTGATGAAATCTATTTGTACATATTTTGTTTCAAGTGTTGAATTCCAAGTCTGATTTACACAGTATGTATACTCATATTAACTTAATGTAAATTGCAAATAGACTTATATAAATGACATTAAAACCTATGTTGTCCTTTTGTTTCCAGGACCTGTCTACTGCAAAACAAAAATGTTTGGAGTCACTGATGTTTGTCTCCGAGCTCGAGGAATATTATTCGGTAAGGAAATACTACACGATTTATGGAGATGAAGTAACTCAGGGAGTGGCTTTTATTGAAACTGTATGAAATATGAAATGACAATTATATGATATGATGTGGTATGGTATGGTGTCATTTCATGATACGATATGGTATGGTATGATATCTTGTTATATGATATGGTATGGTATGATATGGTATGGTATGGTATGGTATGGTATATTACGATATCGATATCGTATGGTATTTATTCTTAAAATAGCATTGGAATCAAACCAACATTACAGGGGAAATTAACAAAAAAACAAAATTACTCAGTCGGAGGGAAGGAATGTTTGACATCAGTATGGTATGATGTGATATGACACCTTATGGTACGATTAGATGAAAAATTGGGTTATGAAAAAAGATATGTAATGTCATGCCAAGTGATATGTAAGAATAAAAATACGATATTCTATACCCAAAGTTTATATCTATATACGCGATGATTTTGTTCATATGTATTGGTAAGATATGATATAAATGATATAATAATAACGCACGATGCAAACTGACGTACAATAAACAATAATTGAATATCATTATAGAACTTAGCCGTAGAAATCGATACTAGAGCCCTTCAGCTTAGTGAAGAGGCCACAACATCAGACTCCTTAAAGCATGTAGGTAGCGGAAGTGACGTTGTAACCAACACCTACCAGAAATGTATCTACGCTGTGAGGAACACATGGCGGTGGTTAGGCCAAGTGAACCACTGTTTAGAGATACATATGAAAAACGCTGCACAATACCATCAGGTAATTAGTCTTGCTTCAAGACCTTTGACCCCCTCTTATCTACTTTAGCAACACTTGTTGAAGTAGGGGGGGGGGGGGTCTTGGAGCAAAACTACCAGATAATCAAATGTTTATGTTCAGGAACAGGACGGGAAACATGACGATTTCATCCACTATCTCGTATGCCTATTTTCAATGTCAGATGAATAATTCAGATTTTTTATTTCGCCATCTATCTGGCAGAGGATATATGATAGTACTTAGGAATGAATAGCATGCTCTTTCTTGCAGTTTTTCCACGAAGTTAACCACTGTGAACAAGGTTTGAATGATCTGATAGGATGGTTGAACAGATACAACAACAGCCAGAGAAGCAAAGATCCTATGGAAGAAATGAAAGACATAAAGGTTTAAAATTTGAAAATGATATATAGGCATTTCAGCTCTGTTACTCTTGTAAGCTCAGGTTTAGACTCAAAAAGTATGTATTGGATATCATTTGCCAACAAAAAATGAGTGAAGTAAATCATTGTAACTAGTAGTATGGAGTGTGCAAAAACGTCATCATTCTGCAAAATATCTTTCATTGCCTTGATAAAATATTTTGATCTGTTACTCCCCTATTCCAGGACGCTACCAAGACACTGCTAGACTTCCAGGCAGCTGTAGAGGCCCTTGTAACCAGAAGTGGTGATGTAGTTCCTCTCAAACAACGCAAGGACCCTGATGGACTGCCAAGACCGGTCACTGCTCTAGTCCCTTATTCACAAGATGGGGTAATTTAATTAACTTTAATATTTTGTTCACATTTAACTTTAATCTTTTGTTCACATTTGTTTTTTTCAATATTTTTATCAAGCATGTAATAAGTAAATCTGGATTAGCTACATTACATTTATGGTTGCTATAGTAACATTGACAATGATACTCTCAAATAGAAAACGATAATTATGCTCTAATTATATTTGCTAGGTTGATATCACGGAACAAGAAGAGTACATTTTGGTTAACAATTCTGACCCCACAAAATGGCGGATACGTGTGAAAGATGTTGAGGTCACTCTACCTGCCATAATATTTGTAATTGGGGCTCCTGATAGAGAGGCGGTCGATAGAGCAAGGAGGTATATCTGGAAACCATTACAATAATATTACTACAAATGGCTAAATATATAAATCTAAATTATAAGACACAAGAAACACAACATTCGTGACAGAGGGAACTCAAATGACAAACCAGTTAGGCAATATAGCCGATATTAACCGTAATACCCAAGGTCAACAAAACTGAGTAGTATTTAATAAAAGATTAGCAATTAAGAAATGTTTTAACCTAATAATTCATATTGTCTTAAAGTATACAGTTTTATTAACAAGTTTTATTAAAATTGATCTAGATTGAGGATGAGACTACTAGCGTGTTGGAAATCATGTTTGTCGATTGTACGTCATCAGCTCACTATTTTCATGAACGATGTTCTGCAAGATGACACCAACGATGACGTAAGTATTATTTTTGCATTTCAAGTGCTCTTTTATTGCATTCACTATCAGGTTTTCTGTAGATTCAGTCGTCCCAGTATATGAACATAAATGCTGATATTATTTCCTTCCAAATGTCTATTCCATATCAATGTTATATATTGAATTTCATTGTATTCAGTATCAGATTATTATATCGCACTTTAAAGAGTGCCATGTTTCCTGCCAAAGTCTATACCACATATATAATTGTTATTCTAGGTAGCTGAACTAAGACGTGACCAAAGGAAAGAGGTGTTACAATTTCTCCATGATACTCTTGACAAACTATGCCCTCCAGATCCCAGAGATGCTCCTTATATCGCTTTGGAAGATACGTGTTCTCAACTAACAGACACCATACAGCAATCCCGTGGTAAGTATATGACATTAATATTAATGCTTAACTTTTGTCTGTAAGATTACCCCTATATCTCCAGCTTGTGACAAGAGAGTAAGGTTTCACCTTTTTTGGACTTCTCACCGTTAACCTAATCTTGTAGTTAATATAGAAGTAAAAGTATATGGGACACCTACTTACACCTTAACCACAGTAGCAGCTCATCATAATCAAACAAAATTCTCTGATTATTGAATCAGTAATATGTAGAGGGTAGAATACTTTTACAATCTATTTCTCACCCCAATATTTCTTACAGTTTCATTTCAAGTGCCAGGAGGTGACTGCGATTTCTTGTTTGTGGCAGATGAAGGTAAAATGGCCACTGAATATTGTAGTGCAGTTTTCACCTAGTTGCTATTATAGTAACCATGTTTCGTTGCTAAAGTAACCATGGTTATTTATTATTTGCTTCAGTGTTTATTATTTTACTTTAGTCATTATTATTCAAAAGTATCATTTGGGTGGAGATAAACTTGCATGAGCCTCATCAAGTTGTTTTTTATGATCACAAACATTAATTTAGAAATCATATTTGAATTGGGACTGACGGTTGCACTACAAAATCATTCATGTATGTTGTCATATATGGTGTGGCATCTGGCATGTGCCTTCCTTGACAATTCAGCATAGCATGGTTATTTGGTTATCACAGTGATTGATACGCCTCCATCCACTCTAGGTGCATGTAACAGGGTATAGGGTATTTCCCCCTCATTATTGGATGCAGTTTTATATAATAATTTACTCTAAGGATGATGGCTTTGACAACGTTGCATGTTCATTTGATATAATGTAATGTAAAAATGTGATTATTGATACGCATCGTATGCCGAATGTTGAATGCTACGTACATGCTGTTGTTCTGCTATCACAATACATGCTTTGTTCTTTGTGCGAAATGAGTATATAGTTAGTATTAACTTCATTCTCTTGTAGGTATATATCAGAATCTTGCGTCCTTTCTCTTATTAATAAACTTTTCAAATTATTATATTTTTGTGCTCTGTCTGGGAACTAACATTTAACATTGGCAATTTACATATATTCAGCACTAACAAACCCCCCTTTCGTTACTGAAGATGCAAATGGATGCTTTGATATTTCAGGAGAACCAAGATACACCAACGGGTCAGACAATGGCAAATGGAAGACTTATAGCAAACTGCTTAATACATATGAGGTGATTATGTGAAATAAAAAATCCTGAAAATGAAATATTCAGAGACAAATAAATTCAATGCAAAAATAGCCTTGGAATGACATCAATATTACAGAGATAATTTATGTAAAACTAAATTCCATCGGAATATACAATAATTTCTGATACAAGATTTTCAATCATCTTCTATCATGGCATGATAATAAATTTACAGAGGGCTTAATTACATAGCCTGAGTCTGTTCAATACAATGTTTTAAATTAAAGGCTTATTTTTAAGCTTATTTTGTATTATCTTAATGTCCACATGTAAATTCAGGACCTCCACTTCTGACTATATAGTAAAGAAGAGAAGTTGTATATACAAAAATTCTGATTCTAGGATCTTCAAACTTATGTTACAACATATGAAGAACTTTTAGCTTCTACCAAAGAGGAACATTACTATCTCATCAGAAGTATGCTCAACGAAATCAAGTTTGTCACCAATGCTTATGTGGAAAGGTATGATGGTGTTACTACTTACTTTAAGTATGGACTTCGAGACTGTATTTCGTCTGTCCCACATCATTTGAGACTAAATGCTCTGTTTTATAAGTACTATTTTCGGATGTTATGGGAATTGGCTTTAAATTTTTAAACTTTTCTTAAACATGTATTGTAATGACTTCAGTATGAATGAAATGTCCCTTGGTGTTCTGCTCCTGAATTATGATATTGATTCTCGATTGGAGGGGAGGGGGAGAGTGTTAGCCATTATTTCATTTCATGATAGTTCATGGTTTTGGGATATACTATATATTATATGGTCCATTTTTCATATGACAGGTTAACATTTGAGTTTGCTTTTCTTGCTAGATTTCTTTACAGTTTTTGGCCCTCTCCCTTTTGTACTTGTTCTTAGGTAGTTGTATATATTTGACAATAATAACACAATCCATGGCTACATACCAGATATTATAGTTTTTCATTTCCATCAAACATTCAATCCGACTGAATTATTTAAGTTGTATATTTTGTTAAAGTCTCACTGATTTTTTTCTTTCAGGATGAAACCTGTAGAAATTGACCATACTGTCCCAATTGAACTACAAGACAGGCTACGTGTACCTAAATATATGGCTCTAAATGAACGAAAGGCCACTCCATTCCCTGAATCCTCCACTAAACGGCGTGACATAACTGTATTGACAAATGGTGACAACGTTGAGGAGGAGGAAACAACATTGCTTAAGTCAACTATAAAAGAGACAAAAACGTTTGTTATCGTAGGAGTGATAGATCCTAGAAATGACGAACAGGTCAGCATATATGAGGCAATAGCTGACAAGATTATTGACCAAGTTGATGGCGTCTATAGGAATCCTGAAACTGGCTCCACTATGCCTATCCCTGAGGCTATGAACAAAGGACTTATAGCAGTCGAATTCACAGACAAAACTGTAGAAGAGGAAACGACAGAGACGGATGTTGTAACCAAAGCAACATCTTTAGAGACAACCACATATTCAGTAACAGGTGTCATTGATCCATTAAACAAGAAAACAATATCGGTGGCCGAAGCCATAGACAGAGGAATTCTTGATCAACATGCTGGCATGTATGTCGATGTTTACAACAACACAAGCATATCGGTAGCTGAAGCTATTGAGAAGGGATTTGTACTAGTCACTGAGGAATTTGTTGAGCCGAGAAAGTTAGTCAATGGAGTAAATTGTGAGGTACATGGTGACATAAGTGATGATGATGATAACACAGGTTCAGCACAAGCCCAATATGTGAGCAAAAGTTTTGTTATCCTAGGAGTGATAGATCCTATATCTAACTGTGAGATTTCATACGACGAAGCAATCAAGCGAGGTATTTTGGACATTGAAAATGGGTTATACATTGACCCTAAAACAGGAGAGAGAATTTCGATTGCTGATGCCATTAGAAAAGGATACCTTAAGGCGAGACTTGCTGATCCCACAACTGACGTTGGCAATAGATGTTTGGTTACAACTAGGGTACTAGAAGTTATTAGGCAGAAGTCAGAGGATAATGAATCAAACAAGAGCAGTATAGATGACGTGGATATGACTGTCCTTACAACAAATGAAGCAGCTTACAATAACCTTAAGAATCTGATTGATGTTAATATAAGGGGTATCAAAGACCCTGCTACAGGATATGATCTCACTGTGGATGAAGCTTACAATGGTTCAATTGTGCATATGGACAAACTGGAATATAACGATCAAAATGGAGACTCTGTGAATATACAAGAAGCAGCAGCATTAGGGTGTGTCCAAATAAACACTGCAAAGGATATTCTGGTTGGATATGAAGTTAACAGCCTAGATAACTGCTTTAAGGCAGGCAATATTGATATTACCACTGGTAGATACACCGATTCAAACTCTGGTAATAATATCACAATTGCAGAGGCTATTGCAGCTGGCAGTTTAGACCCAAATGGAGTGTGTTATTCGGACAAGGATAATAATATCATGAGCTTAGCTTATGCCATAGAGAATAATCTATTTGATCCCGATATTGGAGCTGTTGTTGATGCAGAATCCGGTACAGCGATGAGTCTCCAACAGGCAGTATCCACAGGTGCCATTAATCCTACTATTAATCCAGTGGAAATCTGTAAACAGGCAGCTTCTCTGAAGTTCCTAAACTCTTTCTTGGACCCCTCTCTTATCAAGGGGATAAAAGACCCAACTACCTCTAAAGATATTACTATTAAAGCTGCAGTACTTAAAGGTGTATTAGACATTCCAAATGCCCTTTATAACGATATGAAAAGTGACAACATGCAAAATATTCATGATGCTGTTGAATCAGGAGCTATAACTCCAGAGACGGCTAAACAACTTCTTGGTGCAATGAAGCAAATGTCCCTTGGTGAAAGCATCGTCCCATCTATGATTAATTACGATACAGGCAAATTCACCCACCCTGATACCAAACAGAGAATCACCATAGACAATGCTATCGACCAAGGTTTTCTGGATCCTAGTCATATTTATTGTGTTGATCCCACCTCTGAACAAATTACCAATCTTGGTAATCTAATTGATGAAGGCCGTGTAGAGGCCAAATCTGGTAGATGTATCGACCCAAACACAAATGTAGGACTGAGTCTGAGAAATGCGATCAAAAGAGGCATAATCAACCCTGATATTAACCCTGAATATATCCTTCACCAATCTGCCCCACTAAAAGACTTTTTAAGGGCAGGAAAACTTAATGCTGCTGATGCATTGTTAATCGCACCAAATGGCGACTCCATTTCTTTACGTGATGCTATGGCAAATGGATATATTACCAATGGAACACTCATCCGCATTGATCCTAGCACTGGGAATGTCATACTAGCTGACAGTGCCGATGGCATTGTGGCAGCAATGATGGACATAAACAATGAGTTAACATGGCTAAATGACATAGAGAAACAATTGCTCAAACAACATAGACCCAAAGAAGACATCAGCGACATAGGAAATGCATTAGATCAAGCTGAGGTAAATAATTCTACTGTATTACTTTGGTTGAAACACAAACAATGAAGACATACACGTAAATAGAAAACTAAAGTTTCAAAATAAACTGTGATAATAGAAATTTCATGACATGTACTTTCCAGAATCTCGAAATGGAGATTGAGGGTCACAAAGACCCTATTGATAACATTCTCCAAACAGCTGATGTTGTGATGGAGAACAACAAGAATGCCAGGAAGGAACAGTTATCCAAGCAACAGCTCCAACAATTGAAGGTCAATGCTGCTGACCTGAGTATGCTTTATGAAGAGGTAATATTTGATACTAAATGTCACAAGTTTTCCAACTGATTTCTAATATAGAAAATTAGCATGACTTTTTTGGATTGCGATAATCATCCCTGTATGCATGTATTGAGAATGATGGTGGATTAAAGACATTGTGTCTTTGTGCGTTACATCATTCTAATATAATTTTCAAAATTGATCTCGAAATGGAAAATATATATTGATTAGCAATAATCAACCATAGGTTTGGGTTTTGGGGTAAAATTATGAATGTTTTCTTTTTCGTGCTGTATTTTATACTATATATTAGTCTAGTTATTCCCCATTTTGGCGACTTGGTGCCATCATAATCGTTTTCCATGACATTTCCTTTTTAAATGTTTTCAAATTAGTTGTGCGCAGTACTGACATCTTCATTGCAGTTTTTAAGTGGTATCGTACTCTTGACACTTAGTGTTAAATCATTGTGTTGTTGTGTAGGTTAGCTCTCAGGCATCGGGAAGGGTTCCTAAATTGACAGCTATGAATGATAAGATGGGTACATTCTATAACCAACTAGATAGTCTAGAAGAGTGGCTTGACAATGCTGAAGCAGAAATAGACACCATCCAACATAGCCTTGGAGACATTGATAGGTGTGAACAACAGTGTCAGCAGACAGAGGTGAGTCAGATGTAGGTGCAGGCCTAACATAAAGAAAAGGATAACTTAAGAAACAGTTGTTCCCATATTTCTAATACATTTGCACTTTTGAAAGCCTAAATGTATATTGCATGTGATCTTTTAAAAAATATTTCCAGCATTTTCTGAAAGAGGCAGTAGCAGTAGACAGTACCCTCCAGGAGTTGGTAAACACTGGGATGCAATACCAACAGGAGGCTAAGGTGCGATATAAAGATGTTCAATTTGCTTTCAAAGAAAAAAGCAATTAATTGGTCATTATAACAAAATTAATTTCATATTGATTACAGAAGTGGGATGCCCTGAGCAAAATAAATGTTTTAGTTAATCTGGAAATATTACTAGCAAGCTCGGGAAATATTCCAAAAGTTAAAAGATGATTCGATCAAATAAAATGTATCTGACATTATGTCATACCATGCTTTCTACTTCTTGCAGGGTTATGAAGAAACTCTGAAACAATACAAGCGAGCAAAGAACCAGGGGGTATACCAACCTTCCCAACAGCAGCAGCCGATCATTGAAAAAGATGTCGCCACTGCTAAAGCAAGGTACACCAATATCATGGAGAAGTGTAAAGATCTGATTGATGACCTAGCTGGTACAATTCATAAGAATAAAGAATTCAAAGACCTACAGGCACAATTAGGAGACACACTCTCGTGTCTTGGTGAACAGTTGTACACATGCGTCGACGGAAACCAAAATGGTGATGTAGATCAACAATTATCACGTGTCAATGACATAGCATCGAACCTTGCCTCAAATGGTAAACTTGTTGAAGATCTTATTAAATCTGGAAACGACTTAGTAAGAACATTAAAGAGGGGTAATAATAGGAATAATTATGATATTGAGAACATTTTGCAAGCAATTGAGAATCAACACAAGGAGTTAACATCTTTAGCCACACTGAAACAAAATGAACTAAATACCAAACTCATGGAAAATCAGGATGCTAGTAATGCATTGGATGATCTTCTTGAATGGATAGGGGAATCTGAAGATGTGTTTGATAATTTGGCACCTGTAAGTCTGGACACTGATGAATTGAATCAACAGATCATGGCTCATAGAGTAATAACAACAGACATTGCTAATCATAAACCAGCTATAGAAGCTCTGGCAACCCAGGCTAGAGTCATCAATGCACCTGAAGGTAGAATTGATGATTTAGAGTCAAGGTATATTGATCTTGAATCAAGGGCGTCTGCACGTGGGCAAGAATTAGAAGCTGTTGAGGACAGAATATCGGAATTCCAACAGGCTGTCAACCAATTGAATTCGTGGATTGGCAATTCTGTTGAAAGTCTTCACAAGCAAGAAAACATGCGCAATGCCCAGGTAGCATCTAAGAACATCAATGACCTATATGCTAACAAGAATGCGAAACAAGATCAGCTAAACAATATCAAGGTTATGGCAAAGGATCTGATAAACGATCCCAATACTGGGAATAAATCCAAACTACGGGAAACATTGACTGACGTACAAAGCAGATGGAATCAACTTGGTGAAGCTCTTGCACAGATGCTTTCTATGGAGGTATGTACATTAACGCAATGGTATTTGGTATTTAGAAATCTGAATTCTGTTAAGTTGTGCTATGTTAGACTGGTTTTAATTTTCATAGTACCCAGAAGTCCTTCAAGAGGATCGTTAATATCTAATGTAGATAAAAGTTATTAAACCAGATTACTTCTGTTCAGGCAATAGGAAACGTTGACGAATTGCTGAGGTACCTTGATCAGGCTGAGAGAGACATTAACACAGCAGAACCAATAAGTGCTGATCCTGAGACTATTGCTATGCAATTGAGAGACCACAAGGTATTGGTTTAACTGAATATATTTTCATTCATTTGATTACTATTTTCATTTTTCTTTTCGTTTTGAAACGTTATCGTCATATAATTTCATTCCCTGATTAATGTTTTAGATAATAAACGATGAGTTAGTGGACAAGAAGATTTCTGTGAAACAAATGATTGATAAGGCGAATAAGATGCTTCGTCAAACAACAAGTCCAGAAGCTGCAACAATAAAGAACAAACTGGATGCAATCAGAAACCAGACTGACCTTGTCTGTAGACTTGGTTCTGATAGGATGGCTCAGTTAGAAGAAGCTCTCCCATTGGCTAGTCATTTTAGCGAGACACTATCTGATTTGACGTCATGGGCAGGTGAAATTGAGGCTGAAATTAATTCACTTGGGCGAATGGGTCAATCACCAGAACAGATAAAGAAACAGCAAGATGTTGCAAAGGTAAAATACGATTAAAGTAATAGAAACAAAACCTATAAATTAAGGCAGATGTTAAAGATGTACTTAGTCTTTCAATACGTTCTTAACCTGTCAGACATTCTGATTAAAGGCGACGCAGAGAATAATAGAGGATCATAAACCACTAGTCGAAGACCTCGCTAATAGCGGCAGAGAACTTAGGAAACTGTGTAATGAGAATGATGGTATTCAAATACAAGATGATGTCACACATATGTGCACTAGATATGACGATGTCAAGGCTGCTATTAGGGAGAAGACTAATGCACTTGACGATGCATATAGGCAGGCTGCCTCTGAAGTAAGAGTTAATAGTATCAAATATAAACATAATTAGTTAAGCACTCGTCTCATACAAAACATCAAATGCGAATCTTGGCGAATATGGCTTTTAGGTCACTGACAAGTCAACCTCGTACCAGTCGTGTGAGCTCCCTGTTCTCACTTATACTTATGGTATGTTATATTTAGGTGTCTGAGGCAGTAGATGGACTTCTAGATGAGCTAAGGCACATCGAGGACCAGTATGAATCATCAGACCCAGTTGATTCTCAACCTAATAAACTGCATCAACAGATCAATGATACTCAGGTTTGAGAACTTATAAAATGTACTTTCACAACTTAAATTACCAATTACTAGTACCTCTTTATAAAATATGATGACATTGTACAATTCTTCATGAAACCATAATGCACTGTGATCACGTCACTCTTTTACCCAGACCTTAGTTTAATATGAGACTATGACATGTAAAATAATGTTTCTGTTCAGTTGATCATATACCTTGAATAAATGCACTTAAATACTCCTAAGTCGATTGGCTATAAAGACTTACATTTACATTTATTTAGAATCTTTTGGAGGACCTAGACCGAAGGAGAGGTGCCATCCGTGAGACAAAAGAAGGTGCAGCTCAGCTTATAAACAATCTCCAAGACTCCAATGAGAAAGAAGATGGTAAATTCTTAAATAATAATTTCATTTAACAAAAGATTTTCCATGATCACATTTATTGTACTTGTATTTTATTTTATTTATTGGGGACAAAAATTTAAATCATCATTCGAACTTTAATCCTTTAACAGTTGAAGATCTCAAAGTGAAGATTAGTGAATTGGAAAAGTTGGACGGAACACTGAGTAAAGCTTGTGCCGAGAGAGCTAGGGCGCTAGGAGATGCATTGAAAGTTGCTGAGAGATTCAGTGACCAATACCAAAATGCCATATCTGCTATTAAGGATGGACAAGATAACCTGGCATCCCAAGATTCTCCTGGTGTAGATGCAGTCACTGTTAAACAACAACAAAAGGAATTACAGGTATGGATACAGACTTATTTGTGCAGAAATGTGCATGGAATGTACATCCTATGCCAATTAAATTTTCTACAATTAAAGACAATATCAATTTGGGAAATTGTGTCTAGGGTTCTTATAAAACTATCGAAACATTCAGATCACCTTGTGATAAAATGTATGATCAATGAAAACATTATATTACAGTCCATCAAGGATGAACTACAGAAAACTCGGCTTCCTGTTGAAGATTGCAAGAGAACGTGTGATCAGCTTAAAAACATGTGTGGTGCTGGGGCACAGATGGACCTTCAGAAACAAATGGAAGATATGATAACCCTTGTTGATGATGTCAATGAAACAGTGAGAGACAGAGAGGAGGAACTTGTATCTGCATTAGATAATGCTTGTGGATTCGACAACACTTTACAGGTAATAATTATACACAAGAACTTTGCTGCATATACTTTATATACACAGTGATATAGTCATTTCCTTATTCATTTTAGATGAAACGCACAAAACTATCCTTTGAGCAATCTTAGAAAAAATGGCACATGTGCCTATACATTTGTCTGACATAAACCTTTTAATAGTAGCTAGTGACTGTCTCTACTTTCTTAGTACACCTGACTTCATAACTCGTTTCCACTATCTTCTCATTGTACACATGGGCTTATTGTAGTCTATCTATGGGTGGCTAACGAAGGCCGAAGACAAGTTTACGACCATGAGGCCAGTGGCTACTGATAGCCGAGCTGCGAGAATACAAATAGAAGAGCTGAAGGTATTCAATTAGAAACTCACAATATAGTGCTGAAATATTGCTTCTTGACTTTCTTTAACTAAAGTGGATTTGTCATTTGTCATGAAATTTCAAATAGTCTATTTCAAATATTTTTCGTTACGATAGACCAATCCAGTAAATCATGCCATCTATTGGTTATGATGTCATTCTTACAATTTTAGTGCAGAAATAGGATTTAAATATTGCTAATTTTCAAAAACTTCTTTCAATTTTGTTTACAAACATTGCTGCCTGTAAAGTATGGCATCATAAATCTAGCCGATATACCTTAGTTTCCTTGGTTCTCAAAATAGGGGTCAGGATTTATTTGAAAGGTCTTTTCTCAAATGATCAGCCATGCACTTAGAAAGTGCAAGGCTTTAGTGATCTGAAAGCAAAACCCTAAAAGATACAAAATACCCGCACAAAATCAAGTTAGACATAGCTTAAACTGTGCTTACTAGTGATTTAGTCACAAATGAAACATGCTTTATTACAGGTGGTGAAGGTGTTACTCCTTCCTAAGAGCAGTGAGATACAGCGACTGAATCACACATTAGCTGATATAAAGTCCACGTCCCCAGTAACTGCCGAAGCTCTTAGTGAACCGTGTAGGGATGTCACTGAAAGATTTGACAAACTTATCCGAGAAATATCTGACAGAGAGGTAGGTCTATATTAATGATTGCTGCTAGATTATGAAAATGATTGTTGTAGTCTTGATGGTGAACACAAATTTGTGTTACATGCACAAGTAAATCTGAGACAATGAATAATGAATTATGGATTACCAGTATAAAGGCACAAGTTCCAAAAGAGGAAAGACCAACGAGCAGAAAGAACACACAGCACAGTAAAAAACATCAAATCACCAGCAGTTATAAGGAAAACGAAAACCAAACATTCTAAGCTATCATGAAATAGATGCAATTTGAATTGAATTGGACTTAAATATGTACCCCATTACAGAGATTGCTGAATGACAATATGGTACGCCTTGGCGAGACTGAACACGCCTTAGATGACATCATAGGGTACCTCCAAGAAATGGAACAGGAAGTGATCAACCTGGATGACGTATATGGGGACCCAAGATCTGTGGAAGAGCACCTTAGAAAACTCCAGGTAGATTTTCCCATTCATAAATGTTACCCTCAATCACTGGTTCCATTTGTCAAAGAATCAAAAAAGAACATATATTTCCTCAACACAATGACAAAATGTTGGAGAAAAAACGTAACATAATTCCTTTATTGTTATAGATGTTACAAAAGGATATACAGAACCAGAGTCCTACCATAGACTCCATAAATACAGCCATCAATGAGATGATGTCACGCTGTAGAGAAGGAGCATCACCAATGAAAGCAAAACAGAATGAAATGAATGGCCTCTGGCACTCAGTCAATGTATTTGCTAAGGACAAAGAGAATATGATTCTTGATACGCTCAAAGAGGTAAGTGACACTGCCCCAATCGTTATTAACTATAACCTGTTCTTGAAGTTCTTAAAAAACATTTTTCCTAATTAACAATTTCATTATTGACATTTGGATCAACGTGGAACTGGTTGATTTTCTGGAAACAAAAAAAGATCCTGAAAATTAATTCGTTCAGAAATGTCAGATTTAGGCACATTTCTTTGTAATTACCCTCTGTATACTTGTATAGGCGAAAGCATTTATGGGCGATGTTGAAGATCTGATACAGTGGCAGGCAGACTACAGAGCTGATATCAAGTCGAGTGCCCCTCTAGGTGCCCTGCCTGACACTGCACAAAAGCAATATGGAAAATTCATGGTAAATAATATTTTTTATACAAAGTTTTAAAATGCATATTAGTGTGATTACTATGAAGGTTAGCACAGAGATACATAAAGATTTTTAATTGTATCTGTATATTTAAATCGCAGGATACCTTCAAACTCATGGAAGATAAAGATGACGAAGTTAAGATGCTGCTGCTAAACGGTGAAGATATGTTGGCTCGATGTAGAGAGAGAGACACGAGCCAACTGAGGGACAGTCTAAGCAAGCTGAAGCGCAAATGGCATAACACCAAAACAAAGGCCAAGGCAAAGAAGAAGAAAATGGAGGAACATTTGCAAAATGTGAACGAATTTCACGCTGTATTGCATGTTCATACAGATTGGTTGAATCAGGCGGAGAAGATTCTCGCCAAATTTAAGCACCCGAGTAAACTTGTAGAGCGGGTCACTCAACAAATACATGAGCATAGGGTGAGTTTATGTCCTTATACTTAAGTAATATATTTATGTATATGAGTAATGTAATGATATATAACTGTCTGCGCCTTTAACAAGACGTGTTCTACAATGGGAATGCTCTTTCCCAATCACATTGTAATAACATGATTACCACATTAAAGGATTGAAGGAGGCTAGACGCAAGTGCTGACTTCAAAATTTGAAAAACACATGTCTTCTTTAATAGTTGAATTACGTTAAATCATATTACATATGTTTCACCTGATTACTAGAACACGTTACAAGAACATACCACATTAAACGCCTTGGTTTTGTCCTTTCAGTCTTTTAAAGAGGATATTGAAGCTCACAAGCAGGTTATGCAGAATCTTGATCTCACGGGAACATATCTGAAATACTTCGGACGGAAACAAGATACAGTGTATATCAAGAATCTCCTAATAAGCATTAAGTTAAGATGGAAGAAACTCGTGCGTAGGGCTGACGAAAGGGGGCGCTTGTTGAGTCAAGCATACAGAGAAGACAAGCGGGTGAGTTTAAATTGAAATAAATAATGAACTGCAGTAAATTTAATTAATAGTGGATATTGAACTTTATGAAAAGAAATCTTAAATGAATAACATCCTCGATCTACAATTTTTATGAATGAGATTAAGATTTGCATACCCATATGACGTCATGTAAATGAAGGCACATAAGTTAATATTTGAGTACCATATTAATTTGTAAAATTGTCAGAATTTAATGAAGGGCCGGGGCAGAACGAGTGAAAGTTTAATGACCAAGTTAATAATAACACTTCACAACTTATTTTATTGTTTGTGTGAATATTGCAAGTTTAATGAGGTATTGCTCATTCGGCCTTTATCTAGCTTTTGGTCATCAATTATATCTAGCTTTGATGTAAAATTTTGATAACGGCACTCAATGTGTTATTAATTCACATATAGTTCTAATTTGGTAAAAGTAATTGAGTCACTCTTATTTATGCCAATTTTGAACCTTGCTCAATGTGGAGTGTTTTAGAAATTGTTTAGATATACTCCACTATATGATCAGTAGGTTAATATACTAAGGGAAATACCAGCAAGATCTGATAAAAAAATTTCACTGGCAGGATAAGTCCACAATAAATATACATGTTCGTGATAAACTAGAAGGAAGTATTCCTAACTCAAGATCAAATACAGGCAAAGTCGTTACGATAAATCTGAACTAACAGGGAAATTGTTATATTTAGTTTTGAAGTGGCCAACTGCCAGAGAATCACACATGGGCCTAAAGATATAAAGATGTTAAAACGTTAGCACCTTTTTGACATTGGTCATAATAGCCTGGATTGAGTTTAAAAACATCACTCTTAATTAACAAAACAAAAAGAGATGAAACGCGATGCGGATGAAAGTCCTTTTAAAATAAACGCCAATTTAAGCATACTATATGTACATGGAAGCCCTATAGGACAATTCAAAAATGATGTGAACTGAACATACACCTACGCTGAATTTGCATACTTATTTTTGTAAAATATAATGTAACAAAAGAACATGTATATCAACATTATCTAGGATAATCAGAAGAATACTGACATTGGGAATAATTAAAAAAATCATCAAGGCTTTTGTATTGATACTGAATTGTACACGTTTACATATACCTTGATTGTGATCTAAAAACAACCAAATAAAAAGTTATCAAACAACGTGATAGATTACAACGATGGCTTCTTATAACGGCATAGGACCTGATGATGACGGCGATCATAAGGTAATTATAGTGTTTTATATTTTCTTATTCCTGTATATTTCAGTTTTATGATGCATGGAAGGGACTCTTATGTTGGTTAGATGAAAGTGAAATCAAATTGGCGAAATTCAACAATTGCCAATCTTCTCAACTTGTCAAACAGGACATGGAGGAATTGAAGGTATGTAGATAACGTGGAATCATTTCCATAGAGTTCAAATTCCCCATTAATATTGAACATCCCTTGGAATACAAAATTCAAATACAAGTTGTCAGAGCTACTCCTTTTCAAGTGGTACATAGACTGTACGTGGCCGCTCTTAAGTTGTTCCTTTCTTGAGGGATTGTCAGAAACACATTTTAGGTTTGTGGACGTATCATACCACTTGATAGGATTTTTGAATAAACAGTTTCTGATTTATGTCGTTTATAATTTGAATTGGGTGTTCAAAACTTTAAAGTTACTTATTAACTCGATGACGCGTTGGTCATTGATCACCCTATTTTATTAATTAACATCACACAATATAGGGCAGTGAGAGTTATATATCAATTAATTTATAACTTGAATGTTTAATTATGCACTTCAAAATAGAGCCATTTGATAACATTATGTTGATTTTAGTATAACATGTAGTTTATTGCACGGTTTCAGGATATCCTTATTCCATATTACAAATTCTTATATGTCGTTTCGCAGTACTTGAATTAACCTTAGTTTTTTTACTTTCCTCATCGCTAACACACACAAAATGGAAACAATATAATGTAAGTGTTTTCTAAAAAATGTCTATGTATGTTGAATGTTTATATATCATAATGGTGGAAGTCATCGTGTGGTGATTGGAAGTCTGATTAGACAGCATCGATTTACATATCTGTGTGTTTATTGCAATCATTCAGCACATAAACCCCAAATAATCCCAATGAGTTGAAAAATAGACATGAAATGGTTGTGTTGATTTGCTTGATATGTATTTTGTTTTGAAGAGCGGCATATGGGAGATAGCTATAGTTATCTGCATGTTGGAAAAATTGGAACAATTTTCTTGTTTGAATTTTAATTTTCTCATGATTTATGTGCGTCAAATCAGTTGTATTGTGTTATAAGCTATTGTGGTGGGCAACAGAGAGGGATCACGAATTTGCAATTAAAACTTCGATCTTGTCCCTAAAAAAAGAATCCTTCTATACCAATCTTGGATATGGATATATTTTATTGGATATGGTAATTTCGAGTTGCATGATTCTTTCATAGTTATGGTACAGCGGTTCTTTTGTATTTTGGATAATGAATGAAAAGGCATGGTATAACATTGAATATTTTAATACGTTTATTGTGTCATACTGTATGGCAATCGAGATAGTGCTATGAATCATAGACGGACATTATTTTTGTTCTAAATAACATATCTTTGTGGATTTTGATTAATGCAAAGGTTTCCGTTGTCACAACCAACCAAGCAGCTTTCTGTATATATCTCAGAGCCCCTGAACAATCACACATAATGATTTAGAGCCTTTGGTTTCTTGTAGCATTTCCAGCATGAGATGACATCCAAGCATCCTCAGTTTTATTCGACTATGCGGGCAGGGCGGAACCTCAAGGATAGGTGTACAAAGACAGATCCCGAGAGGGATGTCTTGCAAAATATGCTTGACGAACTAAAAAACAACTGGACAGTTGTCCGATCTTTAGTTTCGCAAAGGTAACAGAAATCAAGATATCACTCTTATAATAATTATTATGATACTCGAATTGTAATACCAAAATGCTATCTATGAATTATAGCTGATGGCTCATTATTAGTTTATTTCTCAGGTCTCCTTAAAGGTAAACGCTTTGTTCGTGCTTTTGTTGCGTTTATGTTTTCTGTTTTTACCAAACATAGTTATATGGCCTTATATGGTTATGATTACGAATGATTATTTTTTGTTGTTTTAGACAAAACAAACTAGACGAGGCACTGTTATCGTCAGGTAGATATGGCGATGCCATTCAGTCACTCAACGAGTGGCTTTCTAGAGCAGCAGAGAATCTAGGGGAACATCAGCCTGTCCTCGGTGACATTGACACAGTTAACATACTTGCTGAACAGAATAAGGTATTTTAATATGATTGGTTTATTAAAGCTCTGTCTACATTGCTTTATCCAATGTATCAAATCATTGACAAAATATGATTCACTGTCGTATACAAAAAACATATTTATATATATTGACATGAAATAAAATTGAACTTATGAAATAAACCCATACCAACAATGCATGTTATCCTTCCAGTCATTCCAACAAGAGCTAGAGGCACGTGAGAGCACCCTAGCTACCATTAAATCATCGCCACATCTAGACCCAAGTCTACTGTCTCAACTAGATGACCTGACACATCTGTGGGACAAAGTTAGGCACCTCACTGGGACACGTGAAGGACGGCTAGATGATGCGCTTAATCTGGTATGTATTGTTCATGGCTGATCAATGCTTAAAAAGTTCGTCCTGGAGTCAACCCAAATTATTCTCAAAGGCCAGGATGTTATTCTCTTCACATAAAGTATGCAAATAACTATTATTAGTCTCACAGCATTTGAAAACTAAATTATTTTCCAAAAACTGAATAAAGTGGCAACTGCCTAATTTAAGAATTAGAGTTGAATACTTTTTGAACAAATCTGAATATTCCCCCACAGGCAGAGGAATTCAATGATGTTGTCCAGGTTATGAGGGACTGGCTACCTCAAGCAGAATCAGAACTGAAGTTTAGAGCCCTACCAGAAGACGAAGATGCTATTATAGAACTCATTGAAAACCATGAGGTAAAAATATACTGATCTCAAACTATATCATCTTCTGCTAAAGCAACAACCAAAACAGTTCATCTTGAAGAGGTTCATTGAACAGTTCAGGAAATAAGTAGTTTAATCTTTGGGAATTTAATTAATGTGCTTGATATAGTAATTGTCTTGATGATCATTAATCATTATTTTCACACTTTATACCTTTTATAACTGAGTTTGAATCGGCATTATACTATATCTAGTATATTTCGTAACTGCATTATATGAATTGGGATTTTTGTTTGACAGCCAACATTAAAAGTAGAAAACAGACTTCACAGGGTTTATGTATGTCATTTCACCATCATTTGTGTTGTGTTTGCATTATTGTCCAGTGGTCAGTGTATCTGCTGGTGGTTGCATGTTCATATTATCATTTTTATCATTTTCGTCATCCTATTCTATTATATGTATATTTAAATAATCCATCTGATATTGATTGATTGATTCCTACCCATGTGTAAATTAATGTGATACATCATACATTTTTTATACAACACGTCATTTCGAGAGTTTGGTTCCACATCTGCATTTCATGATACAAAAAATGAGAGTTAAATTTACATTTGAATGTTGTTTCAAATTAACTTATCAAAATGATCATAGCCTGATAGAATATAGTATTGACAAAAGCCTTATTTTTCAGCATTTCCAGGAGCAACTTGAAAGTTATAGGCCTACCGTTGATAGAATCAAATCTCTTGGGAATGATATCCTAGAGAACTGTCATCCAAACGCTATCCGATTTATCAAATACTACCTCACAATCACACAGACCAGATGGGAGCAAGTAAGTATAATTTAAATACAAAGAAGAAAACACAAACAGAATGTTGCTATAGAAACTTGAAGATGGAATATTTTGAAAATAAATACTAAACAAGGCATTTACATGACAAAATGTCACCACCTAAAACAATTTGGTCAATTTAAAGCAAGTTGAAAAAATACCTCTTTGACTTTTTTTGACATGGAGAAGGTCATTGAAGGTCAAATGTCAAATGTAAAGTCAGATTTGAACTTCTGAGAACATGTAGATGATTTTGAAAAAAAAATTAAGTAAATTTGAAGCAAGTTGAAAAAAGACCTTTTTGACCTTGAAAAGGTCATTGAAGGTCAAATGTCAAATCTAAAGTCAGATTTGAACTTCTGAGAACATGTAGATGATTTAAAAAAAAAAATTAGTCAATTTGAAGCAAGTTGAAAAAAGACATTTTTGACCTTGAGAAGGTCATTGAAGGTCAAAGGTCAAATCAAAAGTCGGATTTGAACTTCTGAGAACTTGTAAAGTCAAATTTGAACTTCTGAAAAGATGTAGATGATTTTGAAAAAAAAATTTGGTCAATTTGAAGCAAGTTGAAAACAGACCTTTTTGACCTTGAGAAGGTCATTAAAGGTCAAATGTCAAATCTAAAGTCAGATTTGAATTTCTGAGAACATGTAGATGATTTTGAAAAAAAAATTAGTCAATTTGAAGCAAGTTGAAAAAAGACCTTTTTGACCTTTTTGACCTTGAGAAGGTCATTGAAGGTCAAATGTCAAATCTAAAGTCAAATCTAAAGTCATATTTGAATTTCTGAGAACATGTAGATGATTTTGAAAAAAAAAATTTAGTCAATTTGAAGCAAGATGAAAAAATACCTTTTTGACCTTTTTTGACATTGAGAAGGTCATTGAAGGTCAAATGTCAAATCTAAAGTCAGATTTGAATTTCTGAGAACATGTAGATGATTTTGAAAAAAAAAATTAGTCAATTTGAAGCAAGTTGAAAAAAGACCTTTTTGACCTTTTTTGACTTTGAGAAGGTCATTGAAGGTCAAATGTCAAATCTTAAGTCAAATCTAAAGTCAGATTTGAATTTCTGAGAACACGTAGATGATTTTTAAAATTTTTTTTAGTCAATTTGAAGCAAGTTGAAAACAGACCTTTTTGACCTTTTTTGATCTTGAGAAGGTCATTGAAGGTCAAATGTCAAATCTTAAGTCAGATTTGAATTTCTGAGAACACGTAGATGATTTTGAAAAAAAAATTAGTCAATTTGAAGCAAGTTGAAAACAGACCTTTTTGACCTTTTTTGACCTTGAGAAGGTCATTGAAGGTCAAATGTCAAATCTAAAGTCAGATTTGAAGGTCAAATGTCAAATCTAAAGTCAAATCTAAAGTCAGATTTGAATTTCTGAGAACATGTAGATGATTTTGAAAAAAAATTTAGTCAATGTGAAGCAAGTTGAAAAAAGACCTTTTTGACCTTGAGAAGGTCATTGAAGGTCAAATGTGAAATCTAAAGTCAGATTTGAACTTCTGAGAACATGTAGATGATTTAGAAAAAAATTGAAGTCAATCTAAACAGTATTTGTTAAGTTATAGGAAGTTGTAAGAAATTGTTACAGACGCCGAACGCCGGACGCCAACCTCCAACCACCAACCGCCGTCGCAAAAAAACGGAGACCATAACAATATGTCACCACTTTTGGTGGTGACATAATAAGCTATAGAGGTATACAGCAATTAACTTAATAGAGCAAAATATGGCAATAATCATGCTGGTTTTTAATGTCTTCCCCAGGCCATTACCAGATCACAGGCCCGCTCACAGAGGCTACAAGAAGCACTTAGAAATATCCGAGGAAATGCAGCTCTACTGGAGGACCTCCTCACATGGTTGTCTGAGGCACAGACACTACTCAATGCAAAGGAGAAAGACCCTATCCCTGAAGATCTGACCATAGTTGAACAACTTATGAAAGAACATTTGGTATATTATGCAATTTGTGTTTTTATTGTCCAAGAATAAGAAGTTATGGATACTTGATATACTTAATTAAATCCCTCGTAATATTTTGTAATTAACAGGATATGAATAAAAATTTTGTATGTTTATTCTATAATATATCAAATCTGTGACAATCTGCTTCTATTCCAGGAATTCCATGAAGATCTTGCCACTAAGAGTCATGACGTTGACAAGGTTACTAAGGCACCTGCGAGGGAATCTAAGAAAACAAAACAGTATGGCAGGTGAGTGTGCAAAGTTGCTTATCTCGAGTTACCATAATTCAATGGGTTTGATTAATGTATCATGCTTAGATATTTATAGTTCTCCAATATGTTCATCAAGTAAAATGTATCATAAATATCAAATGGCCGCCCCAACAAATAGTTGCTGTTTTTTCCCGCTTTCACGTGTGTTCCATAGAATTCATATTTTTCATTAAATTCATTTTTATTAGCAACTGGAAATTGAATGAGACAGAAGGACTGAGTCCAAGAGTTGTAGCACTGCAGACAAAATGGCGAACTATATGGAGAATGTCTGTTGACAGAAAGAAAACGTTACAGGACTTACTGGACCATCTTCTTGAGGTAAACAACATTCGAATTCAACTCATTAGCTTTGGTATTGTATAATTGTATTGAAAGTCATATGTGGTTATTAATTTGGTGCATATAACCAGCATGATTAGTAAAATGTAAATACTGTCGAAATTCAATCACTTGCACTATTCGAATGGATTATTGGTTTGACCCACGACATCTTACGTTTAATAAAAATATATATGATTATTATTGTTTAGATTTCATGTAATTTGAAATGCAACATTTACTAATTAATACAACTGAATAATTGTGACTTTCAGCGGGCCTTCTTAGTAAGTGACAGAGTGTGTTATTTTACAATTCCATAGCTTGTAGATACAAACTCTCTTCTCTCTAAGGATTATAAATTGCTCCTTTTCAATATGTCTCAATAATGAAAATACAATCTCATCCACATGAGACCCGGCTATTTCTTATACTGGCCGATAAATTAAACCTTAACATATGCCTGCTTGGCTCTCAGCATTGATTTCAAATGCATCTACAATTCTCCCTTTCGCGGTTCGTTCTTTGAATCAGAACGTTCGCAAATATGTTCTGAAAAAGCACTCAAAAAGGACAAAATTTGATTGGTCAATATTTTCCCACTATGCATTTCGCGTAGATATTTGCGTGACCCGAAAGTTCTAAATCAAACTAATTACGCAATTTTGTTTTTACACCTGCAAGCTAAATAGAACAATGACACCATCGGAAGTCTTCTTTGTCATTGCTTTAATAGTCAGTATACCGAGTTTAATCAATAAAAGATTGTACAATGAACAACAAAATTCGGAAACGAGTACTATCGATTTGCTTTCGGACCACTGAACAGATTGACCTAGATAATAGCGACGAGTCTTCTTTGGTCTACTGCTCAGTTGTTTGTGGGTTTTCAACGTAACTCTATAATGTAATTTGAAGATGAATACTTTTATTCAGTTGTTGCATCGATGTTGCAGTTTGTAGTGCGGTAAGATTGGCATGAAAGTATTGAAAGTCGAATGGAATTGTTTTTTTCCAATATGGCGACTAGTCAACTGATCACGTGACCTTCTCTTCCGGAATATTTTCTCACTTTTCAATCGTCGTTTTCACCACGCTATGAATCAATACAATGAAAAAAATAGCTGTTATATTAAGATTAATAAGAGATCAATCGTTTCTAATAATTTTTTCTGTACTCTCGCACGGGAATATGAACGAATATATCGTTTGAAAAATAGGTGTGAAAATCCCCATGTTAAACCTATGAGGGAAAACAAGGAAGTATAAATTTGTTCCTCCGCGAACTGCATCATGGGAAATATTTTGACCTTATAAGGAAAGATTTTCGCGTCTCCTCTTTTGAAGAAGGAACAACGATTTCGACAATTGCATTTGCAAATCTGGTACAACACAGTGCAAACTGCAGACAAAACTACCATGCACTATAATAAGAATACAATTAAAGTCCACAACATAGCACAACACAGCACTCCATAATGTGACAGTTAAAATACAACAACATTCAAAACCCTGCTTAGTCTTCTAACGTACTGCGGTCGCACCTTAATGATCTATTCAGTCATATTTAGTATTAGCAGTGACACATTCTAAGATACCTAGGATAATACGTAGAGAATAAACATGTACATAGACTAATACTTATAGCTATCAGTATAGTTTTATAGTCATATTTTCTTGCATTCGTAACTAAAATTAAATTGTCCACAAGACATTTTGTTTTTCTCACATTTATTCTATTATTAGGGAAGGAAAATGTTTTGCATTTAAATTTAAAAAATTAAAGAAGGAGATAAACAAATGTAATTTTAAATGGATTGTGTACTTATATTTTTATTTTTCAGAACATGAACTTGTTTTACAGTGCATTTGTACATTATTTTGTTTTTTAATGTTTACATATTTTGTTCTGTTGTTTGGGAACAATACATTGTTATTTTGGGATTCTTAACCAAAAGTTGCCGCCTTCATAATATTTTTATGAACTCTAATTTCAGTTGGAGAGTTTCAAAAATTTCGACTTCGATCTTTGGCGCCAAAGATACATGAACTGGATTAAAGCAAAGAAGTTGAGGATAACTGATTTCTTTAGGCGACAAGATAAAGAGGGCCATGGTACTCTAAACAGATATGACTTTGTGGAGGGGATGCTTACTTCACGTGAGTATATTTTGCAAATACGAAACTTCCTAGCTTAAGGATACTAATGTGGTGACTGTTGATGGATTCATACGCTTTATTCCTGCAATTTTAATCAAAAGGTTTTGCTTCCTTTTCAATCGATTGTGTGTTCGTTCAATGCTTAATTTATAAAAGGTGCTTGTACAATACATTATGAAGATGGTGTTATTGTAGGTTTCCCCACCAACAGGACTGAGCTTAATGCAGTATTTGATATATTCGACCAAGACAACAGCGGAGAGATTGACTACAGGGAATTCGTTGATGCACTTAAACCAGAACGTTTCGTAAGTGTGTTGGATTATCACAGAAACAAATCACTCGGTGAAATATGTGACATTGTTATCTATTTGTTATTAATCTATTTTCAAAATTTATTTATTTCTTATTTCAAACTTCTTCCAGAGAGCAAAGATGAAAAATGTTAAGAGGCAAATGACTGACAGCGAGTTGATACACGATGAAATAGAGAGACAGATATCACACTGCACGTGCAGACACCAGTTCAAGTGTGCAAAAATAGGAGAGGGGAAATATAAGGTATTGTTTAGTTACTAAATGGAACAAAGGTAAAACTTAAAAAGTTGGCATATGTTGTTAAAAAACAAGTAGCTTTTTGGAAACACCAATTACGCATCTGATGTATACTGATGGTGAACATTTTAAAAAACCTTTTTCAGTTTGGTGAAAACCAAAAGTTGAGACTTGTTAGATTCCTGAATAGTACCGTGATGATCAGAGTTGGCGGAGGTTGGGTGACGTTAGAAACATTTGTGGAGCAAAACGACCCCTGTAAAGGTGAGAGTGGACGCTACTAGGGATGCAAACGATGGAATTGCTAGTCCATAGTTTGTTACTTTTATATAAGGCTTATATAAGGAAGCTATTTACATATATAAACTATTTTATTTGCTATCAGTTATTGGATTTTCCTATTGGTGTTGGTTCAGTATTTAAGCATACAATACATTTTAATTCCTTCAGTTACTTTCCAATAATATTCAAACCTAATGTAACATATGTCTTCATTTGTAACCTGCTACTTTAAACGGTCGTAATTTGGTAATACTTCCAACTGGAAATAGGTATATGTTAAACCATTGTTCTTCAATGTGATTCCTTTCCACAGCTTTGGCTTTACTATGCTTACAGCAAAAATAAAAATTCACGAATTCCGTGAGCAAATGCTCTCTCCTGAAAGCAGTTTTCATTCCACTAGTGGCACTGGTAGATTATCACTGTCTGTGCCTCGAAGAAAAAGTACCACTGCTACACCAAGAAAGCAATCAGATGCTGGTTATGCGAGTGGTTAGTATATAAGTATATCTATGTAACTCTTGCTTTTTATTGGTAGCCTTAGACCTTTATGGTGTTGGTTGTTATTAGTCTATGTATAGCAAATATTTCAATCAAATTGACACTTTTTGAGCCGATGCGTCTCAGACACAGACCTCTGTTGTTGTACATTGCATGCTTGCAGATGCATTGTTTCGACTGTCCCATTTGATTGAATATATTTGTACTGTAAATTTTTAGTATTTATAGCACTGTATGATACTCATACAAACTAAGTTAACTAACATAACAATAGTTTAGTGTGTGTTTAACATAATACACAAGTGTGTAATTGTAGCTTTTTGTTTTAACCAGTCATATTTCTCATGAAACACATGTGATAGACTTAATTAAAGTAGTAGTTGTTCTATGACCACATGATTTTAATAAATGCACATGAAGTGGTGAAACATAATATTATGGGGCACATTGTCGTAAACGTCTACAAAACAATCTAATACATACCAAATAGGTGGCAGCAGGAGTCTTCTTGATAGCAGACGATCTTTGGGCAGTGCAGCCTCGTCTTGGTCTCATCTTTCCCATAATGCCCCGGGGCTCAGTCAGTACAGGGGCAATACACCTGACTTTGGTAAGTTAAAGGGAGAAGCATGCAAAATATCAACTTCGAACCTTTGGCGCATGGATGCACGGATTAAATTATTCAAATTCATCCATAAGTTTGTCCTAGTTTGGCTTTAAAGATTTGCCTTTTCACAAAAATCTTTTTTTATATTTGGTTCTTTTCTACTTGCCCATTTATTGCTAGAATTCAATTTTAGCACGCATCCCAAAAAGCATGCTGTGAATAGTGGTTTTTACTGAATAGCCATATTATGACCCCTCCATGTTACAAATTTTACCCGTAGCAGCATTTAGCACCGTCTGATTTGTTTGATTCTTGAATAATAGCCTGTAGACACCCGTAGTGATTTCAATGTGGAGAGGGTTGCACTCCATTTATTTTCACCTTGTGTTTTGCATTTGTATTACATATTACCCCTTTCCGCATCAACATAATGCACATTCATGAATGGATATTTATTTCAGTTGCATATCAACCCCATGAAGCCATTCAAATTTATATGGTTTTAAAACAAAGATTATGTTAAGGCGGGATAACATTTTTGAAAATCAACAAAATAACCGATTGATATTTGAATGGATTTGCTCCTTCTTGGTCTTACACAGTACATAGTGTCACACTATGTCGTTTGTGCAATATTTCAGAGGAGTGCCTTCATGGGTGTGATTACGAGCATTCTCTGTCGCCTCTTGTTATCTTTGCAAAGTGTGCTTTATATACCTAGCAATGCATGATAGATTACCTGTAGTTGTGTGACACCCTTAACTGTTAACCATAGGTGGCGCGTCTCCGCGAAGCCTGGCGTTAAGCAGGCGTGACCTTGGCAGAGCAGCCTCGTCTTGGTCTAACCTAGCAATAAGGTCAACTCTTAGTCCAATGAGTCCCGTCAGGTCACGGGAGGTATCTTCTCAGGGTATGTATGTATGGCTGCGTGCAATGGTACTAATAATTATGTACAATTATTTCTGCTACAAGCATCACGCACTAATGTCACCTCACCTTATTTTGTAGTGCATGGATATATATTTGAAATACTTTTTTTGAAAAACAGAAATAATCTATTCATATTTCAGTTTTGTTAATGCCTAATTTTGAGACAAGTTCTAAAATGTTGGGTTGAACAATGGGCTTTCAACTAAAATTGAAAGCCCCTGTAAGGTAAATCTTTTTGGACTTGATTTGTAAAGGATCTGGCTTATATGATCTTACAGTATCTTCTTTGAGTTAAAGTCCATGGTTTGCATTGGTTTCCCTACACATCAATTTATTGTTTGCAGGTTCATCTGGAAGTATAACCAAAAGACGTCCAAGTCAGTCCAGCAGTGGGTCTAGTGAATCTCCACTTAGATCCACAGCAATATCACCATCCCCACTTTCAACCAACAGAAGGCCATCATCCAGAGGCCCCATTACGAGTACTCCAAAAACAAATGGCACAAATGGACTTTCACGATCTAAATCCGGGACTCGTGTTGCGTCATCATCTCGTTCAACGTCATCATCTCGAGCAAAATCTCCGCACAGACCTCAGACTCCAAAACAGAAGTTGGGAAGAGACACTATCGCATATTAAACTCTCATCTTGTGTTTTTACATCCCTTGATCAATAAATTATTGATGGATTTACTCCAGTAATATGTACTCTTATATAATGTATATTTTTACTTAGAACACATACGTATGAACAAAAATGTAAAGCTATGCATCTGTAAATAAAGATATTTTAATATTCCAGCACATTAATTTATATTACATGTAACTGTGTATTTATATGTACATTTGTATCATATATAAGATAAATATATGTCCACTATTATATTATATTACATTGTATTATACTTTATGATATATTACAATAAAGTTGATAATAATAAACTGTTTGCGTTGTTTTTATCATAACGCATGATATCGAAAAAAATATTCACATCATCGAAAACGGATTTGTCTGTTTCAATTCTGACGTTGTATTCTTTGGACTGATCGAGAGATCGAGAGTTTATTACATTGTTTAGGGTCTTCCGGTCTTGCAAATATCAAAATTGTCCAACTGGATCATTTTAAAGCAACGTATTAAAATACAACAATTATGCAAATGTTGATTCATTAAACATGGTGTACGAACTGAGCAATAAATAGAGATTAAAATAAATCAGAATAACTTTAGATCCTCGATTAATCAAATATCAGGCCTCGATTTGAAAAGGTAAGAATCCAGTTTCTGTTTGAAAGGCCGGATGCAAGGAAATACTATGAAACGTAATTTGACTTTATTTCCAATGCCTCCAAATTGCAATGTCATATTTCCCGTGGAATAAAATCCATATTGGAAAGCAACCATGAAATGACCTTTTTATTCCATAATTTATTTTTTCTATGCCCCTGTTTACAAGTAAATAGCCTATACTTTTGTTAGAAAATTGAACGACACGATGCACTATGACCATTCTGTGATGAACTGCTACTAGTGTCCTGGGTATATTTAGGATTATAAGTTTCCAAGATGTTTTCACCAAATCAATTTTAGAGTTAATATATACGATCCTAACGTGACTTTTCCCCGGGACAATACGATTTTTCGAGTATATATAATTTTATGAGGGACAATACGATCTTATTTCCCAGGGAAAAGAGTAGTTGTATGGAATAAATAAATATCTCCCTACCCCAAGACCGACTCATCTTCGTTCACTCGGCTTCTGCAGTCCCATTGAACGCAGTGAAGACCGCGCGTGAGAATATGTGATTGATGAGAAAAATACTATATCAAGGGAGAATCAGATCTATAGGGGTAACAGAATTGTGCAACATGTACAATTGGCCTACCAATATTTTCTCAAATATATATGGACACTATATAACAATATTTCAGCATTTCTGGTTTTACTCAAATAAAGCGTTACTTTGGTCACAGAACTTTGCAAAATAGCCAAACAAAACTCATGGTATAACTTGAACCCCACTTAGGTAGCAACATAATCGAACGAACTGTAGTTTATTTGAAAGAACATACATTTGTCACAAAGAAGAGTGCATTCTTTTTCTAGAGTTTTTAAAGAATTTACACTTGGCAAGCTATCCAAAACCAGTGTTGCACAAAAGACGATTGACTATCAGTCACATGCAGTGCACTGAAGCTGAGCCAGTTACACCTTATTCACTCATTCAATAGTTGAAGAGTTAACACAAAAATTTTAAACTGTACCTGACCTGTTACATGTACATGCAGTGCACTATTTAGCTGAATTTATTACAGCCACTCACTTCTCAAAGCATTTATCTAAGAGATACAAAAATCAAATTTTCCTAAACTTGTAGCATGGACCATTTACATTTAATAAGAGTCTAAGTTAGATTAACCATTCGTACTGGGTTTTAGAACTAATAGTTTAGGGCCAAGGCCCTTGGCGGCTTTTATTTCTCATAAAACTCAGTACTCATAGTTTGTCCATAACAGAAAATTCAAAATGGCTGCCTAAAGCGGGAATTCCCTATATGATTTAGAGATTTCTTCAAAGCATCGTTATATTATACGAAATAATTCTTGAGTCATTTTAGAAAGACACATTATGATAGGATAACAAAAAAATAGTTGAGTGACTTTGTAAATAATATTTTATGACATTAGACAGGTTAATTTTTCAAAAAGACCGTTTTAGATGTTCATATGACAGTTGTTTACATTTCATAGTTTTTTAGCGAGCGAATCAATGGAAGGAAAAAATGTGACCAGAAAACATGGGAATGGGAGGTCAAGGTTTGGATTGAAAAGTGTTCGGATATACAGGTTTTGCTGTATCTATTAAATGTATTGTTGCTGTTATAAATATCCATTTATACGGCAGTACCGAAAATCAAATAGGGTGGTTTCTAGTGTTTATTTTATTTTAATAGGCCATCAACATCATCCTTTGATAAATCAACTTATAAAATTAAAAGCGTTTCATATGTTGACTTTTATATTCTTGCAAGTCTTTTTGAAAAATGTCATCCCTTCAAGACCAAATGGTAGGCCAATTGAAGCAGAATTTTCCTAGAGGCCAGAAACGTTTTGTCTGTCTTTTTGTTAGTCCTCTAACTAGCAAAGTATTACAAAGTAGTCAAACTGATAAATTTTCAAAAACAAAAATTCAAAACAGTTAGAAATACACTGAGTCAGACTGCATGTTCATATACGAGCAAATACGAATTTTCATTGCATTACCATCTCTTGTACTCTCTACACTGCACATATACACGCTGCAATAATGAAGGCTGCATATGCGTTTCCTTCTTGAGTGTGTACCACTATCGGAACTACCAACGGATGATAAATATCACCTATTCAGTTTTTACTATCTTTCGTTTTGGGTCACTGAAAGTAAAAGGAAACATATCACTGACAATTACAGCATATTTCTTACCATTCAAAACAACTGAAACATTCTTTATATTGTGTTTATATTTTACCAGCTTGTTTTTTTTCTTACAAAAATTCCAGTTTTATTATAAGATGATTTTGATAAGCTGTAATGCTAAATAGTGTTCTTTAAGATAGGAATTTGCCTATAAATGGATGCAAGCATATTTTCAAAATATCAACTTACATCAATGCTCGGGAAATATTTGTTATGAGAGAGAGAGACTTATCGACAGGCGAGAGAGACTTACCGACAATTGCAATGATGGCTACAACGGCTACAAGAAGAATAAGGATTACGCCAATCACAAACGCAATTATGGCACGCTTCCTGGATCTCCTGTAGCGTTTCTCGTCGATCCACCTATTGCCTCCCTTTCTGTTGGAATACCCATTCACAAAGAGATGTCCTCCATTATACTGCCTCTCTTGCATTTTTCTCGATTTCTGATGTATCATCTGCCCGCCGTCTTGCCTAAACGTTACTTGTTTTGAGTTTGTGGAATTTCTGTGTAATGTGTCTGAGGTATTTACTCCGATTGACGCTTGGGCAATCCGGCTCCTTCCCTTTATGATCTGGGGAAATTCATCCTCCACCCAGAAGTCTCCTCCCTGAAACCATCTCTTTATGCTGCCCTTTCTCAACGATTTATTTACCTTATTCAGGTATATATTACTTTTTAACTGGCCCTGTTCATTCTTTTTGAACGTGGACTTTATCGGTGGGAAAAAGGGACCGACTCCATCTTTTATGGTACCAGTAGAAACGAGGGATTTGGAAATCCTAGTTGAGGGGATATCAGTGTTGATAATCCTGGGTTCAGGAAGTTTGATATTTGTTACATTCGGTTCAATCAGCCGTGATATAACAACTCCATCGTCAACAAATGTTCTTTCCGAAAGAATACCAGGTGATGCTTTTGTATTCTCAATGTGCGTGCTGTTGTTCAACGTAATTGTCGGATGGCTTCCTGAATTCGAACGACTGGTATCCAAAACAGTGACAAGGCTATTTTGTTCACCAGTAGTCTGTGTGAGAAAACCTGAATTTTCTTTCCTTTGTTCCAAAAACGTCACGGTCGGTTGCCGACGTACGTCTGAAACGTTTATTTGGGTTACATCCATTTCTTGTAGGTATGACTATTTCTTTACGTTATCAATGTCGGCTCTTATGGGAATGGTACGTTTAATTTGTGTATTTACGATTTTTTGCAAAAGTGAATGAAGTGGAGAAAATAAATGTTTACTTGAATACCGACGAGTTGTTTTATGAAGTGCGTGACCAGGGGATGTGACCTTAATACAACTTGTCAAAGCTCACCACCTATTTTGTTTCATTTTTAGTTTGGTTGCCATTGATTTATAAAATCGTATCTCAAAAGAAAACATTTTTAGATCAATGCAACATTCATCTATTGGTAGTTAGAATAGTAACCCGACAGGAAATGGTTAAAACTCCTAAAGGCTTTTACAGGTCCAATCATTCAAAAAATAAGCATTTAATGATACGACTTTTTCAAATAGCGTAGTTTTATACAACCACTGGTATGCTTTTTCAACCAAAATGTATTTTTATAACATTATTTAGTTATTTTCATTTTTTGTTGTATTTTTGTAGATCTGGGGAATTCGAATAGAAACGATCCGCTTTTCTTGGGTTTGGGTAAAAAGACGTTGGATGTTGGGTGTGGGGTCTACAGGGTGCTCAAAAATGGTTAACGTAAAAACGCGTGGGTTGTACGTGAAAATGTATTTTAGTAGTAGCTTTTATTCATTCTCAAGTAAGGAAATTGAAGTGCAATGGGACGGAGATGTGAAAATCAAACAATTTTTGTGATATATCGGCACTGTATTTTGCAGGCAGGCGGGAAGGCGACCCGGGTGGGCTCTTGTATTATTGTGGTAGGGCTGGAAGGATCCAACATTTCATTTTTCATTCCGTACACAAATTCTACCACCTCTAGAACAAAAACCTCTTGTACCACTGTATACCACCCACTATTCTAATTCGAGAGAAGCGCCTTTTTGAAAAGGGGAAAGGCGATGGTTTCTTGAAAAATGAATTAAAATGCTTGTAGTATTGCACATGGGGAATTCTCCCCCCCCCCTTACTTTTCAATCAAGACTACTATCTTGATTTTCATTAATTGTAATGAGGTTAGTTAACAAGAATAAGTCAAGGAGGATTGGCTCCCAGAGTGCAACATCGATATTCTGTCCCATATATGGATATGTCGTGATACAAAGTTCGAATTCAAACAGCCGCCAATCTGTTCACTTTTGTTCACGCCATTTGAATCGTGAATGTTGGTCTTATTCCCTAACGAAAACCTTTGTGGTAAATAATCAAAATTAAAAATTTATATCAGATATAGATGACATATATTGTTCTGATAAGATACCATATGCTTAGCTCCATGAATCTAAGTACATGCATCCCTTTGTTTTTTGATTTTCTCACACGTGGCGTTTTAATGAATCAAAACTCACTCAAGAAACTAATGTGAACTATCTGTGTCTAGTTCACGGTGGTACCACGAACCGACGACTGACTTAAATTCACATCCATAAATAATTGGACCCCATGTATAATTGCCCAACCTCACTCCTTCGAACTCCAGAGCCTCATGTGACCCTAGCTAGATATTGCGGCATTTGGAGACCCACGTTTAAAGTCCCCGTCTAAAGTTTAAAAATATTTTTTTATCATTCATTTACTATTTCTCATGACTTAAAAAGTTATTTTAGAGATTTTGAAAAAAGAAATTTTTTGAAAAAGTGAGCATTTCATTTCTCAAATATTCAAATTTCCCGCCATTTTTCAAAAAAAGTTGAAATTTTTTAATCATCAAATATTTCTTAGTGCATTTCAAAAAAGATTATCTTTTTAACACCAATGCAAAGATTGAACAAAGGAAACTCTTTTTCAATTATAAAATGCCATATTTAATGGGCCACTTCAATATTTTAGCATATCAAAAATATCTTGAAACATTAGTGATGTCACTAAGGTGGCAAAAACCTTTTGAAAAAAAATGAATTTTTTTTTCGATGTCAAACTTTTCTAAATATGCTAGACTTCAATAATAAACCAATGTTGATTGTCAAACCAGGTTAAAAGGAAGAATATATTATGTTTTAGATATCATTGTACCATTGGTTTTTTATGAGAACTAAAATTTTGAAATGTATTTTTCTCGGAACCATTTTCATGCACTGATAAGTTCATTTCTCGCTTATTTATGAACCGATTTTCTTAATTTTTCGGCAAAAACATGAGAGGATGAATGCTATGCATTTGTATGAATTGTGGTAAATTAAAAGATATGTGTGACCTCTAAAAGTTAGTTTTAAATAAATTCACAAATTTTGGAACAAAAAGTCTATCAAAAACCACTTTTTGAAATAAAAAAAAAGTTTCACATATCACAGTTTGATAACATTGGGTAAGACTACAATATAAGCCAAAGTGGTTTAAACTTTATATGGGGACTTTACGGAGATTTGTAAGTTCTCAAAATTAAAAGATGTCACGCGTTTAAAACATCCAATAAAACATATCAACCTCGTTGGTAAAATATCTATTTATTCATATATTTATTTACTAGCCTAATATTACCGTTTTACATACGCATTCCAAACTTAGGATATCGTGTATCTGATGATTGATTGTATAAATAAACAAATTAATGAACAAATATTTTCAATACCTAAAAATGTAATTCAGAATCAAGGAGCACTTGTTATTTTGCACGCTTCACATATAGTCAAAGAGGTTACCATTTTTAAAGACATAATAGGAAGTTTAAGCTAGCAATGTTTTCCACAACCTAAACGTGAACGGAAAATATAAAAGCGATGCATTTGCATGGGCGATTGGTCATACATATAGGTTGGCGTTTCGATTTTATATACAAGCTTAAACTCCCTATATTATTTGAACAACGCATGCAAAATTGTGTCTAAAATTATTCATAGATATATAGCGATAGAGTATCTATACTGATCTAAAATATTTTCGAAAAGGTGAGGTGTGAGTTTCACAATTTATGGCCGGCTAATATTTCCAAATAGATGAAGACTTGATTCAATTTGTTCCATATGATAACTGAATGCAGGCCCGTCCGAAGGATTTCTCAAGGGAGGTGACTTTAGCGTACGTGTGATTTGTGCCGCCGACACGCCTACGCCGCAACGCGTTGACGGTGCGTAACGCCTCCAGCTAGGGGGTCTTGGGGCATGTCTCCCAGTAAATTGAAATTTAGATCCTCTCTTGTACATTCTTAGCATATATGAGTGCCAATTGAAATTCATAAAATATTGATTGTTACTTTGATTATAATGCTCTAGAAATTACAAAACGATGATTAGGCCCGATGCTTTGTTTGATAAATTATAATTTAGCATATTGAATTCTCTTACCAATATGCTTCATTTCATTAAAATCGAGCCACTAATTGACCGTTATGAATTTTAAAGGTAAGAATCTGTCAATCGTCAAGTAGTCGCGTTTGCGTTCTCTTCACGAATTTGAGAGAAAACTGATTTTTTCAAAAATGCCCTATGAATACCTTTGAACTTTTTTGCCTATTCCTAAACATCTATACCTATACGCACACTGTGGTAGCAGAATTATGATGATAGCTTTTTCCATATTTTAGATATAATATAACCAAGCCATACACCCATACATCTGCCTACTAAATCATGATCACTGATTGGCATTTGTTGTACATCTTGAAATATATATGCCAAAGCCAAAAACAACTTGAACTTGAATTTACAGACTATTCAATTTCACGTTACATTGAGGCCAATGGTATTTTGCAATACCTGCTATATCTTTGAAGTGATGTGTAGATCACGGTGACCTCGATTTGACCGATATTGCCCTCCTTTTTTAAGAAAATGAAACTTTTCTGAAGAGATAATTAGGCCTAAATAAGGTTTAACAATACCAACAATAATGGGCTTTGTATAAAAAACCTCATACCTCATACCCACCTATCCACGTACGTTGGACATGATACAGACTTTGAAGGGTTCAATTTTAAAGATCTTAGATTATTAAATCTTAGTTTATGATGAATGTATTTGTAACGACCCTTGCTAGAACCCTAGTAAGTTGCTACGACAGCCCAGCTCGGTTCGATTCCCATCCGGGGCATCGAATTTAGCACACTTTCTTTCAATTTCTTTAACTGGTTTGTTGGACCGATGCTCGCGGTCGTTAGTTACTTATTCCTCCGGGAAGCCCTCGGGTCATTACATATTACAATGCACCCATATAGCTTATGCCTTTATTTATGAATCTGTGACCCGTCTAGTCATAAAATAAACCGGAATTGTAGAAATGTTAATAATTAGAGCTAGTTTGAGATTTAAAAATCTTTAAAATTGAACCCTTCAATGACTGTATCATGTCCCACGAAGGTGGGTAGGTGGGTATGAGGTAGGAGCGGTTTTTTAAAGCCATAATGAAATCAGACAAGTAATAAAAAAACGCAGAGGGGATGTAATTAACCCCCTCCTTGCTTACTCGAGTGGCCAAAGAATAAGGTAAGACATTGCCAATACAATTGCCAGAACTCCCCCACTCCGGAAGACGGATCCCATTCCCAGGCTCAATGTTCGCATTTTGTTCGGAATATGAATTAGAAGTCGTTCGTATAATTAGTCCAGCAAAATCATGAGTCACCCCAAATAGTTTCCGGTGTCTGCGAAATCCGAAAAGTGAAAAGTTTTTACGACCACAACAAGCTGAATAACTTGGTTCCTAGTGTGCTGATTATCTACTATTTTATAACGTTACTTAACACACATCACCCAGGTAACTTATCAAGATTTTTAGATTACCTTTTCATACTTTTATTTCTTCCATATTTTTGTTCATTTAGAGGGCTAGTTTTATGTTACTCGAGTCTCTAGCCAATACTTGGCTAGAGGGGATTCATCTGGAATACTGTGAACTCTATTTGAAAAAAGCTGCCGGGGTGTCATAAATTTATTGAATATTTTAAAAATCGCCAGATAAATAAATCATTAATCAAACCGGACCCAGCTCAAATCCTTGATGAGATATGACATGATTTCATCAGGATTTCGTCTAAAATTAAAACAAAATGGCTCCAAGAAAAATGGCGATGTTCGAAAACTGGACGAAATGTCGTTACGTCTGACATTAGTAACTGGCTGTAAATTCTAAGTTAGCGATCCAGAAGATGTGAACTAATACACTGATCACTTTGTGTGTGTTTTGGAATTTTTGGTGAGGTAATAAGACCAAAACTCGCAATTCAAATTGTGATGTGGAAAAATGGCGGACATATGATTTCAAATTTTATGATTACGACATTACCAGTTGTTCATGCAGGAATATATCTGTACTGGAAGGCCACGATACAGTGGCCTTAGAAGAAGGTAAGTTTTATGTACCCCCATAAATGTGGGGTTATTTTGAGGATTTTCAATATTTAGGACATTTGTTACTCAAAATAACCCCACAAAGTTAAGGCTTTGATTCTTTGGGGATTTGCTAAACAATACCCTTTGCTTTCGTTTGACTTCACTCCTTAGAAGAGAGCTTCGTCTTCACTCTTTCAAACTAAAATAAACCTGTGAACTCACCGCGCCAATCAGTGTTCGTCGGCCAAATTTGACCGACGTTCTATATATGGTCATTCCTTCTGACGTCATCGTTGAGCCCGGAATTGACCAATGACATGTGCATATTTAATAGTCCTATTCGCGTTAGGAAATTACTGGTCATTAACATAAATATTTCCCGCAATGCAACACGATAACATGGACAATTTTCTATTGGTCCGCAAAACACAACGTCATAGGCATTATCCCGATCCAACATTAGTACATATGTATAATAATATTCTATAATCCTGACAATAATTAGAAAAGAAGATGGAAATTCAATTTGCTTCGATTATTTTTTCTATGGCGTCTGAGCAAGTTCCGGGAACTGAGCAACTTCTGGGAAATCTGTGACGTCACTTGAATTTTAAACTTAGGATTTTGACGATTCTGGTGAATATATTTTTAAAAAATTTGTCAAATGTCTTTATAATGATCATATCTATCGTATGTGCAAATATAATTCATGATAAACCTCTAATAAAGTCACAATGCGTCATTGAAAAACACAGCCAATGTTATTCCAATGGGAAAGTGCCCGGATGTTGAGAAAGTTGTACCACGAAACTGAACTCTCCAACGCGGAGATAAGAATATTTCGCACGTTAGAAGTTAGCGCGTATAGGTATATTAGAACGCATTTGGCGTATGTTTCTTCAAGCTCACTGATTGGTGGAAGAAAGGTCAGCGCGTAGGTCAGAAGTGATTTACTACCCGGACTGTCACCGGTACCTGTCGTGGGGCCGGGGCTACTAAACTGTAATATGGTCTCTCCTAGGCAGAGTTTAGTTTAACTAGACTCTGCACGCAGGGTAGCTAAACAATAGCATACACATAGAATTTGTACTAAATATTTTTAGAATTTACTCACCTTTTTATGTTTTTCGTATCGACAAGACATTAATCTTCAACATGCTACCAAATATAGCCCTCTAAGTGTTGTATTCATTCTTGTAATGACGATTTAATAGAGATAGCAGATATTTCTAGAAAAGTTTTTCAAATTTCATGCGCAGTCGATATTTTTTATCTAAATAACAAACTTCGCGTTAATACGAAATCCAAAAGTAAAAATTGAGGGAAATTTTGAAAAATGATTTTCACCTTCCGGGGTGTATTAAAAGGACTGTCAACCTCAAGTTTGGCCGCTGTAACTTCTACGGCCTTTGTTTTCCTGAACTTAGGCATAAGCAATAATTTTGTTATTAATTTGACAGGTGATATCATTTGGCACTGTTAAGTTTCCCATCTACCACATAATTTCTCCCAAAATGCAAAGCGTGAAAATGGCCAAAATTTGAATAGATTTCGAGAGTCAAATATTACAGCAAATTGTTCCACTTATAAAGCATTGTTTCGACTGATCGATTGCTCATTACATTGGAAAAAGAATCTTCTTCACAGAAGAGAAGAAAAAAGGTAGGGAAACTGCCGACATTGTCAGAACTTGAATCTTCAAATCATGTGAAAAAAACCACAAAGAATCAAAGCCTTAAATCAAAATAACCCCACATTTATGGGGGTAGTTTTATGTTACTCGAGTCTCTAGTCTAGGCCTAATGCTTCTAATCTAACCTATAGTCTATAATAAAACAGTTTTTAAATAGTTTTACACTTTGACCTGTGACAGGTTGATTCAGTGATTGAGTGAAATTCAGTGAAAGGCTCCAAAAGCACTACAAAAAATGAAGGCCTACAAATGAGATTGGTCTGCCTACATATTACATGTACATATTAATATGATCGAATGAGGATAGTAAAGAGAAGTAACCTCAAACATCCTGCAATTATTAATGACTGCAATTCTGAAAGGTACTCTAATTGAAAGCTCATGGTTCTAGGGATTCTTTTAGCTAGTTGATCGTGCTTTTTGGTAGTCTATATTACATGTATCGATTGTTTCAGATGGCCAAAACAGCTAATCTTAAGATTATCAAGTATTCGGTTTTAAGTAGTTACCATCATGATCTTGTATGAGAAATCAAAAACATTTTCTTATCATATCCTATCCTTTCAATTTCCATTATCCAGTTGACCAAATTGGCAGGTTCATGATATTGGGATTATCCCAAAGGCTAGTATAATATAACAAAGGAATAATCCTAGGATGATCTGTTTTATATACAGGGTGGTCCAAAAAAGTGAACCCCTTCAATTGGCTATATTTCCCTTATTACTCTCAGGAATCCTTTCATATTTTCACATGATGTAGAGAGACTAAAATTTTATTTGGTACCATACATTTTTCGTAGTCTTGAAATTAGCAGAAATTATAAGCCCTATCCAAACAGCACTGAAAATCGATAAAATGTGATTCTTTTACTCTTCAACAATCTTCATCTGGAAATTGTTTTAGCTGCAATCTGAGAAACCTAATGTTTTCTGACTTTGTTTGGATTTGAATCCTGTACATTATGGTGTAGAAATTAGCATCCTGCCTCCGTCAGTTGCAAAGTTATTGTGATCCAAAGAAATGTCGTTAGTTTCCAAAGACAAAAACACCTTCCACTGAAATCGCAACATATCCCTATATGGTCTTAACATGTTAACTTTTTTGGACCACCCTGTACTAATAGTATGTGTTCTTTGTATATTTGTAATTGGTGATATTTTGTTTGGACAAATTTATTGCCTTGTATGCTTATGCAGGCCTGCAGCCAACTTTTGCTAAGGCAGTTCATTTTTCAAAAAATTCTAGTGGGATTTAACTTTGGCCCAAAATGAAAAGTGCTTAGAAAATTGAAAAACTACATGATTTGAAAGAATATTTTGCCAGGGGGAGGGCTTAAATCCCTCTGGGTAAGGGCCTGCTGACATGTGACTTTTTTTCAAATGTTTTTACAGGTAGGCTCAGCTTGTATAGAACTTAACACTAACACAGTACATGTAGCTTGATAGTACTTACTAGATGTACATGTTTTACCTTCATGGCCTTATCTTGCTTTCTTAAGGGATAAGTACCGACCTTGAATCTACCAACTGACCAATTTTAAGAATGTTGACAAATAAGTTATTGAAACATTCTCTTTATGCGGGGGAGGGGGGCAGTGCAAGTACAGCAGTGTTACCATGGCAACAACCCCAATTCAAAGGTGTAACGCTTATCTTAGATGGGCACCTTCTACTTTATCATCATTATTATCAATATTTTGCATGGTCATTCTGTTTATCTGTTATCACCACTCGCAAAAGTTTAGATTAAACCACTCATTTTGAAAAATGTGAAAAACCTTGTTATGTCCCTCGTTTCATGAATTCATGGATTGGAAGTAGCACTAAGAAGAAGAAATATTCCTCCTGACTTTTGTGGACAGTGTCCGGTGGTGGTTGTTTAGCATTTGGTAGTCAGCATGTGTAGCAAATGGCAGGTAGTGACATTTTGCATGTTAAAGTAACACATTTACGATGTATCTAAAATCTAAAACCTCAAAAAGTAATAGATATGACTATATGTTGTATAAAAAGAGATTTTTAAAAAAAAATTGTGTCTGAGAGATCTATAAAAAAGAAAAAAAACTTACTCTCGACCGGGAATCGAACCACCGGCAGCTGGATTCAATCATCAAAACCTTAGTCCTGCGCCTTTCTCCATTAGGCCAGACTGGCATGATAAAATTACACTGTAATTCTAAAGCTATGTTATAAATTTTAGAAGACAGTCGAATCACTGCATAAGATTAATAAAAAAAATAGTCAATAATCATTTTAATAATATTTAAATATCTATTTCGGTAAATTTTTAAGTCAAAACCAGGATTGATGATGTAAATTCAGTTTTCATTTAGATAATCTATTTCATGTTATGAGTCGTAAAAAAAACATGGCTCCGAAAAAATATTTCTTGCATCCAAATTTCAAAATGATATATATCCATGGATCAGTTATTTTTGGCACCTGAACCCTTCCTAATAGAAAGGTAAGACTATTTTCTTGACTCATATCGCTTAAATTGTCGAAATTCGGCCTAGAATCGTAAATGTGTTACTTTTATACCTTGATACATCCTGCAAAAGTCACTAAACATATTTTGGTTTTGATAAGAGACAATTTTTTTTAGGTATTCCGGAGTTTCATTAAAGCAGATTTAGGCAACATCTCATTTTCTGTTTTTTCAAAAACTGCCTGTTGCTTGACACGTTTTGTAACTGGTTTCATGTTAGAATTATAAATAACTAGACATGTAAATTGAACAAGTTCAATTTAAGACTCCAGATTTCACATTTTTTTTAAGCTGAGTCATCCAGAACTTGTAAGCTGAGTCATTCAGAATAAGCTGAGTCAGCTAGAATATAGACATTTAGACAACTTTTAAGAAGGCTATCTTCGACTCTATTAGCTTAACATGGGGATATCATCATATCGACTTTTCGAGACTTCAAACCGCTATAACTATCTAACCAGAATTAGATCGAAATTTGGTTTAAAGATTCTGATTCCTGAGAAAATTCTACCCTTAATTCATAACTCATTTTGACCTACATTTCGGACACCATATCTCAAAAGTGGGTCAAAAAACTTTCTGACGGCAGAAGGCTAACACTATAAGCACACTCTTTGCTACCTGTATACAAAATTTTGAAGCAAATCCTTAAAGTGTAATGTCAGAATCGCAAAAATAAGGAAAAACTATGAATTTGACCTAGATTTTGACCAAGGCATTTTTGCGTCCAAATTTTAAAGCTAGATAGCATTCGAGGTCCCCTCCTTTTATAGGCTTTCAGAATATTAAGCTGTACTCAGTCTTTATCTGGTATTTTACACTTCAAAAAATCCTTTTTCTCATTGACATAACATGGGGCACCAAATTTAGCGATTTTTGAGCTTTCAAAACCCCATAACTTTCGAACCGGAAGTCGGATCGTAATTTGGTTTGCAGATTTGGATTCCTGACAAAATTCTACCCCTAATTCATAACTCATACGTTAAATTTGGAATTTTTTTATTTTGACCTACTTTTTGGACACGCCATAACTTCCGAACCGGTAGTCGGATCGAAATTTGGTTTGCAGATTCGGATTCCTGAGAAAATTCTACCCTTAATCCATAACTCATACGTTGAATCTGGAGAACTTTTTATTTTGACCTACTTTTCGGACACCATATCTCAAAAGTGGGTCAAAATACTTTCTGACGGCAAAAGGCTAACACTATTAGCACACTCTTTGCTACCTGTATACAAAATTTTGAAGTAAATTATTAAAGTGTAGTGTCAGAATCGTAAAAATAAGGAAAAACTATGAATTTGACCTTGATTTTGACCTAGGCATTTTGGTGTCCAAATTTTGAAGCTATGTAGCTTTTGAGGTCCCCTTCTTTTATAAGCATTCATTATGTTAAGCTGTACTCAGTCAATATCCTGTATTTTTCACTTCGAAAAAGTCTTTTTTCCCATTGACTTAACATAGGCACCAAATTTAGCGATTTTTGAGCTTTCAAAACGCCATAACTTCCGAACCGGAAGTCCGATCCAAATTTGGTTTGCAGATTTGGATTCCTGAGAAAATTCTACATCTTTTTCATAGCTCACACATTCGATTTGGAGCATGTTTAGGCGTGACCTACATTTCGGACGCCATATCTCAAAATCGGTAAGAGTAATCAAAATTCTGATGTCATATCTTTGATTCGCCTTTTTCTAAGCTACACGATGAAAAAAAGATGAAGGAGTTACGAAGAATATTGACGAAGATATGATGAAGAATGTTGAAAATGTAAGATTTGACCTAGTTCTTGACCTTTGACCTAGATAAAAATTTGACCTAATTTCCCAAAAAGCCGGTTTCAGTCTTTAGTTAACCATGTAAGTTGGATTAAGTAAGCTGTTATAGTTGACGAGAAATTTGGTGAGGAGGAAGAAAAAAGAATAATAATAATAATAATAATAATAAAGAAAACAGGCAAAAACAATAGACTCCAGATTTTCAATCTGGAGTCTAATTACAGAATAGCAGGGGTGTATTCGACGACATTACCCCTGCTCTGAGGTCTATATTACGATTCGAACATAAAAACTCATCAAAATGTTTCGAATATGCATTACTGGTCCGCCATTACTACGGCCTGCCGTTATGATGTCACACATTACTCGTATAACCAGGGGTATTGTTTGCAAATATACCCCGGGTAAAATGTTGACTTTGTTCACAGTTTATAGAAGGCGTGAATACAGTCATGTTCGAATTTTTAATAATTTTGCCCGTTGTTTTCATTTGTTCTTTGGTAGTTGTTTAACCTTCATCTGTAACAGGTGTTACACTTTTGTAACCATTTGCAAGTGGTGACATTTTGTCATGTTAATGTCTAGTCAGCATTTGACTTTGACCTGACTTAAAGGTGTATTATGATTCTGTGACAGACAGGCCCATAGCCAGGGGGGTTCGCAGTTCCCCCCCCCCCCTAGCCAAAAATTCTTTCAAAATCATGTATTTTTCACCATTTTGAACACTTCTCAAGTGATTTGAGCCATATTTGAGCCAAATTTGTCAAATGTGAACCCCCCTGGAAATCTTTGAAAAATTAACCCTCCCCCCCCTTGGCAAATCCTGGCTATTGGCCTGACAGATATGAACAGATAATGGATTCATTAATAGAAACAACAGGAGACAATGGACAGTGACAGAATGTTCTTATCTGAAAACTTTTGATTTCAATGACACTTATTTGAAACAATCACGGTTTAAGAATGCATTTAAATGATAAACTTTTAAGACTGTATATAACTATGTATGAAGAACTAAAAGATTAAGTACTCAAAAAAGGTACAGCAATTGAGAAGAATCTAAAGGAGATGTTTACATAGTCATAAATAGATGATTTCATGTTGTTATTTTGTGGTATTTTATGTTATAGTTTGGTGATTTCCAACAGTGAAGGTAACAAAGTTCAACATGAGGTGAATAAATGGGGAGAATCAGTGATCGAATACAGGGAAAACATGAAAGGTAAGGCTGACGTACATAACAATACACCATCTTGGATAATCAGGGTATGAGGGTTTTCATTGATTGAAAAATCAAACTGGTAAATGAATGACAACTCATACCCTTAGCCCATAGTCTAGTACATACCCTCTAACTTGGATTGATCATTTTTGATTTCGCATTTACTCACCAATTTAATTCAATTTATTCAATTCAAAATTCCATCATACAATATTTCATATATAACATGAAAAAGATACCCAAGGGGGCGTATATATTCTATGGAATGACATAGCCACGTTCAAATGTTTATACATAGTGGGGCCATCTTTAAGGAATGGCAGACTTTAGCAAGTTTAGTTCATCAGTTTTAAAGAGGTTGAGAAAATACCATTATATAAAAGTTTGAGAAAATGTTTGTCACTTCTGAAAATGGTAAACAATAAGTGGTATGTATATATCCAAATCCTTTGACTTATAGGCTTATAACTAAAGCAGGTAGTCAGTATATATACCAAGGAGACAAGAGAGGGGCATCTAAGTTGAGGCATTTCTTGAGGCTATGCAACAGACTGATTACATTATATTTGGCACAATAATCAGACTAATGCACAATTAAAATAAGGTTATTGAGGACTGTTTGTACTGTGTACATGTACATTCGGCAACAAATGATCATTTTTATTAATCGGGAGATTTTATTTTTGGCGAGAACTGAAACTTTCAGGTGAAAAATTAACATTTTTCAAGATCTGTCTGAATTTAATTTGGTAATTGTTATTTGTTGGGATTTTTCAATATTTCATTAACAAATTCAACCAATTTACAATTGTAATTTATAACTTATAGGAGTCAAGCAACATTTGCTTCTACATTATGATCTTATTCCAACCACAGATATGTGATATTGAATTTGATTATATATAAAGTAAATATTTGATTTTGACACAGTTCCTATGATTATGTAACACTGCAGCTTATGACCTATGGTGATAATAATATGTCTAGCAAAATGAGAATCTATGTGATATACTGTATACTAAATTCTACCCATAGAAGCTGGTGTTAATTTTGGGGGGAAATTTGCACAATCATATTACATATTTTTCCTTATTATGCTACTTGTGTTTTCAACATCTTCATCCATCAAAATTCAGTTTTCCATGCTTTTTAACTTTTGAAATCAATGACATTTTGTTTTGAACAAGTTTGAAAATGTAAACTTTTTGTTTTATTTTAAATGAAATATGAGCCAATTTTCCCCTTTAAATCCCTAGGTTGTAATTCTTTAATACATGATACAGTTCCGTGAAAGAACAGTTTCAACAGTTTGGAGTCCAATGGTATGCATTACATGCCTAGTGTATGAAAGAATGCAGCTCTTGTGTAAACATTGAATGTTAAATGCTAAACAATGATATTTTGTTGATATATCTCAAAATTGGCTCTTGAGCTTGTCGAGTTTGTCGTTTGCAAGCATTAATAGGAAGGATTCGTGGCAAATGAATTGATAATTCTACTTCAAATTTGCATTCTCCTTGCAAATTAACTTTTGGTTGGTAACGTGTCAATGAAAGAAAACGAATAGGCATACTTACTGGAATATTGCAATATCAATTGCCATTATAACTTCATTTAGGAAACTTTGTTGAAATTATCAAAAAATTATTTTACAGGGAAGTAGAGGAACAGACTTGGTTTCACATCAGATGACTGTTCAATGGATTCGGAGACTTCCAAGAGCAACATTATGACTTTATAATGAGTTGACGTCTAATGTAGCTAACATTGAGAAATGATGGAGGAGAATTGTGCTACTAGAATCAGAGGTTAGTCTGAACATTGACATAACTGTAAGTGTAAACTCAATATCTTGTTGTGTTTCAAATAAATGTTCTGAACCGTTTGCACTGTTAAAGGCTTGTAACAAGTCAAAAGTAATTTGACAAGTACCAACAATGATCAACTTATGATTTATTTTCATGCACAATAACAATATGCTGGAGATCAAGATATTGAAATTGCACCATAAGGGATATCAATGTTTCGATATAAAAAGTAAAACCTTTTCCATATACCGTATTCTCTGTAATTACCGCCCACTCTCTAATAAGCGCCCACTCCGCTTCACAAAGTTCAAGAAACATCGAGGAATCAACAAGAATTGAAGAATATATCAGGAAAAAAATATTTCTCAAAATCCAGGAGCGGGCGATAATAGAGTACTTACCCTAAAACTGCTGTAAACACGATGCGTTTTGTAATTCTATGCATTCTATGCGTTCTGTGAACTTTCTGGTTTCTTTTTAATGTTTCTCGACTTTTACACGACTTTTGCACGAATAATGATGATCTCTCATCAAATTAGAAATAATGTATAACTTTAGATCGATATCCAGCAGTCTCTAGTGGAAATATTGAAGGTAATCGGCGATAATGACAAAGTGGGCGTGCCGGAAATAAATTAGACATAGACGGGTCTTCAACCACTGTCAATATTGTCTAAGCGATCTTTACCGTATTCTCTCCAATAACAGCACTTGTCATATTATTATAAAAATATGTTGAAGAAAATGCATTCTTGTCAAGAAAAATTGCCATACATGAAATTCCTCGGGATTTCTGATTTCTTTCATACATGGGCGCTTATTAGAATGGTCTAAACAATGTATTTTCAATTTTCTAAACGCCCTGGGCGCTAATTACAGAGAATACGGTAATCAGAAATTCCAGATTTTTCAGGTTTTAGGTTGAGGGCATTTTGTAGACCTCTCATTGTAGAGGGAGGGGGTGAGGGAGGGGGAGTTTGGCAAATTGGCATTCTCCTTTGGAAAGCAATAACTATTTCAGTTAAAATGTATGTTTTGTTGAACAAAACATATCATTATTACAAGATTATTAGTGTAACTGGTATTTTGTAATTTACCTTGATTTGTGTATTTGTGAAATAATCTAATTCCTACGCTCTCTCCATATCTGTCCCTCTGGAGACGGGAGAGCATCTGCGATGTAACAGAGAGAGATGCTATGAGTATCAGGATGTACCGAATTGTCAACTGACATATATATTGATACATGTTACATTTTGATTCCATTATTTTAATTGTCATGGGCCAAAAGGACTTAACAATAGGTTAAACGGTTGCTTCAACATTATTCAGTCAACATTTAAAGTAAACATTTTAGAAAATACATACATGTATAGTACTTAAACAATTTTGAAACTTCTGTAAATTATTTACAAAAGTAGAAGTTTTATTTTCAAAATTCCCCAAAATAATTAAAGATACCAAGAAATATTTTTTCCTGGTAATAAAAAACATTTAAAAAACTCATTTGTGTCATTTATTGTAAGAACATTTTACACCACTCATATTTAACTTGGCAATTGATTTGTTTATTAACAGCAAGGTTATGCCAATTTAAGGCATAAATAATTAGAAGTTAAGAACGAAATGGTACCCTTAATTAGACCTTAAATTAGAAATGTAACTAATATATACTGTTTACGTTTCATAAGGCAGGATCAAAGAATGTATTTGGTGGGTAAGATATAGATTTAAAGGCAATTTGATATGTCGATTTCCTTATCTCAAACTGTTCCAGTTGAAACGTGAATGTGGCAAGTCCATAGGGAAGCTCTTATATTGACATCATAAAATGAAATAATGATTTTTTATGGGGCAAGTCATCAATCCCATGATACCTCAACACTCTTGTAAATGGCTGTACACTTATAGCTCTTGTTCTGGTGGTGCATGATGGGATGGCTTGTACAGGGTTCAGTGTTGTTTGTTCCCATTTTTGAGAACTCACTCTGACATCTCTGATGCCACTCTTCAACTCTAAAATGTGAATAGCTTAACCATCTTCATTTTTACACACATAAGGGCAGTTTGTTTTGTCTCTTTATTGCACAATTTCTGTCAGTTCTGACTGTTCAGCGAATTGTCTTGTGAAATGTGTCTTACTATGACAGTTAATTTGCAAGGTTGCTGGATATGATATATCACCTCTTCCCAGGATTGATATTAGGAAATTGCTCAATATCTGAAACCATCGCACGTACCACCTTAGAGAAAATTCCAGGAAAGATCGTCCCAATTCTAGTTTTTAGTCTTGTATCATTTCCAATTTATTCCCTTTTCAATACAATAAGGAGAATCATGAATTGAATAATCAAAATGAAGTTGAGGTTCTCAACATACAGAAACAAAGAAAAAAAGATGGACTGGTTGCTTCATATTGATAAGCCATCATACACTTAAACAGTCAAAAACATTTGAAAGCAAACTAGAAAATAAAAAAAAAACTGAAACTAGGAAAAGTATGAAAATGAGAATATAGATTGGCTAAATTTCTCATTGCTTTCTATTGATGCAATGTCATCATGGCATTGTTTATTTTGGCAATAATTGTAAATAGCAATACATGTACATCTATATCAACTTATTGTGGCAATATGAAGGAGGTATGTGTATGGATATATGTGTATTGTGGGGAAGGGATGTACAGTGGCTTTACTGAAGGTACACCCCAACAATGTCCCCTGGCATTGAAAAATAATGTTATGATGTAGAATTAGGTACCCTGCGTGCAACGTTTAGTTATAAACTACCCTCTGCCTAGTATAGACTAAATTACAGTTTAGCAGCCCCGTCCAAAAGATTTGTGCTTGTGACAGCCCGGGTAATAAATCATTTGAAATCTACCACGCTGACCATTTCTCAACCAATCAGCGAAGTGGAAGGAACACGTGTTAAAAACGTGCCCATTAACTATGCAGTGATGTCAGAGGAAATGACCATATAGAAAGTATTTCGACTGTATAACTCTAATTGGCTCGGTGAGATCAGAGATTTATTGTAAACTGAAAGAGTGAAGATGAAGCTCTCTTTTAGGAAGCGAAGTCAAACGAATGCAAAGGGTAAGAATTAGGAGATGTATATCTATGAAAAAACAAATAAGATTAGAAAAAATAGGAGATATATTTGAAACTCATTCAGGTACTTCAATAATGAAACAAACAAAAAGAAGATTTAAAGTCCATCTTGTTTACTAAATGTCTTGTAATCTTATTTTTCTTCAATTTTGGGTCTGTGAGGATTTTTCCATTAATAAAAGAGTAAACCTCCAGTGCTTGATAGCCTGATAGTATCAGTACATTGTAATTTGATATGAATCACATACAAATAGGCCTGTGACATTTCTGTAATGGAAGTTGAACCATTGATTAATTTCCCCGTTGGTTAATTAAATTGATATGAAAATCTATGTGTTTGTTGTCAACCCTGTTTGGGGATTGTGAAGTTGGAGATTGTTGAGTACATGGTCTACTTATTGGAATCAAATTCAACCAGTTCTGATGTTCATATTAGACAGCCTTGATGTTTATATTAGACAGTTTTTTATGTTTATATTAGACATGTTTGGTGTTTACATTAGACTTGTTTGATGTTCATATGAGACAGACCTGTTCAAGTATGAGACAGGTTTGCTGTTTACATTAAACAGGTTTTGTGTTTACATTAGACAGGTTTGGTGTTTATATTAAACAGGTTTGGTGTTCACATTAGACAGGTTTGGTGTTTATGTTATAATCAGGTTTGGTGTTTACATTAGACATGTTTGGTGTTTATATTAAAACAAGATTGGTGTTCACATTAGACAAGTTTTGTGTTCTCTTTAGACAGATTTGATGTTCATTCAATACAAGACAGGTTTGGTGTTGACAGACATGAGATGATTTGGCATGTAATTGGCATTCACATTCAAGAAAGGTTTTGATATGCCCATTAGCCAGATTTGATATGAGACATGTATTACCAGACATTTTTTATTTTCATTTTAACAGGTTTTAGAGTATATATACACATTAAACGGGTTTTCCAAGAAGGTTTTACTATTATCGTGTATGTAAACCCACTTATAAAATAGCTGGCAGTATAACGGGAATGATTTCTGCCTATATCTATCGAGAATGATAATAGCTCAGTTGGAGAGTTCATTAATGCATATGGCAAGCTCTCTCAACTCACCTGTTTCATGATTCAGATTCTCATTTTCTTTGAAGCACTTGGCGAAAGCAGCTTTTATCTAGTGGAATCTAAGCGCAGACTCTGGTGGATGCAAGGGCTTTCTATGAAATTGAAGCAAGGGTTTTCATTGAAGCAAGGGCTTTCTTGAAGCAAGAGCTCTTATTGAAGCATTTGAGATTTATTAAACCAAGAGTTTTCATTAAACAAGGCTTTCGCTGAGATACGTTTTCTATTCCTTTGAGGAAAGGACTGTCTTTGAAACAAAGGCTTTCATTGAAGTACCAGCATATCATAAGTAAGAGCTTTAGTAAGGATTTTTTATAATTACAATTTCAAAGATTTTTTGGATTTAATTTATATTTAACTGATGAGAATCAAAAGACAAAGCATCAGGTAAGACAAATATTAAATCATTTGTCTGAATATCAGATAAAGTAGCTTGAAAATTACTTATAAAACCTACAAAATGTATACTTGTAAAATTAAAATCATAAAACATTCGGAAAACAAAGGGTATTTTAACAACAGACCTATATATTTTATTTAATTTAAACCCCAAAATAGATTTTATGTAATGATCCATTAATTAGAAACAGACTTGTGATGGCAACAGAATGTCATTGTGAATTAGATATCATTGAGATATATCCTGGATAGAATGTATGATTTGTTTTATTTTGCTAAAATGCTTTTTTTCCCTGAAATATGTTATACAAAAATTTATATTGTTTTTCTAAAATATATATTTTTCCCTAAAATATATATTATTTTCCTGAAATATGTACTATTTCTCTGAAATAATTGTTTGTTTGAAATATGTTTTGTTTGCCTGAAATATACATTTTTGCCTGAAATATGTACTTTTGCCTGTAGTATGTATTCTCATTGAACTGATATATCAAAATTCAAGACTTTTCTACTTATCCAAATGAGCACATCCCGGAAGATTGGTCATAATGCACCATTTCAATGATTTCAATGTTTCAGTGATTTTCTGAAATTCTTAACCAGTTTTAAATACAATTATCAACTGGGTAGAAAGCATTGCTGGGAGAGCACTTTCATGTATTCTAATAAATTGTTGTGATATCATTTCCACTTGTAATATTTACATCTAACATGAAAGGATTGATGAAACACTTTACAAATGGCAAATTAGGACTGAGGAAACATGTGTCGTATTTTGTGTTAAGCCTAAGGAAGTAATTATGAAAGTATCACAAAGTGTGATTCAATTTCAATAGGGTTATTGCAACAACCCTAACAGTCAGTGTCATTTTGTCGTGTCATTTAGTGCCATTTTGTATATATCCAGAATGCAAATCTTATACATGTATAATGTTAATATTTTATTGATTCAGATGTCTTATTATTATAAAATTCAAATCTGAAAGGGATAATGTAAACCATTTTTCATGAGATTAATTCATTTGGCCTTTTCACTTTTTCCACGATGTCGATTATTCTCCTCACGGATCCAACAGACCTTGAAACCCCAGATGGTTTTAAGATTGAAGAATTGCACAAGCCTAGCTTCAAAGTGAAATCACTTTGTGTTGAACTACCCTATATTAGTAAGACGAGATAAGACCCTGAAGTTAACATTTGGCTCGTTATGTTGTCCACTTTACATACTTATGATAAAAAGTACTTCTAATTATCCTTTTAGATGTTATTTCTCTTGAAAAAAACATCTTTTATGACATGTTTTTGGGGGTAGTTAAAATGTTCAAAATTCCAATTATTTAAAAAATTAATACATGTTGTTTCCATTTGTATTATTTTTCATGATATTATATCTAACATTGAACATGATAGATTAGTTCAGTACTTAGCATAACCATCATGCTTCAACCCAACCAGTTAATGTTGGTATCCACATATTTCCATATATTAACAGCTTTGTTACAATAAAGTTGATATCATGGGAAGGAGGAGATAAATAAGGATTTCACTAGTAAAGAATATTGAATTTTTGAAAAAGTCAAATAAATGACAAAAATCAGCATTTTCAAACCTTATGTTATATCCAGTTAGGAGAGGAGTTAAAGTATAACAAATTAGTGTTTGTTAATAAAAACTGTCAACATTTGGACATAATCCCTTGAAATATATCATTGTCAGTGATCTCCCCAGCATTAAAGCAATTGGGCGCAGCACCCAACTGAGATTTTGATAATAGGCTTGCACCCACCTGAGAATCCATTCGCACCCACTTGAAAATGAAAAAAAATCATGAAAATAGATATTTTGACCAATTTTGGTATGAATCATGAAAATGAAAAATTTGCACCCTCTTGAGAAAAATCCTGTGGAGATCATTGGTTGTATTGCCATGTTACAATATAATCATCATAAATTTGAGGTATCAAAGCATGAGTAATTATTTGCTGCTATTGATGGGAAATTATTGAATCAGTGTAAACATAATCATAGCTGATATCATATCTGTCCGTCAAATGAATTGATCATCTGTCTCGTAGTAATTGAAGCATCAAGAAATTGATTTAAATGGTATTTTTGATGTAATTATTGAGTACTAATCAAAAAGTTGATTAAAGAGGCAATTAAAGAGGCAACAAAAAAACAGAACAAGTTGAGGGTAAATCTCAATAGTTCCCTTACATACTCAAAGAAATAAAGGTATTTGTAAAATGTTTATTTGAACTGTGAATATTTGTTGTGTTGTAGATGGTTCTGACAAGACATCTCGAAAGAATGTGGCCATCGAGGAATGGATAAATCAATCGTGAGTAACAATATGTTTGGTTCCCCTGCACTACTAATTTTGAGTATATAACATTTGTGTCCTGACCATTTATTTAAGTAACATTAATGCCCTAATTAATTATTTAAGTAGTAGGTAATATTGATGTCTCAATGCATTTTTTATTTTGAGTAGCATTGAAGTCCTGCTTATTCATTTTGAGATACATTAATGCCCCGATTATTTATTTTGATCATGGGCTCTCAAATTGCTTTGATTAATATTGATATCCTGATTTTTATTTTGAGTAAAATTGATGTCCTGATTATTTATTTTGAGTAATATTGATTACTGAATAATTTCATTTTGAGCAACATTGATGCCCTGATTATTCATTTTAAGTGACATAAGTTTCCTGATAGTTCTTTTAGGTTATCTCCCGGAATTTCGGTTAATTTTCAAAATGATGTTCACTGTTGCTATAATGATGTTCACCATTGCTATGTTTTTACGCAATAACACTTCAGCTGAATGATACCTGCACTTAACCCTGCACTTGAAATGTTGGCTTGATCGTCCTGTACTTGTTAACTTCGTTCTAGTTTCTCTGCAGGGCTTTCATTTGTAGCAATATTCTCCAACTGTTTTAACCAAAACCCCTCATTATTTTTTATAGGAATTTTGTTTCCTGCTAAAATCATAATTTCAATAATGTTGCTTGTTGCTTCGCTTTATTGCCCACTCTAAAAACTCCTGCTTTGACTATTAACTGTTTTTACATAATCATTTTGCAGAGCCTTTGTAGAACGCAACACTTATCTCAGAAAATATAGCTCCTTAAATACCCCCATGTCACTTTGAAGGGGTTAAACAACAAAGCATTTTTTAACTTCATTTCAGCCATTTATTGTTAATTTGCTCATTAGCATGCAGATCCGTAACACTTTGTACTTCTTGAAGACTGATTTATTCATTGTAAAGCTGGAGTTATTTTGACGTAATTGTTTTTTTAAGTCGACATTGACACTAATAAAATTATGGCAGTGAGTACATTTAATAACATAGAATTATATATAATTTGAGCTAATCAAAACATATTTTTCAATACTCATAGTCACTCTGCCATGATGAAATTATTTTGAATGATTTGTAAAAAGTGAACTTCTCAGTTTACAATTTATTCTGAATTCTTACAGGATCAGTGATGAGGCCAGTAAAGGATTATATTGGACATTAGATTAGTTGTCAATTCTATTGTTATTTATTTATTTGTTTATTCATTGTGGTATGATTTCTAAATAAAATGGTCATCATTAGTAGTCACCTAGAAAAAAAGGTTTATTGTAAACCAAAAATGCCACAAATCTGATCATTTTAACCCTGTATTGTAGAACTCTGGAGCTCAAGCGCCATCTAAAGGAGAATGGGGAGTGGACAGGTGACCCTGTGGCAAGTGATTGTGAGTACAATTTCAATTTTACTTTTCCAGCATATTGCACTGCACCCAACTAGAAACAAGTTAATTCCATTGCATTTAGTTGAGATTTCATTTGCATCTAGCTGAAAGTCCATTTGCGCCCAGTTGGAATTCCATTTGCACTCAGTTGAAATTCCATTTGCACCCAATTGGAATTCCATTTGCACCCAGTTGAAATTCCATTTGCACTCCATTCAAATTCCATTTGTACTCAGTTGAAATTCCATTTGCACCCAATTGGAGTTCCATTTGTGCCCAGTTAAAATTCCATTTGCCCTCCATTCAAATTCTATTTGCACTCAGTTGAAATTCTATTTGCACTCAGTTGAAATTCCATTTGCACTCAGTTGAAATTTCATTTGCACCCAGTTAAGAATTCAAACTTGTGGAAGATAAATTATCTGGGGAAATTTCTTGTCATTAGTAAAATTCAAATTCTATTGTAGAAGACATTGAAATATAACTTCCATTGTGATGTTGTACCTAAACATTGTAAGGGGATTCATCAAAAGTTTGATGTCGGATAGAAAACTAAATAAATCTAGTTAGGGGGGGGGTTCAAACCCATTTCAGTTTGCTATTCGACAAACAAGATTTCAAGTTTTTGGCAATTTTGACTCAGAATGCCTTGGAATGGTTTAAAAATAAAGATTTTATCTGATGCTTGATTGAAACTAGATTTATTTAGTTTCCAATCCGACATCAAACTTTTGATGCCTCCCCTAAATATATAATGTGTTAGGATTGGGGTCAAGAATATATGAACCTGGAGATGAGTGTATTGAAGTTCTTTTATCACCTGTTTCCATTGATTCATTTTCAAATGTCTGATATATAGCTGCAATAATTCCTATTTTGCTCCTTAAATACAAGCTGCTACCAGAACTTATATCTAGGATGTGATCTTTGAATGTCAGGATTAACATACAGAACTAGGAAAAAACTGCAACAGTTATGTGCTGCATATAAAATGGCATTATCTCAGCGTTGATGTGTTTTCCCTTGATAGTAAATTGGAGAAGATGTGGAATTTCATATTAGTTTTTCTTGAATGATAAGAATCTGATTCTAAAGGGAGGAACAGATTGTTGTAATAATTACCCTTGAAACTATAAAACAGAGAAAATTGATAAGATGGAATTTCAATATTAGGTTTATTTCTCTGATGAGAACAAATATGATTCTTAGTAATAGTATGATTAAGTGTCAGTTGATAACACATAAATGTTGTATGATTGCACTTATTACAAAAAAAGATTGCTTTATTACAGTTATTAAGTCATAGTTTTGTTCATATACAAATTCACTATTTACTATATTATATGGAAATCATACACAGTACGTATGTTTCTTGTATATTTTTCTTGTGCAGGCTTACATCACTTTGTATTAGAAAGTGAACATAATATATAAATGAGGCAATAGATATACAATAAGATACCAAATGGATTCTGTTATAAACTATCTGAAATATTGTAATGAAATAAGACTTGTTTTGAAAAATATCTGGAAATATTTTCAGCGAAACAACTGCGGCTGGAAGTAGAAGGTGATGGGTCACATGGTGAAACTGGGAAGTCTATCATAAATAGGTAAGAAGAATTTCTGCCATAATAATGCTTTAAGTACCATTTTCTTATTCACTCAATGGAGTATGAGAGAGAGGCCCATAGCCAACTTTTGCCAAAATCCAAGGGGGTTCCTGTTTAACAACTTTGGCCCAAAACTTCTTGAAAATGCTCAGAATGGTGAAAAACTGCATGGTTTTGAAAGAATTTTCGGCCAGGAGGGTTCGTCTATGGGCCTGAGAGAGGTAGAGAGTTTTAGAGATGAGGAGAGGTACAGGCCCAATGTAGAATTCAAATTCTTGTTGATGGGGTCCTTAGCAGGCAGGGGCGTCAAAAGGATTTGCCAAGGGGAGGGGCGACTTTTGGGTATGGATGGGTCGTGCGTGAAATGCGCCGCTTCGCGATCGGGGAGCATGCTCCCAGATACTTTTCTTTAGACCCTCTCTGGTGCATTCTGAGCATAGCTCGGCACAACATTCCCAATAATAAAAACAAGAAAAAAATTATGTTTTTAGAAAATTTAACTTGACTTTGACTAAAAAAACTTTGATTTTTACAAAAATATTTTTGCACTTATTTTTCAAAGTATTTACATACTGTATGGGTTCCTGAGAAACTACATGGTATAGAAAGAATCAAATATAATATTTATGGGAAATGAGATCTCCTATGCTTAAAGTAGACTAGATATTGAGATAGTATCATTTCTGTCATTATTACACTTTGACTTTAATTAGCGCTAGAGCTTCCAATTGTAGGCTCGGTTTCAAATCTAAAAAAATGGGAAGGGGGGGGCAGTCGCCCCCAACGCCCTCCCCCTTCCGACGCCAATGAGCAGGTCCTTAGTTGTGATTTTCAGAATTGGTCCAAGTTCTTACTTTTGCCTGACGTAAGTCCATACAATTAAATGAATGCATTTCATTTTTAGTTTCACTTCATCTTGGCCTTTCCAAACTTTCATTTTAAATCTACATGTAAAATAATAATATATGGTTACTCTTACAGATGAACATCTTTGGCACTACTTGAAAAATGTTTTATCGATTTAATTCTAGTTCTGAAAGGGAAACAGAAGATCCATCCAAGGCTCGGCGACTAAACTTGCTCAAACTGAATCAACAAAACAGTATCGGGTCCACCTCTGATAGGTCAGCTCTAACCAATGGCTCCTCGGTGTCCAGGTATGCTACACTAGTGGTGAAAGATAATTGATGCTGTCAAGGCTGGAAGAATGAGGTTTAAGGGGATAAATGAGAGTTCCATGTGTGACGAATGTTAAATTTTTAAACTTCAAATAAAAGCCAAGGCTTAACTAATGTGTACAGGGTCATATATCATTTTAAAGCTTATCCAAAGTTACATTGATTTGCCAAGTATCATGGTTTAACTCCCAAATGGGAAAAAGTTACAGTCATTTTAAAAGTTAGTGTTTTGTCAAAATGAAGTTCATTTTTACGCCACATTACTAGTCAATGTGTCCCCCCTTGGCCATGTTAACAGCAGCAATTATTTTCAGATAAGATCTTAAAAGCCCTTAGAATAGGGGTAAGGAATTTAACAACCCTCTTAAAACCTGTTAAGGGACTTTAGAAAAGTTTCCTTAGAGTTTCTACCCTCACCATTCTCTTTTTCCAACTCAATATCCATCCGACCTGAAAAGAATTGCTACTGTTAAGATGGCCCGAGAGGACACATTGACTAGTGATTTGATGTTAAATTGAACTTAATTTTGACCAAACACTAAATTTTGAAATACCTGTAACTTTTTCCCATTTAGGAGTTAAACCATGATACTTGGCAAATCAATGTAACTTTGGATAAGCTTTAAAATGATATATGACACATACTATAAGGACACTGGAATATGTCTGCCTAGGGGGGGCCCCATACTTTCGGGACACCCTGTACATTACATATCTTTTGCCTGATAAGTCTTAGGAAGTCAGTCTGTTTGAACTATTTAATTTCTTATATTTCTTTTTGTATCGTATCATTCATTTTTTGTATCTCCTTCTCTAATCCTAATACAATATAATAGGTATTGAATTTTAAAACAACAAAGAACTTCATCAGTGATCTGATACACATGAAATATGTATGACAGCTTACTTGCATTATTTATTATATTTTTGTATTTTATTAAACCTAACATCTTCATCATTAGTGTAAATGAGTTGCTGGATGAGCGGGCGGTGGACCCAGAAGAAGTTCTCATAAACCTTGGCTTCGGAGGCAAAGAAGATAAACATGAACTTTCAGCCAAACTTCCCGAGCGTTTCCTTGTCAAGGAGTCGCAAGCAACTGGAATCAAAGTGGATGAATTCTTAGATGGGCACCCAGAGTTGAAAGATTTGGTGACGATGCGCCAGAATAGTGCACCTATAACAGGTAATTCTACACACCATCGTCAATGTCTCTGTTTTCTATTTTGCTCAGCATTTGGTGAAAATCCCCATGGTGATAAGGACTGTATCCATGGTGACAAGGACTGTATCCATAGTGAAAAGGACAGTAATATTTATGAGAATAGTATCCATGACAATATGAACAGTATTCTTAGTAGGATGGAGTGTAACTATGTTGAAAGGGGCAGTAACAATGGGGATGATTGTAGTAATGATGGGGATGATAACAATAACTTTGGGGATGGAAATGGCAGTGATTGGGATGAAAACAGTAACTATGGTGACAGGGGAATGAACTTTGGAGATACAAACAGTTACTATATGGATTGGGGAAGTAACAGTGGAGATGATAGCAGTAAGTATGGGGATGCAAACAGTAACCCTGGGGTAAAGGGAATTGACTTTGGAGATAATAGCAGTTACTATGACGATATGGGAAGTAACTATGGGGATGATAACTGTAACTATGCAGATGATAACATGAATCAATCTGACATTTTTCCAAACTTCACTTCTCATGAAAACCTGCTTGCCATTGATGATATGATTGAACACAATAATGGTGCATTTAAGCCAAGTGGTGTTCCATATATTTCTCTACACAGTGGAAAGGAAACATTGGTTTAACAAAGACATGCCTTATTTTTACTTCCTCGAGTATGATTAATTAAAGTGAACAGAGCAAGTGTGGACCATTAATGTTTATGTCACAACCACTAGTGGTGCCATATTGTTATAGTCTCCAACTTTTGGTGGATGGTGTTCGATGGGTGGTGTCTGGTGTTTGGCAGTTGGCATCTATAGCAAATGACATGTGGTGACATTTTGTATGTTAACGCCTTGTGTAGAATTTTATTTTATGTACAGTGATATGAAACAGATCATAATAATAAACGACTGTATACATATTATTATAAATACATGTATAATACAATGTAAAAATCACTGTTTCACTAAGTTGATTGTATTTCTATAGTTTGGCACTACTTTAACAAGCTACCCGGTTACCTGCAAAGACAGCTCTTAATGAAATTGAAAAAGTTGGTATTGCCAATTTGACTGTATAAAGCATGGTACATATCACAGCATCTTCATTGTATATTGGCAGTTTCCCTTGCTTTGAATCTTACATTGAAGGGTCAAATAATTGTTCAGAACTTTTTTTGCACTTTTGGCAATTAATGTGTACAATAGACCTCTTCAAAATATCCAGAGTAAAGCACTCCTCCCACTTTTGCCAAGGCAAACTTTGTCCTTACTCTTCAGAAAATCTACTATTGAGCCCAACATACACTAATGGGACAATATCCCACTTGCCCCATCAGATCCCATTGGGTCACACATTGCCCCTTGAGTCCCAAAATGTTCCATTAGACCTTGTAAACTCTGGGGCAAAGTCCCACAGAATCCCATTGAGTCCCACGGAGTCCTTATCAAGCAAAGCCCCATGAACTCCCATGAGGTTCGATGCAATGTTAAATCTATGGAGGTCCCAACATGCCCCAGTAGCCCCATTGGTGTATGTTGGGCTAAACATGAGCAGTCCAAACCTGGAAAACCAAAGTCAAAGTTACAAAACCTGAAACAAATATTGAAAAAGGGGCCTGAGCTGTCTTAAAATTTCCATCTATCAAATCAAATCAAGTATATCAAAAACAAGCTCCTTCAACGCTCTGTTACAGTATTGTCATGTGATTAAATGAACAAGTGGAATGCTCTTTTGTGTAATTGTTATGATAGGAAAAAACATTTTGTATGTAGTTAACACTGTCAGAATTGTGAATTTTCTTGTCATGTGCTTTTGCAATAAAGATGGCATGTCGTCAGTGGTCAACATTCTGAATTGTTAGTACCTCAGTGTAAATACTCGCATCTGATTGGTCAATTAGCGGTCAACATTTTTGCCTGTACCTCACCTGTGCATCATGGGATATCATATTATTGACCGCTTATGTTACTGTACTACACTTGTGAATTATGGGGAATATGACGTCATAATGTTTACAGAAAAAACATGGTAGACGGACATTTCGTAAACGTTGATGAAAGTGATATTTTGACTTTGCTAGACGACAAGTATAGCAAAAATACAAAAAGAAACGAAAAATTAACATTAATTTACTAGTGAGTACGCTGCTATGTGCCAAAAACAGAGAGATTAACTACCACTGTCTTCAGATTTTCTTAAAAAATTATTGCTGGCGTGGTTCGGAGAAAAGATTGTAAAACGAAGCCATGGTTGACTGTCGTCTATATGTGTATTATTAGTTTCTTCTGACTAACAAAACAATTGTAGACCTCTCAATTCGGTCAACCGTCAAAATCATACCTCGACTGTAAACCTTGAAACTACTGTTGACCTCGACCTTCGGTCTCTGTCAACAGTAGTTTCTCGGTTTACAGTCTCGGTATACAATTTTGCCGGTTGACCTCTGGAGAGGTCAACAATTGTATATTGTATAAATCCAAGGAAATGAATAGTCTTCCAGATTGTAAATGAAGAACGTTCACAAATGTGGAAGAGGCATGATCACAAAAGCCCAGGCAAAATTACTACCACTTCCCAGCAGTAACACATCATGCTAACATACATGAACAGTGTAAATGTGAAGTTTCAGTTAACAAGTATCATAGCCTGTATTACTTTTTTAGCTCATTAAATCTTTAAAGCTTATTGTTGCAACATCCCTCTTATACAACAAATTTTGACTCATGGGGTTAGTTCATAGTTGGGCTACTTCGACCATGGGGTTATTTTGACCATGGCTGATAATTCAAATTTCTGGGTTCAGCCATCTTGGATTAAGATCTCGCCCATTGGAGATTTCAATTTATTTTTTCACATTTTTCCAAAAACTAATATAGCAGACTGTGTAGATTGAAATTATAAGCCAATGTTGAAAATCGAAATGGCCCCATGGTCAAAATAGCCCCATGACAAAGTGGCCCCATATATCGAAGTTCCTATATATCACTTAGCATTTTCATCGCAAACATTCAATCCACAATAATAGTTTACGTATGATACATTTGCATTGTTCTGATGAAATATTGTTCTGCCATAATCACCTAACACTTTTATGTGACCTTATTCTTGTGTTTTGAAACTGTTGTACTATTGCATCTTGGAGCATATTTATGCTGCATTGATATTGTGAAATCCTATGTCTTGTATTTGTATGCACATATGAATCTTGTTAGCCATAATGAATTTTTTAATGATAGCTTATGGATTATACTTGGGCAGGGCAGTTGCCAAATATTTGCCTTGATGATAGTTTTGTTTTATTGTTTGAAATTAGATTTTTATAAAGTTTATTGTTTTAATTTAGATTTAATTATGCATTTTCATAGCCACATAGATTTTCATTGAATTGATATATAGTTAAATGCATAGTAACATGAATTGAGTTTATATTAATTAGTTAACAGTTTGGTTTGCACATTGTTGGTTTTTGCTTGATTTGAGTTGTGTTTATTTTGTGTGTTTGTTAGATGACGAAGGCCGCATGCACATTAGTTTAGCTAATGTGTTCACAGATGTCACTAGGATGGCCCGTGTCATCCGAATGTTCCGGAGTGGTATTCAGACCCCCACACCCGGGAGTCCCCTCTCTAGGCAGCAGTCACCATTCCCCGATTCTCCGCAAAGACAGAGTATCCTCTCAGCAGCCAATCAGAGCTTCCTTGACAAACAGGGTCTCTATGACAATGTGCCACAGTCTGATAATAAGTTCAAGAATTTAGCTTTTAAAGCCCTACGCAATAAATCAGTGGAGAATCTAAAAGATAGATTAGCCAATGCTGATAAGGTTCAATCACTTGTAACAAAAGTGGAACAGTTTCATAAGACCCCCAAGATTGACAACACTGTCAAAGAAGAAATAAGCACCAATTACTCTTTATCAGACACACACATTCACGAGCATTCAAGTGATATGACTAAGCTAAATGGTCATGCTACATCAGCATCAGAAAGAGATGATACCAGGGAAACTGCTCCTGTTGTTATGGAGGCCGTACCAGAACATGTGTATTCCGAGAAGGGAGATGTGGCGTTACACATGAATAATGTATCAACGTACACTAATGTTGTACACACAGGTGACGAAGAAGCAAATAATAGAACGGTTGATTCAGTTAAAGCTAGGCTCAGTGAGGGATGTCTAGATGAAGACAAAGACAAAGATATTTCCTATGTGGATTGGAAATTCAATAAAGGAGTATATTGTAATGACAGTGATGAAGGACTAAATATAGAAGGATCAATGAAAAGTATAGATGAACCATTGAAAGATAAAGACAAACCTCTGAAAGATATAGAGGGGCCACTGAGAAGCTTAAGTGACAGTCCAATAGAAGAAGGTGATTTGTCCATGAATCTAGGGGAGCCTGCTGCTGCTGTAAGTACAATTCAACATACCAAGTGAATTTAAGATGTTATAGAGAAAAACAATTTATATACTACACCACATAGAATTAACATGATTATTTTGTTACTAGGTAGAGATGTCTAATAATGATGACCCTCTAAAGGCTCCAGATGATGGTAATGTTCCAGTAGAGGGAAGTTCCATAGCTCCAGCAGACGGAAGCTTTGTTGCTCCTGTAGAAGGCTTCCTTCCACCATTGGGAGTAATAACCAGTCCAGACAACTTCAAAAATATGGTAAACATCTTAAGAAAGTTTTTTCCAACTCTTTGTCATCAGAAATAGTATAACAATTTGCTCTGTCATTCATATTATTCTAAGGGTAGTATTATATGTTTCAGAAAGAGCAACCAACAGTGCATGTCGCGATGGAGACAGTATCAAATGACACAGTGTGTGAAAAATATGCATCACAGCAGTACCTCGGATATATAGATCATAATTACAATGCTGTAGTAGATAATGTGTCTAACAATGTAGAAAGTTGTGTGTCAACTCAATATTTTGATCCAACACTTTCCTCTGATACCGACCAACCAGATATTACCATAGACACGCCAGAACCAGTTGACAATAAGATACCATTGGTGCTCCAACCTGATACACTAGTCAAATTTAGTAAAGACAAAGAAGTTCATTCAAGCAAATACACACCAGTCGATTTAAGCAAAGATACATTAGTTGAATTAAGCAAACATGCACCCATTGACACTCACACAAAAGCAAACCTTGACACGGACATGCCAGTTCTGCGCGCCTCACATAGCTCAAATAAGAATAACACAAATGTCACAGAAAACAACTTTGACCAAGCTCAAAATGAAAGTATCACCTCTATATATAGTAAAACACCAGAAGATGTTCATAGCAACAATGACATTGTGGAGAAAGACAATACAGTCAACCAAAAAGAAGGTGACAATGATATTGATATTATGGATGGAGACAGCAAAGTCAATCAAATAGATCATATAGACATAAAGACAAGCAGTAAAAAATCTCTGTCTCACAGAAGTGCAGTAAATGTGAATGATCATAATGATAATTGCAGTATTTTACCAGTTGTCTCTGAAGATGCCAAAATTTGCAGTAAATTACAAACCTTCCAGAGAGTAACTAAATCTCCTCTTACAAATGGAAGCCATGGTGATATGGTGGATATGTTGCATGATCAGGCAGTGGGAAAGGGCAATATGAAACATGCATATAACACAAGAGACATGGAGTTAAGTGATATTCAAGACAATGTTGATATTGCTGGTGAATCTGTCTCTAAAACAGGCAAGCAATATATGGATAAATCCAAGAACAACATTGATGAATGGTCAGTTAATAATAACAATAGCCAAGGTTATGAAGCAGTTCAATCTTTAAAGTCACTTGCTCAAAATGAAACAGGAAAGACTAAATTTGATAATGTCTGGGGAAAACACGCAGTTGGAAGTTCACTAAAAGGTGATCTTGATATGCGGAGGCTGTTGTTTAAACGTAGTGCTACGTATGGTGGAAGGATGGTAGTACCAGGTACAACTGAAGGTGAAGGTAGTGAGAGGTCCGATATACTACATCACTCAAAGGATGATACAACAGCATACACTGATGACACTTCATCTACCTTAGTGGAGCAGTCATTGGACTCTCAAACACATGAAAATAAGTCTACATCACACCTACCACCAATGGAGACGAATGGTTCGCATTTTGGACAGCATCGAAGAGATGCTCCAGGCTATAGGGGTATACCGCCTTTCCATTCAGATGGTTCAGGATTGGTTCGCTCTAGAACATTTCCTGGTGGTTTCATGTCATATGTAAGACCACTATACTACACAGCTCAAATTTATAATAGCTTTGAAGATTTACATAGAAACAAAGTGCTCAATAGAATAAGGAGTCAGTCACTTAATCATTTAGCTGTATCTGAACCTTCTCTCGTTAGATCTCACAGTCTTGATCACCCTAAATCACTGGGTGGATATTTAGATAGTGAACAAAATACAAATAGAGTCAGGAGCCAAAGTGTAAAGTCCTATCCTGGAAGCCCACGGGTATGCACCGACATCGGCATGGATATGCCAGAGTGTATCCGTAGTGGTGATGCATCAAGAAGTAGCATGTCACTTCCTGTTATACAAGATGATGTCTTGCTCTCCAATGATTCCGTAAGGAGGATGCAGAGTGGGAGGTCAAGTAGATTTGGGGAGGATGATATATATAGACCCTTGAGAGCCAGTAGTGTTTGTGGTAGTGGCATTAGCAGTAGTGTCCCTTCTTCTGTACTGGATGTCAGTCACATTAACAAGCTAATGTTGAGGACACTTCTTAAGTCACCCACCTCTCAGAATGTAAGTACATTTTCTCCAAATATTTTATCAAAATTATCATCAACTACAAAGGAATATTTTTTTCATTTTCATCTTTTTAATTAAAATAATTGGAATAATTGCAAACGTAGACTTTATCTTTCTAAAATGTGTCTCATTGTTTTGCATGCTGTAGAAGTCCACTTCTCAAATATCTTAATATTTATTTTTCTTCTCTTTACCATCCCTAGATTATACATATGAACCATACATGCATATATGCATTTCATTTGATTTCTTAGAAGATAGCATAAAGGTCTATAAACTTTCCAAGGTGGGTTTTATATCATAGTATACTCTCAACTTTTTACCCTAGATGTTTATAGATGGTTTTATGGATTCTTTTTAGTTTGATGATTTAGCTCGGGCCCACACTGTTCCAGCAGATATTTCTGAGGTATAATCATAACCTCTGCAATATAGTAGTAGTAGCACTTAAACCGTGCTTCTGTAGCACTAAACCTTGCTTATGTAACACCCAAACTGTGCCTATGTAGCACATGAACTGTGAAACTCTTAAACTTGCTTAAATATGTCATGCTGGTCATGGTTTCATTTCATTTCTTCAGAATGGTTGCATTTCTTCAAGATTTCTAACATTCTGTACACAAATTAGAGTTTGAATTTTAGGCTCCTACTCATCTCTATTCTTTGTCTTATGAAAATATGTGTTTGACCATGACCAGCATGATATTGTGCTTGCAGGCAGGTAGATAGCCTTGCCCAAGTCGGTATTTTTTACTGACTTGGGCAAGGCTGGCAGGTAGATGCACTTCCCTTATATATTGATACCACTGGTGGATATGGAGGGATATGGGCCCAAAAAATTGGACCCAAAAAGATTCTTGGTCCCAATATTTTCAGGGGCCTTTTTTGGCCTTATTTCTTCATTTTGAGCCAAATTATGAAGAAAATAGGCCTTAAGTTTTCAAATTTTGGGCCCACTTTTTTGTTTAAGGGGCCCAACATTTTTTTCCACGTCCAGACTGCAAATATGGGCCCCTGCCCATTGTTGGTTCCCAGAACTTCCCCTGATATACTGCAAGAATGATATACTGGAAGGTCTGCTTGACTGTAGCATATACTATTTATATGAGGAAACTTATAACAAGATCATTCAAAAGCATGAAATGCATCAGTTAACTACTCCATGATGAAATTATGGATATCTAATTTTCTATTTTTCCAACTTCTAATGTTTCATAATTAATGCATGCATTATGATAAGGCATGAAGTTAATATGCTATATGTTAATATGAGGAGTAAAGCCACCATGAAATATCATCTAATATTGGATCATTATTTATTTTTCTTCGTACATATGACACGAAAAAACATTTTGATTAACTCTGCCTTATAAACAGCATAGCTAGAAATTATTCAATACTGAGGTTAAATCTAGCAACTGAGGAGCATAGAATATGTTGTCATGTCAGGCCCGTAGCCAGGATTTGCCAAGGGGGGGTTCAATTTTCAAAAATTTCCAGGGGGGTTCACATTTGACAATTTTGGCCCAAATTAGGCCGAAATCACTTGAGAAGTGCTCAAAATGGTCAAAAACTGCATGATTTTGAAAGAATTTCTGGTCAGGGCGATGACCCGAACCCTGCGAACCCCCCCCCCCCCCCCCTAGCTACGGGCCTGCATGTATTCCCATTTGGATCTTTGAAATCATAGACCTATCTTAGCTAAAGCTAGGTAGTAATTCAGCATGCATTATCTAACAACTAATGAACCACCAGCTTCATTGACCTTATCCTAGCTAAGGTTGAACAGTTAATAGATAATTATGCACTCTCTCAATTATGAATTAGGAAACAGCCTTTTGAACATTAGAAACATTAAGAAAAACAGTAGATCTAGTACAGTAGTAACAGTAGAAAAAGCATTTTGAGATGGACTCAACAAATGACATCTGTATATGTTCAAACAACACAAAATGTGAGCACCTCCCAATCTGTACACTTTTGGCCAATCCCTTTGGCGCCTAGACAGGTTTTACTTTGATAAAAATTTATCATTTTGGCCTCTAGGAAGACCAGTTTTTGTACCAATTAGCCAACCAAGAATAAGTAGTATTTAAATCAAAGTGGCTCCATGTAACTGTATGTATATGTCTGTTATTAGGCTGCAGAGGAGCTTGAATTGATGCAATGTGGTATCAGGAAATACAGAGTTGTTATTCAGGACCTGGAAGCAATGTCCAGTCAGATATATGCACAGCATACAGACCTTCTAACCGAAGATGACAGGTAAATGATTGCCTCTATTGTTGTTCATACGCAGGCCTGCAGCCAGGATTTGCCAAGGGGGGGTTCACTTTTTGAAAAATTACAGGGGGTTCATTTGTGACAATTTTGGTTCCAAAATGGCCAAAATCACTTAAAAACTGCTCAGAATGGTGAAAAAACTGCATGATTTTGAAAGATTTTTTGGCCAGGGGGGTTCGATGGAACACACCCCCCCCCCCCCCCCTCCCTGGCTATGGGCCTGATATGCTAATATTTAGGACATTATAACCACAAGGTATTTTCAATGTAAGATAATTGGAGGTAAGAGGTGCAACTTCCCTGGCCGTATTCAGGATGTGTGTTAGATTAATACAAATGTTAGAGTTATACACATGATAGTTCACGAGAATCTTACTTTTGCAAGTGACACAGGTTCTCATGAGTGCATCTTATGTGGAAATCTGTTGGGACTCACTCAGCACTGTGAACAAATCCTGAATTATGACACATGACAATAAATAACATTTTCTTTTGTATATCTAGAGACCTGTTAGACTCCCTCCATCAGATGAGGCTTGAAATCCTCAGTGAAGTGATGAAAGTGGAGTCGACCATAATGGCCAGGAAGAAGGCACTCATCAAAGGCAAACTAACTGGCACCTTCAAATCTGACATGATCCAAATTGTGAGTATTGAATATTTGAGCCTAATATAGCACGGGGGTTTAACAATTGAAGAACAAATACAAACCCTAACGAACCCAAATTAACTAATAAAACATAACTCCGGTACATTAACATATATGTTATATTTTTTCAATAATTATTAGTGTATGAACAATTATGCCAAAATATCACCAGATTTTATTTGCTAAATAGAGCGAGCCATAAGATTTTAAGGAATATACCATTTTGAGTTGCCAAAATATCACCAGATTTTATTCGCTGTGTAATAGAGCAAGCCATAAGATTTTAAGGAATATACCATTTTGAGCAATTTCTATTTCTACTTTGTTTCAGGTGATCCAACTACTAAAAGAGCAACTCTTCCACCATAATCTTCTACTGTCTCTGCAACCAGACTTCGCTCCATCAGACTCCTTCAGTAACTTCAGCTTTGGATCCATGTGAAAAGTCAAAACATTTTGACAAGAAGTTCAAATTGATTATAGGCTATTAATAATTTGTTTTTTATGTGGTAACATTTATAATGGTCTTCAACTTTTTGTGGATGGTGTTCGGCAGTTGGCATTTGATGTTTGTGGTTGGCGTTTTGAGTTTGGTGTATGTAACAAATGGCAGGTGGTGATATTTTGCATGTTAATTATTTGAATAATGTGTCTATGTGTACTACTAACATCTCTTATAAAGTACAACATGGCAAAAATGTTATATTGTCCATGAGGTCTGACTGATATCTCTACTCTGAACTGAGTTCTGAGCCTGGAACTACGGCCAGATTTCCTGGAGATACCTTCAGTGTCTTTAGCATTTGAATGGAATATAACATAAAAATAATTTCACTACAGTGTATATATGTTCATAATTTCAATGCCGTTTTGGCATTTATTAAGTATTGTTTTATCACTGGATATTGCTTTATCTCTGGATATTGACAGTTATTCTGTAATAAGTGAGCTGGAACAAGTATGATCATAATTGCACCTTAAAGTCGGGTTTCTTCAGACTCTAATTTCTAATACAAATGCCAGAAAATCAATCTGTACTTACACATACATGATTTTAATACATAGTGTAATGGACTCATACTTAAACATGTGCACCATTAGTGAAAATGAAGTGAGTGAAAATGAAGGAGTCAATCATGTCTGGTCAGTTCAAATGTTATTTGTTACATTTTAGCCCGCCTTCAGATAATACATTGACATCCATACATATAATATGTGAAATAGAGACCCTATCAAACTGATATTTATCTCTGCCCTTGAATACAATTTTTCATATAAGTATTGCTACTGCAGAAGTGGCATGTTCAAAATGAATGTAATTGCATGCTAGATAAATCGTGTACATGAACCATATATGAACACAGTCGGCGTGCACCTTGTAACCTATCACCTATAGCCTACCTACATTACAATATAGACGAATGTTTAATTTTTCATATGTCACACATAGGTGCTGACTGTGTCCATGGATGTTAGTTGAGATCTGTACAAAAAGAATATGAATTAAAATTTTTGATATTGAAGATATGTGTAAATTATTATCCCATTGGGTGAATTTTGATTAGGAATATACAGTTCAATTCCCGGGGTTCAACTACTTGTCTTTTTGTCAAAGCCATAACTTAAATAAAGTCAGTAATCGTAGTTGGCTCAAATGATGTGAATTTCTTTTCAGATGGTCACTCATTCTGATGAGACCCATTCACTCATTCGAGATGCATACTGGCTGCCATTGTAAAAACATTTTCTGTCTATAACTTGAATAACAATTACTTTTTTCTGGGTGTAGAATCATTATTAAAGGGAATTTTTAAAGAAGAGTCCTCTTGAAGCTAGTTTTATATCACTTTTATATGGCCACAAAATTCAAGATGGCAATTAATAGAGAGATTTCGCACCTAGTGAAAGTACAACTTATAACGTATACTTATAGGTAAACGTACAAGGTGTTTCATAATGTGAGCTTTTCGTCAGGAAAGATCTTCTCGGACTGTAATAAATACAGGTCAAAGGGATGCCATTTGTACTTTCTTGAATTGTAGCATGTTTCGTTGATCCAAATGTGTTTGTCTAGAATAAAATAGGCTAATATATAGTACATATGTTATAGACCCATCTCAAATCCAACTGTATACGTTATCATCTATGTAAATATACCGTTTTGTAAGTTCATTGAACTTATACTGATCATGAAAACATTGAAATAATCAACTTGTTTATGTAATGACTCAGTTTAAAGAAGCATGACTCCCTTTAAAGGATCGTGTTTATAATACACTACAACTACAAGGACACGGAAGCAAGCATTTAATTATAATGTGCATAATCTACACGTGCAGATGACAGTGCATTCATAGTCTCAAGTTGATGGAGCTTTTCTATAACGGAATTAGTTATGTTCCATTAAGGACAATTTAAAATTGATTTTAGTAAATATAATAGTTCGACATGACCCTTTAAACTTTACGTATACGTATAAGTTGTACTTTCACTTATGTGCGAAATCTCTCTAATTGCTTTTAATTTTACATTTTTGACTATACTTGAATACTACTCAACAGATCAGAACTATTTTTGAAGTAAATTGCTTTTTATGTGTCCAATATCTAAGATGCATTTTTCAGAATTTATGTTAAAAAGTTTGACTTTCTTCAAAAAATGCAATATGACGAAGCTAATAGTTTTCATCCATTGATATTTAAAATGGTGATTTATTATCTTTGTAGACATACGACTACCTATTGGTTGTTTCTAGCATCAATAGTCAAAATTCCTAATGGTCTGAGACAACATTTTATCATTGATTGCATGTAAGGAACGCCTGTTTTTCTATTGTATGCAGCTTTGTGAGCTGCATGCCTAAAATGAATCGGCAAGATCAACATTAGCCTAACCTCAAATGATGGTTGAATAGTCGATCTAATGTACATTTAATATTAAAAGAAATTATCACGATCCATCCACGTGTCTTCCTTTTCCCTTTCATTGTGGGAACACAGAGTGGTGGACTCAGAAAATCTTTAGCTCTGAGCTGCATACTGTGCACATGCTATACTTAGAACCAGTACATATTAGTGATTTTTATTTCTTATGATACTATTGCTCATAGTTTTGTAATCTTAATTGTATGAATGCATTGTGCTGATTGAATATATTTTGTAATATTTACTAAAATTAATGTTTGTGCAATTGATTAATGTTACAAAAGTTTTTGTAGTGTATGTGCAAAAGTCTTGCAATACGGAAAATAAATATATATTTAGAGAGCACCATTTGTTTCTTATTGTATCAATTTATAAGTTCACTTTGCAGAAGAATTGGTCCCCTGAATGTAGCATGTATACCCCCACCACCAAAATAATTTGGATACAGATATCTTTGCATTAGTTGTAAAGACCATTCGAAGTTACAAAACATATTATGAATCTTTTTGATTTAACTATCCATTTGTGATTCAATTAAATTCGGTGAATACCATATTTGTGAAATAGACCTTTGATGAAATCACCCATATAACCCCTCCCCCCCCCATTGATATCAATTCAATGATATAAACTAATTGACTTTTATTGAAACAGGAGATAATTCTCGAAATCACTCCTCCATTCCCGATCCTTTACTACTGATAATACTTGGTGTTCTTCTATGAGAGATGAGGAATGGCTTGTAGGGATTTAGGAAAAACAGATTCATGGTTATAAGTTAAGTCCTAGGGATAAGATGAAAATGCAGGTGTAAAAGGGTAGGAGGTCCTATCGAATTATGGTCCTACTCTCCATTGATTTATATGGTGACCTAAATACCAAAACCTAGACGTGGGGACCAACAAAATGCGTTACATTAGTTTGGCTTCAATAATTCCCTTTACATTATTTATGCATTTAAGTATACTGGAGTGATTGATGTTCATGGTTGGCATGGTTCTAAAGCAAAAACGCACGAGGGTAGGAACTCGGGTTAATGTCCTTGTGAGGGGTCGAATATTGGAGGGTGGCGGTGGAAAACTTTAAAAGACGTTATTTATTTAAATTCCCAATTTTTGTGGCCACTGGGGCACCTACTAGAGCTGTATATGACACCCACATATAATAATTTAAATATAAGGCCATAAGAAGTAGATTCTTTGTTTTGCGTCCCCTTGCTTGCACGATTTTGAGTAAATCAGAAAAGACAAACACATCCAAATAGCAATTACAAGGGTCTGAAAGTATCATCGCATTTCATTCAATCAGAATCAGACGAACTGGCGGATAATTTGGTGTGCGTCAAAATTGACAGTGTTACTGATTCCGTTTGCATACATTGTGTTTTTTACCCTTGAATGTAGCTATATGTTTAAATATATTGTAATTGTATAAAGTGTATAGATATGTGTTTGTAACCACTGCAAATTGATATGTCATCCCGTTTTATGCCCTTGAAATGTATACATTTCTCAGCAAATAAGTTTGTTTTTTCTTGAGTTTGTGTTTGTTTTCCTTGTACCCTAAGACCCTTGCATGATTTGGATTTTTCCAGGACGCAAAACAAATAATCTACATCTTATGGTCTATGCATCGCACGTCTATTTGAAAGAATGTACTCTATGAAAATCTAATAGATATCTTACCCATCGAGAATAGATTTTAGCATTAATGATGACAACACATTTGACATGTTCACAGTAGAGGTTGCCGTATTCCTTTATAACATTGACTGAAATGAAAAATGGATATACAATAATCTACACGTGTAAACATTACCTTTAATGTAAATATCTATTTAATTCCCCATTTTTCTTAAAAATCAATTAATCGTTATTGTATAAATTGTACTTCTAATTTTCTATGGTCTCCTTAATAGGGAGGAAATAAACATAAGAAAAACATATTGTATTTCATGTTATACTGATGAATTGCCAGAATGAATGTAACTGTCTTGAACTTTATAACTGAATGGAATGATGGAGACAAAATCAACACAGGTCCACGTTATGTCATCTTCGTTCACTCGGCTCCTGTCGGCATGGTCGGTCGCCTTCGTATTTAGCGTTAAATTCAGTGAAGACCAGAGCGTGCGAAGATGCGTTTGTAAAACAACCTAAAACCATGTTTTATTTAGCTAAACAGAAGAGTGTGACATTTTGGTACAAAAGTAACAATAAATATAAAAAGGTGCTTATTCTGAAGTATACCAATTTACGGATATTTAGTGTTGCTTTGTCACTGATGTAAAAGCTGTTCTATGGTATTTTCACTTTCTTACGGCCTCCAAGTTATAGAGATACAAAATCTAAAACTTAATGGATGATAAAATAAAAACCAAGTGAAAATACTGTGGAAACAACGATTAAACTAACGATTCTAGATATAGTATCTGTGCATCTCTTAAGAGTATTTCCCATATAACAGGAACCATCAATCTGAAACGGTAGACAAAATATGAATAGAGCCAAGATAGTAATTACTTTATGTGGTCTTGGTCACATATTAAGTACTAGTAGGCTACTCAAGAAGTAGAAGGTAAAAAGTTGTTGAACTGTAAAATAGAATGAAAATATTTGATGAGTGTATAGGGTAACGTTAAATGCGTA